AGCAGGACCAGGACCAGCAGCAGCGGCGGCAGCAGCAGAAGAAGCCTACTCGAGTGTTCTTAGGTCTTAGTCCGGGTGTCCGTCAAGCCATGTGTGCCGGTCTGTCGGTCGGTTTTGCCAAATGTGACAACGCACCGCGCTTGCCCAGGGGGTTACCTATCTGTCTGGCGCGGATGAACACCCGTGCGTACCGCAGGCGTGCCTCGTCGTTCGAGCCACTTGGCATCTCCGTCACAACTCAATCGGGCTCGACCCACACAACACACACCACCACCATTGCGGCGGAACCTTTCCCCTCTCACCTCTCACCACCAAAGCCAACTACACAACTCAACATGAACCCTACTGCTAGCGACGCCACCGTGCCTCGCTTCGTACGCGCCGTCTACGACATGCTGCAGAACGAAGACCAGCGCATCCTCTCCTGGTCGGCGGACGGGTCACACTTCCAGGTGTACGACGTCCCGCGGCTCGAGACAGAGGTGCTGCGCAAGTACTTCAAGCACGGCAAGTTCACCAGCTTCCAGCGCCAGCTCAACAACTTCGGCTTCCACAAGTGGACCAAGACGCGCGCCAGCGTCGCCACCTTCAGCCACGACGTGCTCGTGTGGTGCCACGTGTCGGAGCTCGCCGTCCTGGTGAGCCGGATGAAGAAGAACAAGCCGACCACTGCTGCTGCAGCAGCAGCGACGGCGAGATCCACGACCATGTCTGCCAAGCGGCCCCGGAGCCTTCTGGCTGCGACGCCCGAGACGTCCAGCGCAGCGAAGAAGCAGAAGATGTCGCCGCGCGACGTGTGCGCCGTCGACGATCTGGCTGAAATCAGCTTTGACTGCGTGCTGGAGCCGCTATGGGCACTGGGCGACAACTGCAACACGGACGATGGGCTGCTGCTGGACCCGCTTGACTCCGTCGAGCTGACCGCGTTGGTCGAGCTGGACTGGGACGCCGCCATCTCGCCACTCCAGCTTGAGCTGGAAGCGGATGCTCGCGCCGATGAGAACAACAACAGCATCGACGTCGACTGCGCTGCGTCGGGGCTACTCAGCGAGGACGACGTGGCCGCTGTAGTATGCGACCTGGACGCCGCGCAGGTGCTGTCGAACTGCGAGCTGGACTCGCTGCTCGGTGACGCCTCCGACTCGGACGACGCTGACTTTGCCATCGACGCTGACTTCGATATGACCACTAGCGTTGACATCGACGTCGCCCTGGACGCCGACAGCTTGCTGTTCGTGTAGGTTTGCACCGCTGTCAGCGTGTACGCACGTCAACCTGTGCACTGTGGGTGGTGCAGGTATATAGTGCTTCAGTGTCGTAGTATTGTATTGTGTAGAGTAGTAAAACAAACTGAATGCAACTAATTTATGAGCATCCATGCCATACTTGATTGAGCACCCTATTGAACGAATCGATATACCTTCGTGTGGCTTCGTGCAACGAGTGCAGGGTACGTATTTTCTTTGAACATGCTGGTGCTGAAGTGTGTTTCGGTGGTCGAGCAGTATCTTGGCCGTTTTCTGCTGCAATTCATCTACAACTTCAGTTGTCGACATGGCTACACTTTCGCACAGTAGTGGCTGTAGTGCAAGCGTATACTTGAGTACGCGACCGCCCTCCCATCTATTCTACTGTCGGCACTTCTACCTCCGAGCGAGGAGTTCGTGAGGCAGCGAGCGAGCACCCAAGCAGGCGGACAAACAACGCGGGGTCCAGTGTAAACACATGGAAAACTTCAACCTCGATCGGGTGACTCAGACGTGTCGTCACGAAAGAAACTTTCGCGTAGCTATTCAAAGCGCAGTCACCTGCTTTTGACGAAGTGCGCTCGCCACTTGCATTCTCGGTTAGTTCCCCTCCAACAGAGCTGTCGACCTGAGGCCGCGACAGCAGGACCAGGACCAGCAGCAGCGGCGGCAGCAGCAGAAGAAGCCTACTCGAGTGTTCATAGGTCTTAGTCCAGGTGTCCGTCAAGCCATGTGTGCCGGTCTGTCGGTCGGTTTTGCCAAATGTGACAACGCACCGCGCTTGCCCAGGGGGTTACCTATCTGTCTGGCGCGGATGAACACCCGTGCGTACCGCAGGCATGCCTCGTCGTTCGAGCCACTTGACATCTCCGTCACAACTCAATCGGGCTCGACCCACACTACACACACCACCACCATTGCGGCGGAACCTTTCCCCCTCTCACCTCTCACCACCAAAGCCAACTACACAACTCAACATGAACCCTACTGCTAGCGACGCCACCGTGCCTCGCTTCGTACGCGCCGTCTACGACATGCTGCAGAACGAAGACCAGCGCATCCTCTCCTGGTCGGCGAACGGGTCGCACTTCCAGGTGTACGACGTCCCGCGGCTCGAGACAGAGGTGCTGCGCAAGTACTTCAAGCACGGCAAGTTCACCAGCTTCCAGCGCCAGCTCAACAACTTCGGCTTCCACAAGTGGACCAAGACGCGCGCCAGCGTCGCCACCTTCAGCCACGACGTGCTCGTGCGGTGCCACGTGTCGGAGCTCGCCGTCCTGGTGAGCCGGATGAAGAAGAACAAGCCGACCATTGCTGCTGCAGCAGCAGCGACGGCGAGATCCACGACCATGTCTGCCAAGCGGCCCCGGAGCCTTCTGGCTGCGACGCGAGACGTCCAGCGCAGCGAAGAAGCAGAAGATGTCGCCGCGCGACGTGTGCGCCGTCGACGATCTGGCTGAAATCAGCTTTGACTGCGTGCTGGAGCCGCTATGGGCACTGGGCGACAACTGCAACACGGACGATGGGCTGCTGCTGGACCCGCTTGACTCCGTCGAGCTGACCGCGTTGGTCGAGCTGGACTGGGACGCCGCCATCTCGCCACTCCAGCTTGAGCTGGAAGCGGATGCTCGCGCCGATGAGAACAACAACAGCATCGACGTCAACTGCGCTGCGTCGGGGCTACTCAGCGAGGACGACGTGGCCGCTGTAGTATGCGACCTGGACGCCGCGCAGGTGCTGTCGAACTGCGAGCTGGACTCGCTGCTCGGTGACGCCTCCGACTCGGACGACGCTGACTTTGCCATCGACGCTAACTTCGATATGGCCACCAGCATTGGCATTGACGTCGCCCTGGACGCCGACAGCTTGCTGTTCGTGTAGGTTTGCACCGCTGTCAGCGTGTACGCACGTCAACCTGTGCACTGTGGGTGGTGCAGGTATATAGTGCTTCAGTGTCGTAGTATTGTATTGTGTAGAGTAGTAAAACAAACTGAATGCAACTAATTTATGAGCATCCATGCCATACTTGATTGAGCACCCTATTGAACGAATCGATATACCTTCGTGTGGCTTCGTGCAACGAGTGCAGGGTACGTATTTTCTTTGAACATGCTGGTGCTGAAGTGTGTTTCGGTGGTCGAGCAGTATCTTGGCCGTTTTCTGCTGCAATTCATCTACAACTTCAGTTGTCGACATGGCTACACTTTCGCACAGTAGTGGCTGTAGTGCAAGTGTATACTTGAGTACGCGACCGCCCTCCCATCTATTCTACTGTCGGCACTTCTACCTCCGAGCGAGGAGTTCGTGAGGCAGCGAGCGAGCACCCAAGCAGGCGGACAAACAACGCGGGGTCCAGTGTAAACACATGGAAAACTTCAACCTCGATCGGGTGACTCAGACGTCGTCACGAAAGAAACTTTCGCGTAGCTATTCAAAGCGCAGTCACCTGCTTTTGACGAAGTGCGCTCGCCACTTGCATTCTCGGTTAGTTCCCCTCCAACAGAGCTGTCGACCTGAGGCCGCGACAGCAGGACCAGGACCAGCAGCAGCGGCGGCAGCAGCAGAAGAAGCCTACTCGAGTGTTCTTAGGTCTTAGTCCGGGTGTCCGTCAAGCCATGTGTGCCGGTCTGTCGGTCGGTTTTGCCAAATGTGACAACGCACCGCGCTTGCCCAGGGGGTTACCTATCTGTCTGGCGCGGATGAACACCCGTGCGTACCGCAGGCATGCCTCGTCGTTCGAGCCACTTGACATCTCCGTCACAACTCAATCGGGCTCGACCCACACAACACACACCACCACCATTGCGGCGGAACTTTCCCCTCTCACCTCTCGCCACCAAAGCCAACTACACAACTCAACATGAACCCTACTGCTAGCGACGCCACCGTGCCTCGCTTCGTACGCGCCGTCTACGACATGCTGCAGAACGAAGACCAGCGCATCCTCTCCTGGTCGGCGGACGGGTCGCACTTCCAGGTGTACGACGTCCCGCGGCTCGAGACAGAGGTGCTGCGCAAGTACTTCAAGCACGGCAAGTTCACCAGCTTCCAGCGCCAGCTCAACAACTTCGGCTTCCACAAGTGGACCAAGACGCGCGCCAGCGTCGCCACCTTCAGCCACGACGTGCTCGTGTGGTGCCACGTGTCGGAGCTCGCCGTCCTGGTGAGCCGGATGAAGAAGAACAAGCCGACCACTGCTGCTGCAGCAGCAGCGACGGCGAGATCCACGACCATGTCTGCCAAGCGGCCCCGGAGCCTTCTGGCTGCGACGCCCGAGACGTCCAGCGCAGCGAAGAAGCAGAAGATGTCGCCGCGCGACGTGTGCGCCGTCGACGATCTGGCTGAAATCAGCTTTGACTGCGTGCTGGAGCCGCTATGGGCACTGGGCGACAACTGCAACACGGACGATGGGCTGCTGCTGGACCCGCTTGACTCCGTCGAGCTGACCGCGTTGGTCGAGCTGGACTGGGACGCCGCCATCTCGCCACTCCAGCTTGAGCTGGAAGCGGATGCTCGCGCCGATGAGAACAACAACAGCATCGACGTCGACTGCGCTGCGTCGGGGCTACTCAGCGAGGACGACGTGGCCGCTGTAGTATGCGACCTGGACGCCGCGCAGGTGCTGTCGAACTGCGAGCTGGACTCGCTGCTCGGTGACGCCTCCGACTCGGACGACGCTGACTTTGCCATCGACGCTAACTTCGATATGGCCACCAGCATTGGCATTGACGTCGCCCTGGACGCCGACAGCTTGCTGTTCGTGTAGGTTTGCACCGCTGTCAGCGTGTACGCACGTCAACCTGTGCACTGTGGGTGGTGCAGGTATATAGTGCTTCAGTGTCGTAGTATTGTATTGTGTAGAGTAGTAAAACAAACTGAATGCAACTAATTTATGAGCATCCATGCCATACTTGATTGAGCACCCTATTGAACGAATCGATATACCTTCGTGTGGCTTCGTGCAACGAGTGCAGGGTACGTATTTTCTTTGAACATGCTGGTGCTGAAGTGTGTTTCGGTGGTCGAGCAGTATCTTGGCCGTTTTCTGCTGCAATTCATCTACAACTTCAGTTGTCGACATGGCTACACTTTCGCACAGTAGTGGCTGTAGTGCAAGCGTATACTTGAGTACGCGACCGCCCTCCCATCTATTCTACTGTCGGCACTTCTACCTCCGAGCGAGGAGTTCGTGAGGCAGCGAGCGAGCACCCAAGCAGGCGGACAAACAACGCGGGGTCCAGTGTAAACACATGGAAAACTTCAACCTCGATCGGGCGACTCAGACGTGTCGTCACGAAAGAAACTTTCGCGTAGCTATTCAAAGCGCAGTCACCTGCTTTTGACGAAGTGCGCTCGCCACTTGCATTCTCGGTTAGTTCCCCTCCAACAGAGCTGTCGACCTGAGGCCGCGACAGCAGGACCAGGACCAGCAGCAGCGGCGGCAGCAGCAGAAGAAGCCTACTCGAGTGTTCATAGGTCTTAGTCCGGGTGTCCGTCAAGCCATGTGTGCCGGTCTGTCGGTCGGTTTTGCCAAATGTGACAACGCACCGCGCTTGCCCAGGGGGTTACCTATCTGTCTGGCGCGGATGAACACCCGTGCGTACCGCAGGCATGCCTCGTCGTTCGAGCCACTTGACATCTCCGTCACAACTCAATCGGGCTCGACCCACACAACACACACCACCACCATTGCGGCGGAACCTTTCCCCCTCTCACCTCTCACCACCAAAGCCAACTACACAACTCAACATGAACCCTACTGCTAGCGACGCCACCGTGCCTCGCTTCGTACGCGCCGTCTACGACATGCTGCAGAACGAAGACCAGCGCATCCTCTCCTGGTCGGCGAACGGGTCGCACTTCCAGGTGTACGACGTCCCGCGGCTCGAGACAGAGGTGCTGCGCAAGTACTTCAAGCACGGCAAGTTCACCAGCTTCCAGCGCCAGCTCAACAACTTCGGCTTCCACAAGTGGACCAAGACGCGCGCCAGCGTCGCCACCTTCAGCCACGACGTGCTCGTGCGGTGCCACGTGTCGGAGCTCGCCGTCCTGGTGAGCCGGATGAAGAAGAACAAGCCGACCATTGCTGCTGCAGCAGCAGCGACGGCGAGATCCACGACCATGTCTGCCAAGCGGCCCCGGAGCCTTCTGGCTGCGACGCCCGAGACGTCCAGCGCAGCGAAGAAGCAGAAGATGTCGCCGCGCGACGTGTGCGCCGTCGACGATCTGGCTGAAATCAGCTTTGACTGCGTGCTGGAGCCGCTATGGGCACTGGGCGACAACTGCAACACGGACGATGGGCTGCTGCTGGACCCGCTTGACTCCGTCGAGCTGACCGCGTTGGTCGAGCTGGACTGGGACGCCGCCATCTCGCCACTCCAGCTTGAGCTGGAAGCGGATGCTCGCGCCGATGAGAACAACAACAGCATCGACGTCGACTGCGCTGCGTCGGGGCTACTCAGCGAGGACGACGTGGCCGCTGTAGTATGCGACCTGGAAGCCGCGCAGGTGCTGTCGAACTGCGAGCTGGACTCGCTGCTCGGTGACGCCTCCGACTCGGACGACGCTGACTTTGCCATCGACGCTTACTTCGATATGGCCACCAGCATTGGCATCAACGTCGCCCTGGACGCCGACAGCTTGCTGTTCGTGTAGGTTTGCACCGCTGTCAGCGTGTACGCACGTCAACCTGTGCACTGTGGGTGGTGCAGGTATATAGTGCTTCAGTGTCGTAGTATTGTATTGTGTAGAGTAGTAAAACAAACTGAATGCAACTAATTTATGAGCATCCATGCCATACTTGATTGAGCACCCTATTGAACGAATCGATATACCTTCGTGTGGCTTCGTGCAACGAGTGCAGGGTACGTATTTTCTTTGAACATGCTGGTGCTGAAGTGTGTTTCGGTGGTCGAGCAGTATCTTGGCCGTTTTCTGCTGCAATTCATCTACAACTTCAGTTGTCGACATGGCTACACTTTCGCACAGTAGTGGCTGTAGTGCAAGTGTATACTTGAGTACGCGACCGCCCTCCCATCTATTCTACTGTCGGCACTTCTACCTCCGAGCGAGGAGTTCGTGAGGCAGCGAGCGAGCACCCAAGCAGGCGGACAAACAACGCGGGGTCCAGTGTAAACACATGGAAAACTTCAACCTCGATCGGGCGACTCAGACGTGTCGTCACGAAAGAAACTTTCGCGTAGCTATTCAAAGCGCAGTCACCTGCTTTTGACGAATTGCGCTCGCCACTTGCATTCTCGGTTAGTTCCCCTCCAACAGAGCTGTCGACCTGAGGCCGCGACAGCAGGACCAGGACCAGCAGCAGCGGCGGCAGCAGCAGAAGAAGCCTACTCGAGTGTTCATAGGTCTTAGTCCGGGTGTCCGTCAAGCCATGTGTGCCGGTCTGTCGGTCGGTTTTGCCAAATGTGACAACGCACCGCGCTTGCCCAGGGGGTTACCTATCTGTCTGGCGCGGATGAACACCCGTGCGTACCGCAGGCGTGCCTCGTCGTTCGAGCCACTTGGCATCTCCGTCACAACTCAATCGGGCTCGACCCACACAACACACACCACCACCATTGCGGCGGAACTTTCCCCTCTCACCTCTCGCCACCAAAGCCAACTACACAACTCAACATGAACCCTACTGCTAGCGACGCCACCGTGCCTCGCTTCGTACGCGCCGTCTACGACATGCTGCAGAACGAAGACCAGCGCATCCTCTCCTGGTCGGCGGACGGGTCGCACTTCCAGGTGTACGACGTCCCGCGGCTCGAGACAGAGGTGCTGCGCAAGTACTTCAAGCACGGCAAGTTCACCAGCTTCCAGCGCCAGCTCAACAACTTCGGCTTCCACAAGTGGACCAAGACGCGCGCCAGCGTCGCCACCTTCAGCCACGACGTGCTCGTGCGGTGCCACGTGTCGGAGCTCGCCGTCCTGGTGAGCCGGATGAAGAAGAACAAGCCGACCACTGCTGCTGCAGCAGCAGCGACGGCGAGATCCACGACCATGTCTGCCAAGCGGCCCCGGAGCCTTCTGGCTGCGACGCCCGAGACGTCCAGCGCAGCGAAGAAGCAGAAGATGTCGCCGCGCGACGTGTGCGCCGTCGACGATCTGGCTGAAATCAGCTTTGACTGCGTGCTGGAGCCGCTATGGGCACTGGGCGACAACTGCAACACGGACGATGGGCTGCTGCTGGACCCGCTTGACTCCGTCGAGCTGACCGCGTTGGTCGAGCTGGACTGGGACGCCGCCATCTCGCCACTCCAGCTTGAGCTGGAAGCGGATGCTCGCGCCGATGAGAACAACAACAGCATCGACGTCGACTGCGCTGCGTCGGGGCTACTCAGCGAGGACGACGTGGTCGCCGTAGAATGCGACCTGGACGCCGCGCAGGTGCTGTCGAACTGCGAGCTGGACTCGCTGCTCGGTGACGCCTCCGACTCGGACGACGCTGACTTTGCCATCGACGCTAACTTCGATATGGCCACCAGCATTGGCATCGACGTCGCCCTGGACGCCGACAGCTTGCTGTTCGTGTAGGTTTGCACCGCTGTCAGCGTGTACGCACGTCAACCTGTGCACTGTGGGTGGTGCAGGTATATAGTGCTTCAGTGTCGTAGTATTGTATTGTGTAGAGTAGTAAAACAAACTGAATGCAACTAATTTATGAGCATCCATGCCATACTTGATTGAGCACCCTATTGAACGAATCGATATACCTTCGTGTGGCTTCGTGCAACGAGTGCAGGGTACGTATTTTCTTTGAACATGCTGGTGCTGAAGTGTGTTTCGGTGGTCGAGCAGTATCTTGGCCGTTTTCTGCTGCAATTCATCTACAACTTCAGTTGTCGACATGGCTACACTTTCGCACAGTAGTGGCTGTAGTGCAAGTGTATACTTGAGTACGCGACCGCCCTCCCATCTATTCTACTGTCGGCACTTCTACCTCCGAGCGAGGAGTTCGTGAGGCAGCGAGCGAGCACCCAAGCAGGCGGACAAACAACGCGGGGTCCAGTGTAAACACATGGAAAACTTCAACCTCGATCGGGTGACTCAGACGTCGTCACGAAAGAAACTTTCGCGTAGCTATTCAAAGCGCAGTCACCTGCTTTTGACGAAGTGCGCTCGCCACTTGCATTCTCGGTTAGTTCCCCTCCAACAGAGCTGTCGACCTGAGGCCGCGACAGCAGGACCAGGACCAGCAGCAGCGGCGGCAGCAGCAGAAGAAGCCTACTCGAGTGTTCTTAGGTCTTAGTCCGGGTGTCCGTCAAGCCATGTGTGCCGGTCTGTCGGTCGGTTTTGCCAAATGTGACAACGCACCGCGCTTGCCCAGGGGGTTACCTATCTGTCTGGCGCGGATGAACACCCGTGCGTACCGCAGGCGTGCCTCGTCGTTCGAGCCACTTGGCATCTCCGTCACAACGCAATCGGGCTCGACCCACACAACACACACCACCACCATTGCGGCGGAACCTTTCCCCTCTCACCTCTCACCACCAAAGCCAACTACACAACTCAACATGAACCCTACTGCTAGCGACGCCACCGTGCCTCGCTTCGTACGCGCCGTCTACGACATGCTGCAGAACGAAGACCAGCGCATCCTCTCCTGGTCGGCGGACGGGTCACACTTCCAGGTGTACGACGTCCCGCGGCTCGAGACAGAGGTGCTGCGCAAGTACTTCAAGCACGGCAAGTTCACCAGCTTCCAGCGCCAGCTCAACAACTTCGGCTTCCACAAGTGGACCAAGACGCGCGCCAGCGTCGCCACCTTCAGCCACGACGTGCTCGTGTGGTGCCACGTGTCGGAGCTCGCCGTCCTGGTGAGCCGGATGAAGAAGAACAAGCCGACCACTGCTGCTGCAGCAGCAGCGACGGCGAGATCCACGACCATGTCTGCCAAGCGGCCCCGGAGCCTTCTGGCTGCGACGCCCGAGACGTCCAGCGCAGCGAAGAAGCAGAAGATGTCGCCGCGCGACGTGTGCGCCGTCGACGATCTGGCTGAAATCAGCTTTGACTGCGTGCTGGAGCCGCTATGGGCACTGGGCGACAACTGCAACACGGACGATGGGCTGCTGCTGGACCCGCTTGACTCCGTCGAGCTGACCGCGTTGGTCGAGCTGGACTGGGACGCCGCCATCTCGCCACTCCAGCTTGAGCTGGAAGCGGATGCTCGCGCCGATGAGAACAACAACAGCATCGACGTCGACTGCGCTGCGTCGGGGCTACTCAGCGAGGACGACGTGGCCGCTGTAGTATGCGACCTGGACGCCGCGCAGGTGCTGTCGAACTGCGAGCTGGACTCGCTGCTCGGTGACGCCTCCGACTCGGACGACGCTGACTTTGCCATCGACGCTGACTTCGATATGACCACTAGCGTTGACATCGACGTCGCCCTGGACGCCGACAGCTTGCTGTTCGTGTAGGTTTGCACCGCTGTCAGCGTGTACGCACGTCAACCTGTGCACTGTGGGTGGTGCAGGTATATAGTGCTTCAGTGTCGTAGTATTGTATTGTGTAGAGTAGTAAAACAAACTGAATGCAACTAATTTATGAGCATCCATGCCATACTTGATTGAGCACCCTATTGAACGAATCGATATACCTTCGTGTGGCTTCGTGCAACGAGTGCAGGGTACGTATTTTCTTTGAACATGCTGGTGCTGAAGTGTGTTTCGGTGGTCGAGCAGTATCTTGGCCGTTTTCTGCTGCAATTCATCTACAACTTCAGTTGTCGACATGGCTACACTTTCGCACAGTAGTGGCTGTAGTGCAAGTGTATACTTGAGTACGCGACCGCCCTCCCATCTATTCTACTGTCGGCACTTCTACCTCCGAGCGAGGAGTTCGTGAGGCAGCGAGCGAGCACCCAAGCAGGCGGACAAACAACGCGGGGTCCAGTGTAAACACATGGAAAACTTCAACCTCGATCGGGTGACTCAGACGTCGTCACGAAAGAAACTTTCGCGTAGCTATTCAAAGCGCAGTCACCTGCTTTTGACGAAGTGCGCTCGCCACTTGCATTCTCGGTTAGTTCCCCTCCAACAGAGCTGTCGACCTGAGGCCGCGACAGCAGGACCAGGACCAGCAGCAGCGGCGGCAGCAGCAGAAGAAGCCTACTCGAGTGTTCTTAGGTCTTAGTCCGGGTGTCCGTCAAGCCATGTGTGCCGGTCTGTCGGTCGGTTTTGCCAAATGTGACAACGCACCGCGCTTGCCCAGGGGGTTACCTATCTGTCTGGCGCGGATGAACACCCGTGCGTACCGCAGGCGTGCCTCGTCGTTCGAGCCACTTGGCATCTCCGTCACAACGCAATCGGGCTCGACCCACACAACACACACCACCACCATTGCGGCGGAACCTTTCCCCTCTCACCTCTCACCACCAAAGCCAACTACACAACTCAACATGAACCCTACTGCTAGCGACGCCACCGTGCCTCGCTTCGTATGCGCCGTCTACGACATGCTGCAGAACGAAGACCAGCGCATCCTCTCCTGGTCGGCGGACGGGTCGCACTTCCAGGTGTACGACGTCCCGCGGCTCGAGACAGAGGTGCTGCGCAAGTACTTCAAGCACGGCAAGTTCACCAGCTTCCAGCGCCAGCTCAACAACTTCGGCTTCCACAAGTGGACCAAGACGCGCGCCAGCGTCGCCACCTTTAGCCACGACGTGCTCTAGACAAAAATATACTACGACTGAAGCACGATATACCTGCACATTAATGCAACACGTTACCGTGCCTGCATACTGTACACGCAGGCAGCGGTGCAAATCTACACAAAGAGCAAGCTGTCGGCGTGCAGAGCGACGTCCATGTCAATGCTGGTGGCCATATCGAAGTCAGCGTCGATGGCAAAGTCAGCGTCGTCCGAGTCGGAGGCGTCACCGAGCAGCGAGTCCAGCTCGCAGTTCGACAGCACCTGCGCGGCGTCCAGGTCGCATACTACAGCGGCCACGTCGTCCTCGCTGAGTAGCCCCGACGCAGCGCAGTCGACGTCGATGCTGTTGTTGTTCTCATCGGCGCGAGCATCCGCTTCCAGCTCAAGCTGGAGTGGCGAGATGGCGGCGTCCCAGTCCAGCTCGACCAACGCGGTCAGCTCGACGGAGTCAAGCGGGTCCAGCAGCAGCCCATCGTCCGTGTTGCAGTTGTCGCCCAGTGCCCATAGCGGCTCCAGCACGCAGTCAAAGCTGATTTCAGCCAGATCGTCGACGGCGCACACGTCGCGCGGCGACATCTTCTGCTTCTTCGCTGCGCTGGACGTCTCGGGCGTCGCAGCCAGAAGGCTCCGGGGCCGCTTGGCAGACATGGTCGTGGATCTCGCCGTCGCTGCTGCTGCAGCAGCAGTGGTCGGCTTGTTCTTCTTCATCCGGCTCACCAGGACGGCGAGCTCCGACACGTGGCACCGCACGTGTACAGTAGTAAACGGAATGCAACGAATTTATGAACGCCAATGCCATCATACCTTGATCAACGGATCGATTCACGAACGTCTGATCTAGTGGGTTGGTGCAAAGGACAATAACTTTTCATTCAGAATTTCTGAATGAAAAGTTCTCGTCCTTTTAGATTGTTCTCTTGTTGAAGCTGGTTACGGTTGCTGAACAGTATCTTGGCCGTTCAAGTCGCAAGAAGGTTATCGCTAGCATCATCATATACATTTGCTTAAAAGAAAAGGATTGCTGGGATTGCTATTCGGCCATATCTGACTCAAATCCAGTCACCGTTGCCTACGGATTTATCGTATCCACATATCGCTGCACGGTACACATACCGCAACCGCAGCGGGTGCATGCGTTCCTTGGGACTTCGGGATCCCACTGCATCTTCATGTGCCTCAGTAGTCAAAGTCGTCGCGCTCGGTGTAGTCGTCCTCGGTATTGCGCCAACGACGCCTCGCACCAATCTACGAAAACACAAAGACACGCATGCCCTCTGAATCACATCCAAAAATACCGCAAAACTACCATCGCTTGCTTACCTCGTCCAGGTCCTCGCTGTCCGCCAGAGACTCGTCCGATGACTCTTCGTCAGGGTAGTCGTTCGCGACATGGTCCTCATCGTTCGAGTCCTCGCTCAATCTACACAGCACGCCAACACAGGCAAGAGCAGGCGTTAAAACAAATCCAGCAGAGGCCACCATCGCCAGCAACCCGCCGTCTCTCAGCATTGTGCTCTTTAGATCGGTCCCGATCGCGCCAACATGCCCTCGTCACGCGTGCCTCAGCGGTCCCAGGGGTATCTATACAGGCGTGCGTACCCGTCCACTTCTTCGTTGCTATCGATGTCGGACTCCAGCATGTATTCCTTCACCTCGTCACTCGGCTCTTCGGACAGCCACCGATGCACCTCCGAGCTCACACTAACAACGGGCACACCGTTCACACTTGTTTGTTCCGCACCGTCTTCGGAACTTGTAGCAGTATCGTGTGCGGTGCCTTGGCTCTCACTAGCAGAGATATCAACGCAGTACACGTCGTACACGTAGTCCTTCTCCTGCTCTGCTTCCTCGCATGCCAATAGTGCCGTTTCCACATTGTCGTGGCCTCCACGCTTCGCAAAAACCGCCGCAGTAGCTCCTTCCCAGTCTTGCTGAAGAACACTCGTTGTACCCGAGCGCAGCAACACTTCAATCACATCACTCCGTCCGTGCAGCGCCGCCGCCATGAGAATCGTACTGCCGTCTGCGGGTCTCTGGAACGACACAGGGTCCACACGCAGTTCCGGTCGCCGCGCATGGTAAATCTGGAAGAACGGGGCAAAGTCGTTGGCGCGGAAGGCGTTCCAAATGGCTTCATCCAGCTCGCGCTCGTGCGGGTTCAACACGCGCGTGGGTTTCAGCCGCGCTCCATTCACCGTGACCAAGTCCGTCTTGCTCTTCTCCAGGACAGTGACACCTTCCTCCTTCTTCTCTTCTTTACTGCTAGCGACAGTGGACACCTGCAGGTCCACGAGTCGGATGCCGTGCAGCTCCATCGTCTGCTTCTCTTTGATCTCCACGACTGGCTGGAGGCCTCTGGACTTGAGCATTTCCTCGTTGCGTCGCGCCTTGGAGCGGCTTTGCTGCTGCTTGACGCGCCTCTCCGTCTGCTTTGAAGCTGTAGGGTCTTTCTGGAACACGGGTGCAATCTGCTTCTTGGCCAGCATGTCGGCGCGCTCGTCCTTGAGCGACCGAGCCTTGCGCTTGAGTCTCTCCGTCCACTTGACGCGGCCCGGAGCGATCGGCTCCTCCATCGTGTCAATGTGCTTGAACACGAAGCGCTTCTCGGTGGTCGACAGCTTCGTGAAGGCCTGCAGCAGGTCCTCGGCCTTGCCTTTGCTGCGCTTGGCGTCGGGCTCGCTCTGCTGCACCACGAGACACTCCATCGGGTCGTCCGTGCGCTTGCGCTTGAGCCGCAGGAACACGTAGGACGGCTTCTCATTGGCGCCCTCGGTACTAGGCTTGGAAGCGCGCGTTACTCGAGCGGCGGTGGCCGATGGCGCGGCGCGGGCGCCTGTACTGGTCGAAGGTGTCGGCGACGCCTTCTCGTCCACCATTGCTATAGAAGTTAGTACCCAAGTGGGGATATGTACCTATTTTGTGGTACGAGGATGATGGCTACATTTGTGTGAACATGTAGACGAATGGGGGTAGCCATTTTTGGGAAGTGCAACGTGTGAGTGAGCGTATTAATAGCGAGTGAGCACTGCAGCTGCAGTGGGTGACGCTATGCTGGACTAGTGCTGCAATCGACAAGGAGTTTTCGAGCGGCTGTAGCCATGAGCACGGTCGTTGTGGATGATCTGCGCCACGAGATGGACGAGAATGTCGTCGCCGCCTCTGCGACGGCCAAGCGCAAGCCGAGTGGGGGAGGGGGACCCAAGCCTGGAGATGTCAAGGCCAGCTTCCTCATTCGAACGCTGCCCAGGGACTGCAACCCGACGCCGATTCCTACGTGCGGGATGGGTCGAAGCTCTTCAGGGCTGCTCTCTCCTTTGATGAACAAACGACAGGAGGCGGAGCTGGAGATTCTGCAGCTAGACAACCCGTTCGACGACATCACGGAAGAAAAGTTGGTAAGTTGCAGGATTTACGTTGGTATTTGGGTCGTAGCTTTGCTGGGAACTTACTTCAGTATTGCAGAGGCAACTCACAGGCAGTCACGACCTCGAGCGAGTCACTTCGCTGCAGATTTCGGTCGACTCTTCAAAGCAGTCGGTGGAGGTGATCGGAGAGCTGTTACCATCGTTGCAGCAGCTTCGACTGCAACAGAGCTCGCTCAGCAGCTTCCGGGATCTGGGCACGTCTCTCCGATCACTGCGCATTCTTTGGGCAATGCACTGCCAAATCTCCGACCTGGACGGCATCGGGGCGCTGCTGAATTTACAGGAGCTGTACCTGCAGCACAACAACGTGAGCGACATCAGCCCTTTGGCGATGCACGAAGAACTCCGCATTATTGGTGGGGCCAGGTTGAGTTGACAAGAGGAGTTTGTGTTGGTGCCAATGTGTACTTATATTGTGTGTTACCTGTACAGATCTCGAAGGGAACCGCGTGGCCGATATCGGACAGACTGAGCAGCTAGGTGGGCAAACTTTATATTAGCCTAGATGCGATCAACATCTAACGTTGTGCGTTGCCTGGATATTAGCTTTTTGTCCACAGTTGACGACGCTGAACTTGACTGGAAACCCAGTTGAAAGCGTCGAGCGCTACAGACAAATCGTAGCGAACTTTGTACCGCAGCTCGTGTCGTTGGATGATCGAGCTTTCTCCGATAGTGAACGTGTCAAGCTGTCGGATTCGGAGATTGACGCCGCCATCGTCAAACACCATCAGCAGCAAGTAGAGCTCTCGAGTTGCGAGTCTACCACTAATTTACGAGTGAACGACATCAGCAGTCCTCGCCAGCTTTCGTATTCCTCGAGTACTGCAAGTCTGAACGGACTGCCAATTGATTCCCCGCACAACGAAGACTCGGGTAGCCGCCTCACGCACGGAACCGACATTGTATTCGCTGGAAATGTGTCGAGCGCGTTGCGCAGACATCGATACGAAGCTGAAACCGGGTCGAAGCTCGACCTCCACAACTCTTCTGGGACCAGTTCCGAAGGATCCATTACTGCAGCTGACTCGCGTCCATCTTCAGCTCACGGACTGCCTGAGCGTCCAAAGACACCTGCACGGCGTATTTCCATCACGGACACCCTGGATCGGGCTAAAGAACTCGATACCCACAAGCACAAGTCGCGCGACGCCATCCTCGACGAACTCAAGTCGTGGCAACTTGACAGTGTTGGTACTTCTCAGATCGGCGTTCCTGGCGATAATGGCGAAGCGCTCTACCTGGAGACGGATAGCTCACCAAGTCGAAGCAGATCTCGGAGAAAAGGAAGCATTGGTATAACTGGGAGTGACGCCACCGCTGCCGCTAGAGCACGACTGGAGCGCCGACCTAACACCTCCGCTGGAGTGCTGCGTAATGGTGCCAATGTACGAGAAGCTTTCGTCGAGATGTCAACGAGCAGGAACAACTGTCCACGACCGAGCTCTAGAGGAGGGTCTTCGAGACAGCGTGGCTCGACTTCGGGCAGTTCGGGAGTGGACATCCTGATTTTAAATGGCGGTGACGATGCTAAGCGCGCTTGCTCCCCAACCAAGACGCCTAGGGGAATTTACACAACCGCGTCCAGCTGCACGAAAGCTTTGGGCCACCACCACGACTGGAATTTGGAGGTTCTTTCACCGAAAGTGGACATCACCACGGCAAAACGTCACCTGCCATCTTCACTGAGCAGCAAACAGCTACTGGAGCGCTCTCAAAAGCGAGCAGGGTCTGGAAAAACCGCGGACGATGACGACTCAAGCGATAGTGACGCCGACGATGAGTAAGTATCCCGTGAGTATTGAGCTTGCTCGCTTGTTGTGTAATGACTGGGCTTGTGTCTGAAGTAAATAACGCTTGGTTTGCTCTGCCCTTTGTGAACTTCAGATCAAGCGTGTGTCCAGCTGTGTCCACAGAGTTTAGCAGCCCAACGCCGGTACCCAAGACAGCGTTCTTCAATGTGGCTGCGAGTTTGAACGCGATTGAGAAGTGGAGGGACGAAATGGAGTACGACGCAGAGGACACCGCCATCTTGAGTATCGCCAGTCTCCAGCAGAGTTGTCTTTCACCGCGTACTGCCGCTGGGCCTGTTCAAGAGGCAACCAATAGCACCAGCGTCTCCGATGGCAGTAACAGCGGCAGTATCCCTAGTGGCAACCAACAGCAGTCCCCTACACGCCAGCAACAACAAGAGTCAAAGCTGGTGCTTGGCCCAGGGAACACCGAAAGTGACAGTCAGAACGTCAAGCTGCTGAAAGAAAAACACGGACAGCTCAAAACTCGCGATGGCTTCCGATCTTACTTTCGCGGTATCGAAGAGGAGCGCCTGGAGGGTATTCTACGTCAAGCATTTGCAGACAACGACAGAGTGCAGCGTCGAATGCAGCTCATGAGTGGGTTCTTCCGCCACGAACTACAGTGATAAAACTAGTGAAGCAATACAACAAATGGTGGACACAAAACCATACGTACAAGGAAGTAGTCGCCGGGTGTATTAGGCAAATAGGGCCGACGCATTAAATTCTTCCTACCTTGTTGACAGGAGCCAATTGGCCACCTAACAGGTCAGCACTCCCGCATCCACCCGCAAGTTGCACGATTTAGCGGCTTCAACCCAGTCGTTGACGATAATCCACGTCTAATTGGAGCAATTTACGAGCGGTAGTCGGCGTTGATGGCCACGTACTCGTGCGTAAGGTCGATGCCCAGCACCTGCGTCTCCTCCGAGCCAACACCCAGGTCAATCTCCATCTGCAAATACAGAAACCCACGATTAGAAACATCATTCTCTAGACAGCATTGAGTCACAATACACTCGTACCTCAACAAACTTTCCGTGCGGCGGGTAGTTGTGCGAGCTGGCGTCGAGGCCACCGCGGGTGGGCTCGATCAGCATCGCGTCGCGCATGTGGGCCACGAGCTTGGCCTCGATCTCGTCGTTCAGCACCATTTCGCCGTTCTCGAAGATGACGACGCCGCCCATGCGGATCGTCATGCGGCGCTGGATGTCCACGTCCTTGTGGTGCAGCCCCATGTACTTGCCCACAGCCATGACAAGGCGGCCCACGTTCGGGTCGTTGCCGGCCACGGCGCACTTAAGCAGCGGCGAGTTGACCACCGACTTGCCCACGCCCTTGGCCATCTCCTTGGTCATGGCGCCGCGCACGCGCACGCGCATGACGTGGTGCGCGCCCTCGCCGTTGCGCACGATGTCCTCGCTCAGACCGAGACACACCTCGTGCAGCGCCTTCTTGAACTCGTCGAGCTTGGTCATGTCGAACGGGATCTGGTCCGACGACACGAGCGTCACCGTGTCGGACGTGCTCTGGTCCGTGTCGACGCTGAGCGAGTTGTACGTGTCGCCCACCACCTCGGTCAGCAGCTGGCGCAGCACGTCGCGCGGGATCGACAGGTCCGTGAGAATGTACGACAGCATGGTAGCCATGTTGGGCTCGATCATGCCGGCGCCCTTGGCGATGCCCACGATGCGGCCGCCGCACACGTCCATGGAGCGGATCTTGGGGTACAGGTCGGTGGTCATGATGCCCTCAGCAGCGGGCAGCACCGAATCGGACTGCAGGTTGTTCACCAGCTTGGGCAGGTTCTCGACCATGGAGTCCACGGGGATGCGCCAGCCGATGACGCCCGTGGAGCACGGGATCACCTGGGCGCCGCCCTCGAGCCGCAGGTGCTTGGCCAGGTTCTCGCAGACCTCCTCGGCGTCGGCCACGCCGCCGCCGCTGGCGCAGACGTTGGAGATCTTGTTGTTGACGAGGATGGCGCCGATCGTGGGCTCGTGCAGGCGCTTGCGGCCCACGAGCACGGGCGCGCCCGGGAAGGCGTTCTGCGTGAACACGGCGGCGAAGAGCGGCGTGGGCTTGACGGGCTTGATGAGCGTCATGGTCATCTTGGCCGGCAGGTGGGGCGCCTCGCGCGGCACGAAGTCGAACTTGGTGGTGGCCACCGAGAAGCCCCAGGGCAGGCGGCTCTGGTGCGTCTGCAGGTACTCCATATACTCGTGGCGCGACTCGAACACGAACGGGTGGCCGTGCGTCGACAGGCAGCGCGCCTGCAGCAGCGCGCGCGGGCGCAGAGACAGCGACGACAAGCGCAGGAGCGTCATGGCCGGCAGTGGGGATGAGGAGTCGACGCTTCACCAAGTGGGGCCCAGACCAGTTAAACGCGGATCTGCTCGAGCATATTTCCTGTGGAGCACACAAGAGAGAGATCGGGCCTCTAAACTTTTGTTTCGTTCACTACTGTGCGTAACCAGGTCAGCGCTGTAGGGACCGCTTATCCACGGTGTCTTGGTGCTGGAGATGTAGGCGACCTCCAAGGCTGGGACGGTTGTGAACCAAAGCGAAGCAAGGCGTAGCTGTGTATGTGCGCAGCTCACAGCGGGACAAAAGAGTCTGTCTGTATCGAAGCAGCAGACAGGTTGAAGTGGTTGAAGTCGCACTTTGTATATACACAAAGAAAAGTGTATTTTCACCTTACATTACCCACAATTCAGCAATCGGCCCCACTGTTGCAATAGGTAGGTCTGATGAAGGACGAGAGCATGGGGCCACCACCTGCGCACGAGGACGGCACCGACTCGGAGGCCCCGCTGCCGCCGCCACCGCCCCCTCCCCCTCCTCCCCAGGTGCGGCCGGAAGACGAGCTCAAGAAGAAGCGCCCGCAGTCGCAGTCCCAGCCGCAGCCGCTCAAGCCCAAGCAGAAGAAGAAGGACTTCCGCGAGATTCTGGCGCTCTTCCACGACGAGAGCGCGGACGCGGCGCGCGTCAAGCGCGTGTGGGGCGCGCTCTGGCAGACGACGCTGACGGAGGCGCAGGAGGAGCACAAGCGGCGCCGGCAGCAGGAGCAGCACGGGCTCAAGCGCAAGAAGGACGAGCTGGGCGGGCCCATGTCGGTCCGCGGCTCGCTCTCGCGCCACGGCAGCCTCACGCAGGACCACCTCAAGCGCGCACGACAGGTGCGGGCCTTTTGGTTGTTGTGGCTGCAGTCTTTTGGGTGCATTTGCTGATGCTTTGTGTGTGATTGTAGGGCTCCTCAGCCAGCACGGACTCGTCCGAGTCCAACAAGGCCAGTCGATTGGGAGGCAGGTTCCCCAAGAACGTGCCCAAGGGGTCCAAGCTCATGCAGAAGTTCGGCGGCCGCAATTAAGTAAATATATAGGGGTGAGAGGGGACTTCTTCAGTGCTCGACAGACAGTCGCTTCCGTGGTTTGTCGAGAGCGAGTCGAGGGCCTTCCGGGTTGTGATTGAGTGGAACCACGGACGACGAGAGGAGAGTGAAGCTGCTGCGAGGCGTGCTGAACGCGACACTGGATCGACGCCGTGACCTCGGGCTCGGAGACTCACCATCTTCGGGTTGGAGACTGATGCGCTTGTGCTTCTTTGTGAATACGCCCCAGAAACAGATACGTGAGTGCGCTTCCCCATCACGAACCATGACGCCGAAGTCCAGGGCACAGCTCGGAGTCGCCTCTGGGAGACCGTAACTGTTGGGTTTCTCTAGTTCCATCGAGTTGCGGATGATGCTTTTCGCGCGCACGGGGCAGTTCAGCAGCACTTCTAGCTCTGACCGTTCGTACCGTGGCTCTTGCTGCTGACTTGGCTGTCGGGTGCTTTGAAGCAGGTCCTGCATGGAGGGGGTCGGCTTCAACATCCTGGATCCGGCGATAACGCTCGGTCCTCGTCGTTTGCCCCATCTCCGACGGATCCAAGCAGCGACGCGTTCGTAGCGCAGAAAGTAAGTCGTCTTGAGCGCACTGTACAGCGTGAGGACCCCGAAGCTTGTGTCGATAATGTGCACCAAAGGGCCGTACTGCACCCACAGCACGTCAGCAGGTGTGATCACGACCGAGTCCAAGCCCAGATTGAAGCTGTAGCTGTGTGCGAGAAAGCCCGGGAATGATGTGAAGTCGTACAGGCGCTGGCGTTCAAGCGTCCACTTGGTCTCACACATGGAGAAAATCTTGTCCCGCATCACGAACGATACGACCGTCACGACCGCCAATATCTCCACGCTCGCGAGGTACGTTCGCCGAGCTATCCGGTAGGCACGCTTCTCTTGAGCGGCGACGAATAACCCCCAGAGACTATTCACCAGCAGCAACAGCAACACCCAGACGCGAATGTCTTGCAACTTCTGAGCGAATGAGTCGCTCCATGTCCAAACGACCGAATTAGGCTGGACGATTTGCCACGAGAGTAGCTGGGATACAAACGTTGCAGCCACCACACGCGGATTCCGGTACATAGATCTCGAGAAGAAGGAGTAAAAGAAGTCTTCGTTCAGAAGTTCATCATTGACTGGCGCGTTGTCTTGTCTCGGGGCATGCGCTTGAAGACTTACTCCACCTAGTTGGTCTCTTGAGCCAGACGTGGACACGGAGTTCAGTGAAGACCGACGTACGTTGAGTCTGGAGGGCGTGTCACTTTCTCTAGAAGAAGACAGTCGCTCCCGTATCAGCGCCAGACGCCGGACAACCCGGAGGTTGCGAAAATGCCGTGCAGTTGGGTATAGAACCCATGCCAGCACCTCGAGGGAGCTAAAGAAATGGAGCAGTAGCAGAGTGGAGTCAATAACAGCGAGCATCACGTACAACTGACCGAAGGAGCTGAAGTTTGCTGTCGTGTGAGTTGTCAAGTGCACAGTTCGAGATGCAGCCCCCAGTCCGTTTGAAGCGTGACTTGACTCTGGAGGCGACCCCAAGAGGAAGTAGCTGTGTGTGTTTTGACGAATTTCCCATCGGATGTTCATCCACTGAATGATGTCCATCGTCAGCCACGCAGCAGGAAATGCACGCCTGGGTGCTCCACCCCCACGAAAGCACTGCGATGCTGACTTGGGCTCCCGCAGATGTACAAGTTCGGCACATACTTGGAGGACTCACCCGCCACTTCATTTTCTAGGGCGGACGCACCGACCACGAAACCTTCAGCACACGTGACTCCATACAACGGGACGGCGAAGCTCAGCAAGTCCAGCATGTCCAGCAATTCCCTTTCTGCAGAGCTACCCACCGGAGCCATCCAGTTCACTGGAGCGTCTATAGCTGAAAACACGTAACGATGATTAAAGTGTGCAACAATCCCCTCCTGGCAGATCGGTGGTCTTCGCGAGACGAACAGCAGTGAGCAGCTCGCCCACGCTATCGCATCTGCACGGCTATCGGCTATCACCACCAATGAAGACGTTGCCTTGGTCGTGTTCGTCTCGGAATCTCCGTTCAAACGACAATTACTGAGTAGCGCACTCAGGAAGAAGGTGTTCCCAGGCGAGCAAAATGGCGTAATGGAGTGGCACCGCGAGAGGAACGCCGGCCAGCCTGACACCATAGTCACGTTATCCGTCGCAGTGGCTGAAGGTGTCGCTGGTGAGTCCTGGAGGTAGACTGTACTGCCCATTCCGAAATGGTACGAGTCGGACGGGCCAACCCAGATCAACTTGTACATGATCGCGAATATCGAGGCCGCACAAGAGAAATATCATGGCTAGACTCTTCAGTACGGGGGTCGCATGCTTCAGTTGCTGCCATCGCTTGGTCCAGACTCCTGGCGGCCTCACAAACAACGGTGCTGGAATGGGCGCTCCACTACCCGCTACCATCACCATAACGTGAGTCCGACCACAGCAGGTTGACTTGGAGAAATCTCGGGTATTGGGAAGAAGACTACACGCTTCCCAACTGCAGCACATGAACTGACACGCAAAAATAAATGTGAGAGCAGAACAAAGCACATAAATACATTGGTTCCCATCATCGAGTTCGTCAACTTATCACCCTACACTGGCGCGTGGTGGTTTCTTGCGGCTCCCCCCTTTGGATGCCTTGGAGTTCTGCAGCAAACGTCGAGCCGCAGCTTGTGCAACAGGACTCGACAGCAACGACACGCCGGCACCACTAACGCGAATATTTTCACTGTCGCCTGAGCGCAAATCGTGCAGTAGCTCTTCAAATCCACGCCCGTAGCTGATGTCACTGGAGAAGATGTAGCCTCGGCCCTCTCGTTCAAGCAGCCTTCCCAGTGACGAATCCACACCCCGCGGCTTCTTGGAGAAATAGATCGGCACGATAGTTTTACCTTTGTCTTCCGCAAACGCCAACTGGTCACTGACCAGCTCCGTCTTCACACTGCGTTCCGAGAGCATGACGAGAAATATGGAGCTCTGCAGAATTGCATCTTTTGCTGCCAGGATACGCTCCTTGGTGCTCGAAACATTCGTCATTGAATCGACCACGAAAGGAAACTGGTAGCGGCGCAGCTCAGTGCACAAGCGTGTTACGAAGTCACGATGGCAGTCTCCGTGCGATACAAAGATCGAGAACGTCGGCCCGCCGCCACCAAACGTATTCCGCCTCCCACTTCCTCGCACGATTACAGCGTTCACAATCTCATCCATTCGTCGGCGTCTCAGAGTTGCAGCCCGCCCCAGTGGTTGGTGTTTACTTACCATCGTTTGAGCAAGATCTCGGTCGCCTCCTAGCCGATGCATTTCCACTTCGTCGCGCAATCCGTCGATAAGGCTTCTTAAGCTTGCTTGGAATTTATCCTCGTCGATCTCGAACTCGACGTTGTGCACAGTCGACGTGTCTGATGATGTGGACCCGTCGTCACTTGAATCGACCATTTTCGAGTGATGAGACGTCACGGCTTGTCCAAACGGCACGATCTGCCGCGTGAAGACAAACAACTGCAATTCCTCCGACATTTTGACGGACTCGCACGAAATCGGCACCACTGGGACTTCGTGCTGCTTGGCGAATGCGAGCTCATCCATACACAAGACACTCTGCGCGTATCCTTCGCTGAGCATGCAAACTATGGCAGAAGCGTTCTTTATCACTTCCAACGACTTTTCCGAGGCACCCCCACCCTCTCTTCCAACCGCATCTTCAGCTTCACTGCGCATATGCACAGTCATAAAGTTCTGTTCAATGCCCGCGCGCGCACGCTCAGCAAACGCACGGAACACCGGGTCGAACGAAAGCACCACATCAACACAGCCACCTGCGACCTTGACAGCATATTGAAGCTCAGCTGATGCACAGCACTCCACAGCACGACGCCCGTCCCCGTTCAAAGCGTACAAATCAGCTTTACCTTCGACAAGCAGAGCTAACGCAGTTTCTTTATATCCGAGCCGCAGCGCGATGTGGAGAGGGGTTTCTTCGATCTCGTTCGGAACAAGATCATTGACATCTGCCCCAAAACGGACAAAGAGTTCGACACAGTCGCCCCGCAATAGTCCGCCATCCACTGCGAAAGCTAGCGGTGTCATTCCATCGTGATCCAATTGCAAGAAGTCAGCATCCACTGCAAGTAGCTCCTCGACTGCCCCAGCGTAGTTGTGGCAAGCTGCCCAGTGCAGCGGAGTGCGTCCATGACTATCCTTGGCGTTGACGTCAGCGCCTCGCTTGACAAGCTCACTAATCACGCGATGTCTTCCCATCACAGCCGCCCAGTGCAGTGGTGTACGGTTGTTGACTCCACGTTGAAACTCGCCCAGGATATCGGGACTGATACCCCACGACAGCAAATGCTGCACAGCAGCCAGGTTTCCTGCAGCTGCAGCTTCGTGAAGCGGAGTAAGTGCGACATCAGCACCCCACTCCTCAAGAACTGTAGCGAGTTCACGTCTCCCAGCGAGCTGCGCGCGTTGAAGCACCGTCGTACTGGAAGCGTTTCCACCACCCGGGACTAGAAGGATATTGGCTCGATGTCGGATCAGGCATTCCACAACGTCAGCGGAGTCCGCTAGAAAGATTGGTGTGACGCGCATTGAGCGCGAGAAGAAACTCGACCGAGCCAGGATATCGAGGTTGGCCCCATACTTCACCAAAAGATCAATAACCTGCGTGTGGCCGTGCAATGCAGCTACATGCAGTGGTGATCCTAGGATATGTGTTACTTTCTTGACGCGAAGCTGGCACAATTCATACAGCAGCTCCAGGTTCAACGTTGCACCTGAAATCTTGTCGAGAAAGTTGGGGTTCAGTCCTGCCTCCAGCAGCACCGATACGACACGTACGTCCCCAGCGCGGCACGCCACATGCAACGGGTTGAGCGTTCGATGGGAGAACATCCAGCACACCAGCGCAGGCGTCGTGTACATCCTGTTCAGCAGCATATCCAGCTGCATCTTGGACCCCAGCACATGCTGCGCGCGCTCCAGCAGCTTCTCCACCGCGGCACAGTTGCCACTCGCTGCAGCGTCGTACAGTGCGCCGCGCAACTGTCTCTCCACTGTACGCACCGTACCCTTCGTCGTTGCCCACGGATGCAGTTCCTGGTTCAGCGTCAAGTACGAGTCCACGTGATTCGACTGCAGGATCGGCGTATCAACGCCGCTTGGAGTTGCGGCCTTGTCTTCTGTGGTATCACCTGCAGCAACTCCATTGGCTCCAGCCAACGCCGTGGGGGCCACAGCCATCAGCTCGTCTTCCTCCAGCCCCGCTCCAAGCTGCAGTTGCTGGTGCGCGCGTAGTCGGTCGAACTGCTGCGCGTGTAGAGCAATGGTAAGGATGGCCAGCAGCGTCACGTACGACGTGGGGTCGCTCCAAATGGCCCACACGCCGTCCTCCGTGAGCTCCCCGAACGCCCAGTAGACGCCCAGCATGAGCACGACGATCCACGTGAGCGACACCGTCTGCACCACAACAACTGCCTCGAAGATGGCCAGCGCCAGCGTGCGCTCCAGCGTCACGCCGGGCGCGTCGAAGGCCGAGCGGGACAAGGAGAAGGAGCTCACGGCGCGTGGACCCAGCAGCTGCTCGCTCGTGGTCGCGGTGGCCCTCGAGTCCTCCGTAGAGTGGGGCGGCTCGGCCACCCGCACGCGGTAGAGCGGCACGCACGGGAGGGCGGCCAGCCCCAGCGACACGTTGAGCGCCTGCAGCCCGATCCAAATGTTGAGCACCACGCCCTCCTTGCTGGTGAAGAAGAGCAGCAGCAGCGAGCCCAGCGACAGCACCGACGTGACCGCCACGCGCCACGTATAGTACGAGTTGGACCACTGCAGGTACGCGTCCGCGCCGCGCCAGCCACTGCGCGGAGACGGCGGCGGCAGCGCTGGCGGAGAAGGCGAAGGAGACGCCTCGTCCGCAGCCATGTTGTTTCCCGAGTGATGGTCCGCCGTGAGTATCGTATTGAAAGGGGAACGAATGGGCCAATCAGGGTCGACGGTGCCATAGATAATTTATAGCAGTAGATTTGCTCTCCAAGATACTTAAATTTGAATTTGTCGCAGCTACAGCCCCACCTATATACATGTAGATGCAGTGCCCGTGCAAGCACTCATATACAGTAGAATCCCCGAGACACATGCGTTTGCTCTAAGTCGCCAGAGTATTGAATAATATTCACTCAAACCTGCAGGTTACTGTCTCTCGATCAAACTTGTTGCCCACCATGCATATGTGTTGTAGTAACGGCGCCTCCACCTGTGGACCCACCACGCTAGGAACATCATTCCCCCAGAACATGGCGCGTCTGCGCCTTCGGTTTCCTCAACGAAAACTAAGTATGGGGAAATATCGGCATTCCCGTCCGTCCATGGATTCTCAATATAATATTTTCGTAAGTTATGCATATTATGCGTCGCAGAAGGCCCGAGTTCGTTGTCGACCAGCGCGTCGGCGTCGCAGGGACTATTTTGTGGCTTTCAAAAGAGGCAATGTTGGTCTTGATTCTTCCTCTCCAACGAGCATATCGATCCATTCAAAAATTCGTTCTGAATCTGCGTGTAATTGAGCGTTAGGCCAGGATTTTTTAGTTTGCTAAGAGGTCTCTGGCTACCAGAGATATACTTGTACGGTGCCAGAGTATGGCACCGTATTTCAAACTTCCGGGGAGCTCACGACGATGCCGGAATGGCGAAAACGCAAAGCTTGGCCCGTTAACACACACCAGTACCGGTATGCTTGCACTCTACTTACGGGTACGTTTTCAACCTGTAAGAATTGCATGCTTTTGGCATTTTTCGCTGCAAACGCCACTGCTTCGTGAATATGGAAGCATACGCAAGATTTTTTGCCTCGCGGATTTGAGAAGAGTACCGGCAGGGCAGCTCCATTTCACCCCAGCCACGAAGTTTTCTTCAAATTATCAAATGACCATGTCTAGAAGCATCGACTTGCTATTAACTGGCAGCACAACTAAATGGTTCGAAGTCTTCATCATCATCACTTGAACTCCCCACGCGATAGTACTGATGTACGTGAAATCAGCAAATCAGCCTGCTGCAAGTCCCACTTATCCGACGCCCGAACACGGTCGGATTCCGATACACTTTGAAGGACCAGTTTGAACGAGACTGGCTTGAGCCGTTTCACCAACGCCTTCGTTGGCGCATTGGGCTCATGAGTGCGCCCGTACACGTGTAGCTGCTGCACGCAGGTCGTGCCTCCACGGTTGCGCCCGTAGGCTCCATGTGAGTTTTCTGCGAGGAAAGGTAAGCAAACACGCGGCACTTTGAGATTTTACATGTCCCGGGCGAAACGCCCAACACTGGCGGTCCTCTATTGCGATTGGCCAAATATATTTTAAAGTCGGTCGGCTCGTCTGCACAAGGCGGTCCAAATTCCGCAACACAGGGCGCCCACAATGCAGCGGAGCTTGCGAGGCATTTTCCGGCATACAAAACGCGGTCGGTCAACCAATCAACCAACGCCGATGCGACTTCAGAAAGGAAGAAGGCAGGCCGAGGAAGAGTGCACACCTCGCAGGCGCAGCGCTCTCGCGGACCCCACAGGCAGCTCCAGACAGCAGGACCCACAGCATCAGACGCACAGCTCTCTCAGCTGCTCGCCGAGCCTCTCGCGCCCTCGAACAGACCAGCACAAGTGCAGATAGACAGGTTCAGAAGGCCATGGCCAAGCGCATTCGAGTGACCAAGCAGGACGCGGCCGTGCCGGCACCCGCAGGCCTCGCAGACGCAGCCAAGACACCCGCAGCACCGCCCAGCGCAGCGACCAAGGGCAAGGCGGCCACTCCCACCAACGCCGAGGGGAAGCACGTGATGCTGCCCGCGTTCCTGTCCAAGACGTACGAGATCTTCAGCATGCCCGAGTTCTCGCACGTGTGCGGCTGGAACGCCAACGGAGATACCATCATCGTGTCGCAGCTCGAGGCCTTCGTAGCCCTGGTGCTGCCGCGTTTCTTCAAGCACCGCAACTTCCCGTCGTTCGTGCGCCAGCTCAACCTCTACGGCTTCCACAAGACGGTGCTGGACTCGAAGCGCCTCGAGTTCCAGCACCCGTACTTCAAGCGCGGCCGGCCCGACCTGCTGCACCACATCAAGCGCAAGGTTTCCAGCAGCAACCACCACAACCAGCAGCTCGTCAGCTCGTCGCTTCAGGTATTTGACGACCGACGATGGATTTGGAGAGGCGGGACGAGGGACTCACTTGCTCTATTTTTTTAAATTGTATTTTCTATCACAGAACTCACGCCTTGATGCGCACCGGGAGATCTCCGATACGCTGCTGCGTGAGATGAAGGAGCTGCGCCAGCGCAGCGACGCCATGGAGAAGCGGCTGCGTGAGTTGGAGATCGACAATGCGGTACGTCCGAGTGGCTACAGTATGTGCAGCTTGTGTTGCGGAGAGAGCTGATGAGATGTTTTGTTTTCGGTTTTAGATTGTGCGGAGTGACAACCTCAAGCTGTGGAAGCACCTCGAGTCGGCGAAGGACAAGCAGCTGATCATGCAGGAGAAAATGAAGAAGATCATGTGGATCCTGTTCCAGATCTACCGGGGAAAGCAGCAGAACCTCCCCAAACTCTCCAGCAACGACGCAACTGGCGCGGTGATCAGCGAAGAGTAAGTGTCGTAGGCTTGCTGTGCTTGCGGAGTGGCGTGTTTTTGCGAAGCGCAGTATGCGATCTGTGACTAACCAGATTTTGCTGCTGTGTGGTATTTGCAATTCGCGCCTGCTTCTCGTTGGCTTCGAACTTTTCTTTGACCTATTGGTAGCTACATCAACAGCAGTATGCTTGGTCCAAAGGAATTCCGAGATGTACTGCGGTTTTTAGCGATGGACGAGCCGGCGCTCCTGCCTGGAGCCGCTGCCAATGTAGCAGCTGCAGCGACGGGTTCACGAAAGCGAAAGTTTGTGGAAGTTCCGGCTGATATCACCTCAGGTGCCCCTTACAAGCTTGGTGCGTCTCCGTCTTGGGGCTTTGCTGACAAATTGCAACGTTATCCTAACTGTATGATGTTGCCGCTAGATGTAGAGCCGTCTTCTGTTGTCGAAGTGCCTAGTGCTGTGGAGGAGCCCAACCCGTTCGCAATGACGGTGCCGTCCAACCCGCTTCCTGTTATGCACCAGGATGCTGCTGCACAAAACAACATTCTGAGCATTTTTTCGCCGATGAAGAACGGTGTGAGCAGCAACGTGGACCCAACGGTTGGCGGATTTCTTACAAATGGCGTGGAGACAATGCCGAGCGTGCCCGCAGCTGCACCTGCACCTGCACCGAAAGTATCGACCCCAACTGCATCAGCCCCAGCCGTTTCGACACCAACGGTGACTACACCAAGTGCTGTAAACACACCGAGTGAAAGCGCCGCTACGTCACATGGTACCACAGCTGAGTCGACTGTCGACGCCAACAGCAACAACCAACTGGCATTTTTGGACGAAGAACTCCCATTGCTGCCCGACTCGGACCACTACAACTTCACTGACGGCGAGCAGGTACTGTAACGCATCCTGTGGTCTTGATTCTCTGCATTTTTGGGTTTCTGTGTGAGCAGCGGTGTTAATGAAGTGTCATGCGTTGGACTGTGCATTAGCAGGCAGTAATGAAGAAGCTTGAAGATTTTGAGACGTCGCTACTCGACGAGTACGATGTTAGCTGCCTCGACACACTGCTGCAGCAACTGAAAAACTCGAACGGAGACAAGCCGGCGGGTGCTTCCGTCGCAGACCTGGAGGAGGTCGTGGTGGGACCGACCAATGCGTCTACACGTGACGCGTAATTCGGCGAAGCCATGGATCCAACGCTGGTGCATCCTGTGACTACCTTACCGAAGAACTTTCATATCCACGTACATGTCAAGCGAGTCACCGCGCGCGCGTTTCGTCACTGAGAAGAAGAGCTGAGCAGCACATGCAGTTGCGTGCCTGGCACTTCTTCGTACAGCTGATAGACACGCTCAAGAGCGCGTTGACTCGCGTCTCCCTCGTCCGGGTATAGAAACAGATCGAGTGTCAAAAAGTCAAGTGAAGAAGATCAAGCGGAGCAGTGGGAGCGAGAGGGCAGCTTTCAGATCGCGACGCGAAACCAAGAGAGACGGAGACGAGTTCGTACGAACAAACAGCCAACAGTTGATGCGATGGGCATTCGACGGCAGCGAACGAGCGCTCCGAGACGATGACGAACACACACACGCGGCTGTTTTTATTTATGCAATCATGCGAGAATCGAGACAACCAAACCAAGAAAACAAGAAAAATGGTTCAGTAAATACTCTTCCTGTCTTGTTGTACGACACCTTTATCCTCTACCTGGTGCCGTCTGCTGGCGGGTTGGTGCTTCCAATTGACCGCGCAGTCGCTGGATCTCCTTGTCCTTGCGACTGAGCTCCAGTTGTGCAGTGGCGAACAGAGTCGAGATGTTGGCCTCGAGCTGTTTGTTGGCCGCTCCAAGCTGTCGGTTCTGCTCCTGCAGCTGCGCCAGCTCGTCCCGCAGCCGCGCGTTCTCCTTCTCCACCTGCGTCTTGAGGTCCAGCGCCTCCTTCTTCTCCAAGGCGCTGGTGGACGTGTCCAGGTCGCCGTACAGGTCTTCCTCGGTGCTCATGGTCGCAGGCGAATGGCTTGTAAACCATACAAATCTCCAGTCATACCATTTTCGGAATTAGACGGAATTCCAGCATTTCGCCTCGCCACTCGACAGTTGACAGTGCGACCATGGACTCGAGGTGCACCAAGTTCTGGGAAGATGGCCAGGCGCTGGTGGCCGCCGTCTCCGTCCCCGACGCCGCCGCAAAGATGGACACAACGCAGGGCAAGATCTTCAAGGAGCTGCGCACCATGAGTCGCTTCCTGCAGCGCAACCAGAGCCAGCGCTTCAGTGACGCGGCGCAGCAGAAGCTCGTGGACTGCGTGGGGCACTACGTGGGACTCGGCAAGCAGGGAGGAGCCATGCTGCCAGTGGCCGAAGCCACGTTCCAGACGGTGAAGGACGGCCTCGCAATGCCCTTCAATGTGATGGGCTCCAAGCAGAAGAAGCGGCTGCTGAAATGGTACAACGAGCTCATCGCAATTGTTGGCGGCGACCCGGACGCGGCCATCGCTGGCGAGGTGGAGGTCGTACCCAGCATCGAGTGGAGCGTCATGGACATCGACGAGGACGGCTTCCTGTCGCTCATGCAGGTGGAAACAGCAGAGACGAATGAGAGCTTCCAGGTCAAGAAGAATAGCGCAGAGTACAAACGCATCAAGAAGGCGCTGGAGGACCGGGAAGTCATCGTCGTCACGAGTGGAGACGACATTGAAGAGATCCGAGTCCAGGACGAGTGAGTAAACAGGAAAAATTCCAGTCTGCATGTTAGAGGATAATTAAGGGTGGACATAATGCATCGAAAGTTGACCCCATTCGGACAGCCGTGTCAGTTAGAACGGACTGGCAGCGCCCGATTTCTCGCGACTCTCGCTCCACGCCTTGGCAATCGTGCGCTTCATCTCGTCGTCGCCTTCGTCGTACATGTTCTACACGAAAACAAACACAAAAAGTAAGCTTCCGCACTAACTGCACAACATGTAGACCAGAACGCACCTTCATCATGTCCATGATGCCCGCTGCCGGGTCTGCCGTGTCGGGCTTGCTGTTCTTGAGCGGGTTCTTGGCCGTGAGGTTCATCCACGTGTTGTCCTTGTCCACCTTGTGCAGCGTGATCGTGATGCGGTTCTTCTTGACGCGGAACGAGCTCTTGGCAGGGTCGATCTCCTTCTCCAAATGCTGCTTGAACAGACTGCAGATCAACAGCAATCAGAACAATAAAAAAGTCAGCGTCATCATCTTCTTTCCTCTCGCCTCTTCAACTCCCAACGCACCGGTAGTTCTTGTTATCCAGTCCGATAATCTACAGCCACCACCACCACAACAGACAACAATCATTAGCAGCCCAATACTAATTTACCATAACTCTACCACTATCTCGCCAACGCACCTTCAAGTCGAACGACGTCTTGGTGAAGTGGCACGTGACGTTCTCCTTGGGCAGGTTGCCCACGCCGTCGACGCTCGACATGATGTAGATCGCCACCTTCGGCTTGCCGTAGCCGTCGTCCTCCCAGCCGAAGCGGCTGATCTCCGAGAACGCCGCGACGTCGCTGGGCTCAGTCGTCGCAGGCGCAGCTGCCTCCACCTTGACAGGCGCGGGCTTGGGCGTCGTCTCCACCTCCATGGGTTCCTCCTGCTGCGGCTCTGCGGCCTCCAGCGCCTTCTGCTTGTGCTGCAGCAGCTGCTCCAGGTCGCGGCGGTTGCCGGCCGTCTTGGTCTGCGCCAGCAGCGTCTGCAGCTCGGCGACTTCTGCCGCCAGGTCCGACGCGTTGCCTGCTGCCATTTCTGCGCCTTGTGCGATCCAAATTGAGAAGTGACGTCGGCTGAAAGGCTTCACAGTTTTTGGGCGGAATATTCTCGATCGGACTATTTCTGACTTGCTTTCAGTATGTCTTGCTTCAATTAAAACGACCCCATTTAAGTTCATTCGAGCCGGCGCGAAAGGATGGAGGGAAGCGCGCGCGCTGCGGGGGCCTCAGGGGCCGCGCCGCCGGCCTCTGCGACTTCTGCGGGAGCGGAGACGTCCGTACAAGCGTCCGGCATCGAGCAGCTCTTCGCGCAGCCCTCGGCGGCTTCTGTACAGGGCGCACAAGCGGCGTCTTCCTCGTCTCATCAGCCGACCTCCAGCGGATCTGCTGCCGTCGCCGCGGCGCCCCAAGCGCAGCAGAAGGCGCAAGACTCGCCCATGACACCAGAGACGGCCTCGTCAGGCAGCGACGCAGCGCCGACGCCCACAGAGAGCGAGAAAGGCGGCAACACAGAGCGGAACGGACCGATTTCGGTCGCTAGTGGAGGCCAGAACGGCGTGGCAGCGCGACAGGCGACAGGCGGAGGCGCTGCTGTTGCTGCACCTGTAGGGCAGCAGGATCCAGCGCCTGACAAGAAGATAAAGCGCTGGTTCGAGGTCATCCCGATGGTGCTGCAGAACTTCAAGAGCCATGATCGAGAGCAGATCAAACGTAAAGTGTTCTGGAGAGGTGCAAGTTGCACTGTATGACCGTTAACGACTTTGGTGTGTTTGAATGTGTAGAGCTGACGATGCCGAGGTGTTCGGTCTGTACTCGATGCAAGCGAAATACGAAGGCGGAGATTAAGTGTCGACAGGAAGGCTGTGTCCTGCTGGACCAGCCGTTGTGTTCGTCTTGCTGGAAGTCCACGCACAAGGAAGAGGGCAAGGAGCATCGGCAACTCCCTGCGTCGAGTGAGTTTATGGAGAATATTTTTGTTGTTGCTGTTAGTCAAGAGTCCTCATTTTTTTTATTTTTTTGTGGCAGTTTGTCCGCAGTGCCACCTGGAGCGCATTGCGTACTGGTGTGCGGGGTGCGATCTGAAGTTTTGCGGAGCCTGCTTTGACCAGATTCATAGTGTGGAGAAGGTTAAACACCACCGCAAGCTTGCCACGGAAGGTCCGTAATGCTGTGCAGTACCCCCGAACGTTGATTTACATAGGACTAACCTCGAGCAATTTTCTCATTCACAGATGCTCCCGGAACCTGCTTGGCAAAATCGGATTGGTCGACACCGTTCCAGAACGCAATCATGCAATTAATTACGGCGCGAAAACACCCAGCTTCAAGCCCTGATACTTCTGAAAGAGAAGCTACTGGTGGAAAGCGGAAGCGCGATGTGGAGGTGATTGTAATTGACGACGACGATGACGACGATACGGTTAGTGCAAGAACTGCTTCTAATGGAAATTCCGAGGCGCGGATTGATGGCGGTGGCGCTGCAACTATTCAGAATGGCAACGATACTGGAAGCGGTGGAATTGAGCAAGTGCTTACTCGTCCCAGTGAAGTATTCGCGCAACTGGACGTGCCACTCCAAGTTGCACCTGCTCAGCCTTCAGTTGCTCAGCACTCGATGATTGAGCCTATTCCGTTCCCTCCAGGGCTATCAGAAGCAGCACCGTCGCCTGCTGTGCAAGCCAGCTTGCCATACAACTCGTCATCAATGCTGAACGGGAGCAACTCAGTTAACATAAGCACCAGCGTGAGCAATATGCAGTGGAACACCAGCGTACCTCAGTTCGCCGCATCAGCGTCGTCAATGGGGTCTTCAACCGGAAGTATGGGCTACGTGACGAGTACCGCAAGCAATGGTATGATGGAGATAGTATCAAGCTCCCCAGCTACTTCTATGAACTCAGCTAACGGAGTGTGGTCAACAACTTCTGCCATTAGCACAGATTTGGCCAGCACGTCCAACCCGACCAATCTACTGCCGCTTGGCGGCGCTGTCTTCGCGGAGAACGCGCTGGTCGACTCATTAGTGGACCGCTATCACGAGGTGAACCAAACCGTGACTAATTTGGAGCTACAGACTGAGCAATTGACCAGGCAGATCGCCGTCGCAACATGTCAAGGGCCATTCGCGGCAGGGAACTTGATGGCCAGGCTCACCAGTCTGCAGCCTGTACTGACGTCAGAGCGGAATCGGCGCGATAATTTGTTTATCGCAATGATTATCCAGTCCCACGACATCATGGCTGCTGTGCGTCTTCTGCGTCTGACTGAGCTGGGCGATGTGCCGCAGGTGCCCATGATCAGCCACCGTAAGTGTCTGCAGATATCCAACGAGATCAACCAGCACAAGAAGAAGCTGATTGAGCTGAACCAGCAGCTCAGTGAGACGCTGACACAGTCCAGCGCTGTTGGCTCGAGCTGGGAAACTACAGTGATCCGAACAACGAGCGCCAACATCCAGATGCACGAGAAGAGTATCATGAAGCTTAAGAAGGAGCGCGAGGTTGAGATCGTGCGGGTTGTGCAGTTCAGTCGCAATATTCGCGAGTCTCTGAAGAGAACGTTCCAACGCTCAGTGGAGATACTACGCCAACAGCAGCAGCAGCAGCAACAGCAACAGCAACAGCAACAGTAGGAGCAATTTCGGCAATATGGATAGTTTTTTAGGCCGAAGAAGGCTCCTCAAGTGGCGCGTTGACTTGGTGATCATCGGAGACGGAGCCTGAATGCGATTGCAGCGGAGACAGAGAGAAAATGTAGGCAAAGATGATTATTTAACAGCAGTGAATGCAGATCCAGTAGCTGTGTCAACCATGTCGATAAACGAGAAAGCCGATCTGACCCAGGAAGAAGTACAGCATCCTACGGACGATGATGGGAAGGTGAATGTAAACGTTCCTCGACATTGGCAATAGTACTGTGTTCGTATACTTACTTTTTGACTTCATGCGAGACGAAGGAGCCAAAGGACTTGCCCACGATGACGTGCCACGCGCCTTCCTGCGACTCCTCGATCTCGTGCTTGATCTGCTGAGCGACTTCTGTGAAGTGGTTCTTCTCGCCCTTGTACAGAGCTTTCAGCGCGTTGGTGGCGCTGGAGAGGATGAGCTCTTCCAGCTCCTTGGACGTGTCTTGGTACACGATACGCAGCCCACCCACAGACACGTCGTCCTTCTTCTGAGCCTTCGACATGCTTTGGATTCGTGTGCTAAGTTGTAGCGAATCTTTTCGGTCGAAAGTGGTGACCGACCGTTGACGCTTCCAGCTAAATCAAGGAAAGCTGCGATTGTTTTGGTCGAAGATCGTCATTGTGTTACTCGCCGAGTTGGCACCATGACGAGGTCGAGGGACATCGTCGAGCGCTTGGTGCAGCAAACTGTGCGCAATGTGCTCTTTCGCGAGTCTTCTCCATCGAGGATCCAAGAAGCAGTCGCTGAATCAGTTGTCACGGCGATTGGCTCAAGTACCAATAACATTCCAACGGAAGTTCGCCCAGGATCGCTGCTTCATGAACTCGTACGCTTGAGCGAGAAAGGCACCGACAACCCAGCGGAAGAAGACGACGAAGACAACAATGCTGACAAAGCCCGTCACGGGTTGTGGATCACGGACTGCATGAGCTGGCCCATTGAGCGTCTCAAAGCTGAAAAGGCCGAGCTCAAGCGCTACCTGAACAGACAGCGTCGCATTACCTGTCTGAAGACACCAGAACCCAGCACGCGAGCCTCAATCATCCACGAGACGTACGCGATCCTGAAGCTTTTCCTCCTTGAAAGGGACCCCGACTACCGTCAATGTCTGCAACAAGCCATGGGAGGCAACAACTCGTTCCTCACATCGCTGCATATGCTGCTCACGCTGTACGCGACCTACTTTGAGCGTGCTCACGGAAAACAGGTACGATAGACTGTAATCTCTGTACGTATAACTTCATCGTCTCTTACTCTCTTTTACGACTGGCATCTAACGTTGCAGATCTCCACGAGAGCCGATGTGAAGCCGATCGAGTCGCTCTATGAGTTCTTCCTCGCTCACCACCGCGCGCCAAAGTCGCAGCTAACCGAGTAAAAGAGAAACATTCGTTCCCCGTCACTTCCTCGTTCTTGAGCTTGTGAGGAACCCAAACTCTTTTACACGAACGAGCTGTGCGTGGGGATGATGTCGTCCTTCTTGGAGTCCATGCAGGGCACCGACAGCCACGCGTAGTAGAAGGCTGCGCCTCCCATGACGTGCATGAGGCCCTTGGCGAGCCCCAACGCCGCGTGGTTCTCGTCGTCTTCGAAGTAGATCGCGACGACGCCCACCAGCGCGGCGGCAACCAAGCAGCCGACGCCGTAAGTGGCGTTCTGCTTGTTGAGCGGCGAGATGTTGCTGCTCTGCGTGAACACGCGGCGGTAGACCACGCCGAGCAGGTAGCAGACCACGAGCAGCCCCTCGTAGATGGTCGAGTCCCAGCCGTCCTTGGCCTTGAAGAGCCAGGCGCCCGCGAACGCCACGTAGCGCAGCACGATGTTGTGGTTCTCGTCCTTGTAGCCCATGAGGTGCACGCAGAGCAGCAGGAAGTACGTGACGGACAGCACGTCCGAGATGAAGTGCCACTCGTCCTCCTTGAGGAACAGCTGCGTGTCGAAGGCCTCGGCCGCGTTGAAGCAGAAGGCGATCACGAGATGGAACACGCCCACGAACAGCTCGAAGTGGCGCCGGTTGCGCTTCATCACGTCCAGCGCCGGCAGCATGGCCGCGTCCGTCAGCGCCAGGAACACGAAGCGCCCCAGCTCTAGCAGCATTTTCCCTTGGCGGCAACAAGCAATGGCGAGCGTCCAGCAGCAGCGGCGGCGCCGTCGACGTACGTGGTATCCCCCTGTTAGATCCACTCGGGGATTGGTCAATAATCATTCCCACCAATCACAGCGCGTTGGGAAACATATACCGATACCGAGTTTGAAGGGGACCTGCACCCAGTGAATGCGGATCAGTACTCGAACAGAGACGAGACATGTCTGTAGCGGGTCAAGGTCAAGGTCACACCGGACAAGAGGACTACAGTACACACTGGCGCAATGACCGCCACGGCGCCAAGCTCCAGCGCGCCGCTGCTGCTGGACGGCAAGGCCACGAGCGACGGCATCCGCGAGCAGCAGCTCAAGCCGCAGTGCGCCGCGTTCCAGCAGACGCACGGCCGCCCCGTGGGGCTCGCCGTCGTGGTCGTGGGCGACCGCAAGGACTCGGCCACGTACGTGCGCATGAAGCAGAAGGCGTGCACGGCGGCGGGCATCGAGTCCTGGAAGATCCAGATCTCTCTGACCGATCAAGACGCCAGCGAGAAGCCCCAGAGCCGCGTGACGGACGAGCTGCTGCGCACCATCCAGGAGCTCAACGCGCGCGACGGCGTGGACGGCATCATCGTGCAGCTGCCGCTTCCTTCCTTCTGCGACGAGGACGCGATCCTGGCCACCATCGACCCCAGGAAGGACGTGGACGGCCTGCACCCGGACAACCATGCGGCGCTCTTCCAGTTCGCGACCAAGAAGGCGGCGTCCCAGCGCGAGGACGCGCCCTTCGCGCTGCCCTGCACGCCTGCGGGCTGCCTGGAGCTGCTGGACCACTACGACATCCCGCTGGAGGGAAAGCACGTCGTGGTGCTGGGGCGCAGCCAGATCGTCGGCCTGCCCGTGTCGCTACTCTGCCTGCACCGCAACGCCACGGTCACCATGTGCCATTCGCGTACCCAGGACCTCAAGGCGCGTGTGCTTGAGGCCGACATCGTCATCGCGGCGATCGGACGCGCGCGCTTCGTGCAGGGAGACTGGATCAAGCCCGGAGCTACGGTGATCGACGTCGGTATCAACGCAGTGGAGGACGCGACCAAGAAGAGCGGGTATCGGCTCGTGGGGGACGTGGACTTTGAGGCTGCTGTCAAGGTTGTCCACGCCATCACGCCTGTGCCGGGCGGCATTGGCCCTATGACTGTGGCCATGCTGCTGAAGAACACCATCCAGTGCGCCTCAAGACGCGTGCAACAGAAGTAAAGCGCGTGATAAACTGCACACTCTATTCTTTGGAGACTCACCCTTGACCCAGCGAGCATACGCTAGTCAACTTGCCCGGCTTCTGGCTGCTTCTCCTAGTTGGTAAGGCGACACTATAAGTACATGTACAGCGTTCCCTGACCCCCGCTACATCCTCGCCGTCTTGATGCTCTAGAAGTTGAGATCGTCGTCTCCGTCGCGGCCGAAGAGCGGGTCGTCTTCGTCCTCGTCCTCGGACGAGAAGTGCCCGCTCTCTTCCACGAGCTGCACGTCTTGGTGCAGTTCCTCCCAGTACGCAGCGTGTGATTGCTCAGCCTGCGATGTCGCTTCACCTTCACCTTCTGCGTCGTTGCTGGCAGTGTCTATGCCAGCATCCAGGTCTGCAGCATGCTGCGAGTGGGCCGACGCCTGTCGTTGATGAAGGTGGTTCACGGCTTCTTCCAGTCGCTGCAGTGCCGTCTTCTCGCTACCTGGACGAATGAGAGCCCCCTCCTTCGGTGGGCTCGATGCTGCAGCTCCGTACCGCCGTTGAGCCTGCAGTAGCAGTCGCATGCAGTCGAGTTGTCCATACGCCGCTGCGATCTGAGCCGGGGTCTCCCAGTCGCTGTTGACCAACGTTGGGTCTGCTCCAAGTGTCAGCAAGTTCTGCGCCACCGCTGCACGACCCGAGAACGCTGCCCAATGCAGTGGCGTGTCGCCTCTTTCATCCGCTACGTTGACTGTAGCTCCGTGTTGAAACAATCGAGCGATGATCGGGAGTGCGGCGGGGGATTCTACCGCGTAGTGGAGTGGAGAACGGTGTAGATCATCGAACGCATCCACGTTACAACCTCCTCCGGGCGTCAACAGGAACGATGTCATAGCTGTATCATGCGTTAGAACCGCAAGATGTAGTGCCGTTCTACCTTGGGAGTCACCCTGCGCTTGCTGCATACGATTCCACTCGTAGTTCGCTTCAGTAGGCACCACGAGTTGCTTCGCGCACTCTACGAACCCCTTTTCAGCCAGACAGTGCAGTGGATATCGCCCTTCGCTGTCTGGGGTGTGGAGGGATAACGCTGGTGGTGCCAGTGTCGAGACGGTCTCGATCGGTAGAATATTCTCCGCGATGGAGTCTTTCATCATCAACTGCTGCAGAAATCCACAGACCTCCACCTGGTCGTCTTCGCACGCTCGATGCAGCACGTTCTGGCCCTTGCGGTTGGTCTTCAAGATGTCCGCGCCGTGTTCCAGCAGCTTCTGCATAAATTCGAGGTGGCCCAACGAAGCGTACAGCATCAACGGGGTATCACCGTTGCAGTCGACGGAATCCACGTCCAATTTGGCGTCACAGGCGAGCAAGAACTCCAACATCTCGGCTCGTGCGCGGTAGTTTTCCTTGGAGAACGACAGCAAGTGCAGCGCATTACGCTGCATCTTTGACTCGACTGCTGCCAGGTCCTCCCCGCGTTGTTGGAGGAACGTGGCGTCTTCGACCGATGCGTTTTCTACTGCTGTGAAGATGGTCACTTCCTTCTTGGCGCGTTGCGAAGGAGAAGATGGCGCGGACTTTTCGATTGGCGAGGACGGCACGGACTTCGCCACCGGAGAGGGGGGTGATGCTGGTGGCTCCGTGAAGCTTGTGTCGATCTCCAAGAGCTGCTGGCGTCGAGCGTGAGCGCGTTGCTGCGCCATTTGACGCAGTAGCTTGACTGAACCAGGCAGCTCCATCTCTTCGACGTCGTGGAAACGAAGTTCTGGCCGCACGTCCTCATGGTCCTGCACGCAAATTGGAGACTGAAGAATCGGTACAGCGTCAGCCGCGATCTCTTGTAGCACTTGTTGGATCTCAGAGAGCGTGTACTCTTCGCTGGGCTCGACTAGCTGCAGCAGTCTTCGAGTCATTTGCGAGTCAAACCGAAGCCGCAAGAGTGTCGTGTCTTGATTCGTATCAAGTCCCGAATCAGCGTAGCTGGTAGACTTGGACCCGCCCCATTCCAGCCACGCACTCGCTCTCTTGAAGTAGAAGTGGAAGTGCCCAGCAGGAATATCTCCGTCCGTCTCGTCTTGTTTACTGTCATCAGTTGGTCGCTGGAAGTAAAAGTGCAGTTGTTTTCGTCTTTGGTAGTCACGAACGCACTTCTGAAGCACCGTGGCGACGTCGTGAAAGAACATGATCTCGTTCATACTGCGCGTCATAATATGCGGCAGCTCGCGGTGACTCCAGGTATTTACCGTCTTCTCTACACTTGCACGAGTCAAATCCTCCTCTGGAACTTCCACCACTGGTTCTTGGTAATCCCCCGCGGGCTCTTCATTCTGAGGCTGGTCATCGGCTGGTTCATCATTCAGTGGCTTGACCGTCGGCTCTTCCCCCTCCACTGTCTTCTGTTCAATCTCCTTCTGCGACACAAACTTGATATCCTGCAGTCTCCTTCGCGACGCTATCGCTCTTTGGATCCTCTTCGCAGCCAACGTGCGTTTAAGCACCATAATCTTGCGTTCAAGAGCCTTCGCCTCCTGGATCAACCGCAGCTCGTCATTCTTCACAGCTGCACGCTTCGCCTGTCGAACTCCCGAGTGCCATCGACGCCAGCACACTTGAACTTTGGTCGCTAGCACTAACACCGCAAGGCGATACGCGCGAACCTCTTCGGCGCGTTGAGCTTCCAACGCTTGCAGATAGTGCGTCCGATACAGCTTCGCCTTCCACACGGCCTCAATCTTGGTCGCCGCGCTGTCTTCTCGTCGACTTTGAAGGTATTTCTTGACCGCACGCGCGATGCATCTACCAGAGGAGCGATGCTTGATGGCCTCTAACCTCTGTTTACGCTGTTGCTGGTCTGAACTGGGCTCCATCGGGGGCATTTGTGCTTTGGGGTCTTCAACTTTGTTCTTCTCTTGCTGCTCAAGCCGAACGCGATGCCATCGGCGCCAGTTCTTCTGGATCTTGAGAGCGCTCAGGCTCTGCTTGTGTCGGAGTCGCTCCTCAGCCAACTTCCGCTTGTGGTGTGAGATCCGACAGTGTCGCTGGCTCTTGACGGAGCTTTCGTACTGCTCCTGGCGGATGAATTCCCGTTCGAGTTCCTCTTTCTGCTCGTGGTGCCACCGAAGCCACAGCGTCTGGATCTTGAGCGCGGCCATGTGCTGCTCGTGCTGAATACGCTCGCTCTCCATCTTGCGTCGATGCTGGCGGACCCCCAAATTGCGCTGGATCTTCAACGAGCTCGCGTGTTGAGTCTGCTTATCACGCTCTAGCTTTTGTTGTTTCAACCTCAAACTCTCCTGTTTCTCCTGCCTCAATCGATTCAGCTCGTTTTGAGCACATTTCACGGCGTGCCACTTCTTCCAGACTCGTTGAAGCAGCATCGCCGCCTTCTCCTTTTTAGCTCGTCGTTCTTCCTCTTTTTGATTTCGTTGAAAAAGCTTCTTCGTCCAATTCTGCTGGATTTTGAGTGCTACTGCTCTCTCCTCCTTCTCCTGTCGTTCACGTTCCGCTTTCTCTTGTAACTTCGTTCTCCACCTTCTCCAAGCTCTTTGAATTCGTAGTATAGATCGTAATGTTTCTCGTTGATCTAGCTTTCTCCTCCACCATCGACAACAAGCAGCTTGGATCTTGGCCGATCTCAGTTGCTGCATACGGAGCTTTCGTGCCTTCTCCTGTTCAAAGTGTCGTCTAGCATGCCACCGATGCCAACACCGCTGAATCAATGTGGCCGCCAGCATTTTCGCGCTTCGGACTCGCTCTGCCTCCTTCTTCTCCTCTTGCCACTGTTTCCAACGTTTCTGAATACGTATTGCACTCCGCTCTCGCCTACGTCTCCACTCGCACCATATTTTCCAAGCTTTTTGCAGTTTTCGAGCACAAGCCTGACGTAGAATGCTACGGCGCGTCTTCTCTCGTTCCTCCGTTTTCCAGCGCCTCCACTTCCGTTGTATCACTTGAGCACTGGCATTTCGCAAAATTCGGACTCGCTCAGCCTTATCTCGCTGCTGTTGTTGCCACTTTCTCCACCGTCTCTGTATACGAACAGCACTAGACAAGACGAGTTGTTGAACTCGCCTTCGCTCCCTTTGCTCCTGTTTACTTAGCACCCAGCGTCTCCATACTCCTTGGATCTTACGAACACTCGTCCGCAGTCGAATCGCTTCAAGGTGTGCGTTAAACGCAAGCTGTTGATGATACCGTCGCTCCCGCTCGCTCCGTTTCCATCGCCTCCATGCTCCTTGGATCTTACGCACGTTCGCTCGAGCTTGAATCGCACTCAAGTGAGTAAGAAATGCTACTTCCTGTTGACGCCTCCGCTCGCGTTCCTGCTGAATCCACCATCTCCACACAACCTGGATCTTACGCACAAGTGCTCGATCTCGAATCGCCTCCAGGTGTGCGTCAACTGCCAAGCGTTGTTGTTCTCTTCTCGCTCGCTCACGAGTTACCCACCGTCTCCACGCACTTTGAATTTTGCGCACATTAGCTCGAACACGGATGAGCTCCAGGTGTGCTTCAAACGTCACTAGCTGATGCTGCCTTCGAGCTCGTTCACACAAAACCCACCGTCTCCAAGCTCCCTGAATCTTGCGCACATTTGCTCGAACTCGTATCGCTTCCAAGTGCGCCTGAAACACAAGCTGCTGCTCACATCTTCGTTGTCTTTCATGAATCACCCACCGTCGCCAGGCAGCTTGAATCGTACGGACATAGGCTCGAGCTCGTATGGTTTCCAGATGAGCTTCAAGTGCTGCTTGCTGCTCACACCGTCGCTCATGTTCACGTTGGACCCAGCGGCTCCAAGCGCTTTGGATCTTACGAACATAAGCTCGAACTCGTATCGCCTCTAAATGAGCCTGAAATGCCAGTTGCTGCCGCTGTCTTCGCTCCTTTTGACCGACAACCCAGCGTCTCCACGTGACTTGGATCTTGCGAGCATAAGCCCGCCCTTGAATCGGCTGCAGAAGCTCATCAAGCGCCAGTTGGTGCTGACACCGTCGCTCATGTCCGTGTTGGACCCAGCGGTTCCTCGCCTCGACGCGGATGGCTTCCAGATGAGCTTGGAACGCCAATTGTCGCTGCCGTCGCCTCTCTCGCTCGCATACAATCCACCGTCTCCACGCTGCTTGGATCTTCCGCGCATTGGCTCGAGATCGGATCGAATACAGACGCGCCTCAAACACTCGCTGCTGCTGCCTCCTCCGCTCTCGCTCAGCTTCCATCCACCGTCTCCACGCTACTTGAATCTTACACGCAGTGGATCGGACACGGAGTTCTTCTAGACGAGCTTCAAACGCTCGTTGCTGCTGAATCCTTCGCTCTCGCTCAACTTCCATCCAACGTCTCCATGCTCCTTGAATCTTACGGACGTTAGTTCGAACGCGAATCGCCTCAAGGTGAGACTGGAACGCCCTCTCTTGCTCGCGTCTTCGATCCTGGATACGCTGTCTCCACCACGCTTGGATCTGCCGAGCTAGTGCCTGACGACGTTTAGCCAGTAGCAACTGAGCTAGTGCCAGCTCTTCCGCTCGCTTGACGTGCTGCTGATGCAGCCGTTGGCGCAATACGCGCTGAATCTTCCGAGCCGAGCTCATACTGCGTAAGTACTTCAGCCTCAGACATTTGTGCTGCGTATTCTTCTGGAAATTCGCCACGCTGTTCAAACCCTGGCCGATCCCTTTACTGCTTTCGCTCTCCGAGAGCAGCTTGACGGCAATAACGACCTGCACTAACTGCGCTCGTGTGCGCTCAGCGATAGATTTCTCCAGTGCCGCCTTCTGTTGCTGCTGGATGCGCAGCATCTCCACAGCTCGGTGGTTGCGCTGTTGGCTCACGCGCTGATGCATGACGCTTGAGGCCTTAATAGAGGAAACTTCGCGCGTCTTGGCTTCGATCTCTCGGCGTTGTCCGCGCTTCTCCTCCTCCAGCTCGTGAGCTGCCGAGTCACGCATCGCAGCGTGTACCTTCTTGAGCTTGGACACCTGCATCTGACCCGAGACCCACGCTGCTATCTGCTGCATACTGGCTTCGATTCTGCTTTGCTCCAACGCTGCCGCTGCGCGCTGAGCCTCCTGCTGCTTCTCCGCTTCCAGTTGACTCTTCGCTGCTAGCAGAGCTTGCGACCGCGCTTCAAGCTCCGACAACCGCTGCTGGAGATCAGACGCCACCGAGAGTGCGGCTCGACGCTGCTCCAGTTGGTCTTCACTCGACATGAACTCAATCTCCGTCTTCTCCGCCTGTAAACGCGCTTGTAGGGTCAAAAGCTGGAATCTGTCATGCTCTGCTCGTCGGAGCAGCACCCGAGCATCCACAAAGGCCTTGATCTTCTGCCTCGCAGCTCGCTCTTGGGATGTTCTCTCTCGTTCTTGATGATCTAGAACAACTTCACGATGTCGAGCGTCCGTTTGCAGGGCTTGTTGGCTCATCCGTCCAAGCTTTCGCTCTAGGACCCGTACTTGAGTGCGTGTCTTCCCAATTTTCTTCTGAGCATCCACGTCGAGCTTCTCCTTGGCCTGTAGCTCATTCCGGAGCTGCAGTTCATATTTCTTCTTCTCTGATTCCACACTCCGCAGCTTCTTGTGGAGAGTACACACTCGGAAAAACATTTGGAGCTTCAACGCTGCGACCTTTCTCCTCCTCACCTCAACCGCTTGCTGTTGCTGCTGCACAACGCGCTCATGATGCGTCAATAGCTGCAGTCGCTCTTCTTCCGACGTTTTCCACCTGCGGTCGAGATCTGCCAGTCGAGCGTTCATATCTGCAATAAGCTCACGTCGATGCTTTGAGTTCATCTTCATGCTCCGCTCCACGTCTCGCTTGGCCTTCGTCCACTTGAGCTGCTCCTTGAACAGAATATTCTTCGCCATCTCTTGAGCGGCTTTCAACTTGCGACGCAGTAAGATCTCCTTCAAAAACCTCCGAATGTCCTTTAAAGCTCTGGATTGTCGCTCTTTCTCTCGAGTACGTTTCTCTTCTTTCTGCTTCTTCCTCCTAATCCTCAAGCGCTGTCGTCTCCACCAGCGAACGATTTTCTCCTTCGCACACTCTCGAACACGCCGTCGCTTTGAAATGCTCACGTAGAATATTGCACGATGGAATGCCATGTGAATAGCTCGAAACACTGCTTTACGTTGGAGAACTTCGCGGTTGTGGCGATGAATTTTCCAGTTCCGTTGTATTCGAGACGCAGCGAGGAATCGAAGACGGTTCTCTGCGTCTATCCGAGCTTGAAGCTGTCGCCTGTAGTGGAGACTGACGAATTGTCGGACCTTCCGCCTAGCCACTAACCAGCGGACGACCACCCTCGCTCGCTTCTGCTCGACACAAAATACTTTCCACGACGCCAAGTTGCGCCGCAACATCTTGAGTTCGCGCTCCAGATACTTCGGGGAACTATCAGTGGCGACAGGTTTAGTGGTAGGAGATGAGTAGCCCATAAGTGACGAGAAGGGCTGAGATATAGATTGAATCTCGTCTTCTACTTCGCGCCGCGAGACCCAGTGGCTCATGTCGTACGCTGCGACTTGAATGTCTCGACACAGTGCAAATACTCGGTTAAACTCGGACAGCTCGCTCTCGTCGTCAGCCTGATAGTTGGTAGATGCTAAAGCACTGCTACGAGACGAAGGGGGTAAATTCACCACTTTGTCGCTCAAAGTCGCTGAAATATTGCTGCGAGCCGATGTCGGCTGCGAATTCATAATTTCTTCGTTCAAAATGGTTGAAATACTGCTGCGAGATGTTTCGGGCAGTGGAACAAGCGCTTTCTCGCTGAAACTCGCTGAAGTATTGCTGCGAGCCGATGCCAGTAACGACTCCATCGTTGTTTCATCAAATGTTGTTGGGATACTGCGAGATGATGGAGGTGTAAAAAGAGACGCTTGCTCAGCCTCCATGGCAGGAATACTACGAGACGAAAGACTGAGAACATTCTCAACAGCAGCTTCCTCGAGACAGGGTTGTCGTCGTTCACCTAATGAGGGATGTTCATCCCCCAACGATCGATAGGTGCTGAGTCTGGAAGAATTGATATCCATTAGAGTCTCCGACTGCTGCTCGGGTAGCACTTCAGAATCAGTGAGCGCGTTATCTCTCCAGGAGCTTGGTAGGAGGCTTAGCGCCATAGCAATATTCGATATAGCAGTGCTAGATGAGTACGCGTACTCGTCGTCTTCTGGTTCAAGCGCCTCCACTCTCTGTTCGACACTTTCCAGCTCCGTTATCACATCCTCCATCACTTCGTTGAGCGTAGATCTACCTGTTGATGTAGGCGAGACACCCACACACGGTATTATTGGTGATACATTCGTTTGAGCAATACTTGCAGTAAACTCAGCCTCGTGTGCCTCCGCTCTGCTTGACTCCACACGTTCATAGTCATTCGGTGGTATCGCCTCCTCAGGTTTCGTCACTTCATCATCATCCAGCGTTGACTCCGTGTTCGACAGCGTGAAGTTAGGCAACAGTTGCAAGGCCATCGCAATGCTGGACAATGCCTCGTCGGACGAGTACTCGAAATTACAGTCGTATCCATCATCAAGATCCGCTGCAAGCTCAGCATTAGCTTCCAGTTCACGAAATTCACGATCATCGTCAGCGGTCGGTGTTGCCACAACATCGACCACATCACGCGGTTCATCAGTTATATCACGCGAGGAATCCAGCTCTGCATTACTCCATTGGCCTAGATCAGTAGGGCTGACAGAGGCATCAAGCTCCAACGATACCACAGATTCCGATAGTTCGTCCTCCACAGACTTCGGAGCAGGATGGACTTCACATGCTTCAGGCTTCCGGTCGTCTCCTCTCACGATTCGAACGGACGGCCTCCTTTCGCTAACAAGATTCGCTGATTCATCCTGGTAAACCTGCATGGATTCGTCTCGCGTAGCCCTTGTTCTTGCTGATTGCTCTGGTGCTGGTACCTCCTTTGGCGTAACAACCATCGATGGTGTGCTGCGCTCGCTCATCTGAGTTCCAGACTCGACGAGTGTCTTACGATTGTCGGGTTTGTCGGTAGCCTTGCTGCTCCTCCTTTTTGAAGCAGCTCGTTCGGATTCGTTGCTTCTGGTGGACGATTTCGCTGCTGCTGATACATCGAGCACGGGCGGTGGTAAAACAAGCCGAGTAATCGTGACTCCATCCCCAGCAGAATCAGTATCGGCAGGTGCCTTTCTTGCAGACGATGAAGTGCTAGTTACTGATCGAGTAGACTCTGGCTCAGGCGAGGTTGGCACTGGTATCCATGCCGAAGAAGGTCGTCTGGTGTCTTCTTCCTTCTTTGACAAACTTCGAGCGGTATTGCTTGAGGTCTTAACCGGTGGCGGTTGCTGGTCCGGTGTATTCTGCTTCAAAGCTGCGGGTACTGCAGAAGGTTTTGGTATTGGCGAGCCAGCCCAAGCTTCAACAACGGATGATCCACGACGTGGGCCATGATCACTTGATAGAGATGCTTGAGAGACCTCACGATCCAGCCGTTGTATCCTTTCGTCTTCAAACGTACCATACCCGTGCGAGGACGTAACGCAATCTGGTCCGCGTTGCTGATGCAAATACCTCTTGCTGTCGATTTGCGATTGCAGATATCTCGGGATCATCCGAACAGCATGGAAGCGCGTTTCAAGGTCCATCAAGTGCAACAGCGCTGCTGCCACGCGTTCAGCTGGTAGAATCTGCCATCCTGGGAGATATCCCTGAGTCTGGAGCGCAAACGTCTCCAGCTTCTGCTTCAACAGCCGCAAGAGAGACGATGGGGACGAACTAGCAGAGCAGAATAAAACGCCAGAGTCGGTACTTTGATGACAGGAACACAGCAGCACCTCCGACGAGTCCAGCGATAGTCCGTCTACGAACGGGTTGCGCGTCAAATTCACCTCGAAGTCCTCGAAGAATCGCTGGAGTTGTGGCGAGCAAGCCAGGAAATCTGAATCGGATGCCATTGTCAACAAATACCCGAAGAAATCCTGCTCCAAGACTTCATGCTCGACACTCTGACCCACGACATTAGAATCTCCAAGCTCACCGCTCAAGTACACCACTGCTTCGATAACCGCGAGGGACAAACTGCGCATCCTGTTGAGAAGCTTCACCACCCGTTGCGGCACATTCTTCTCCACATGAGACGCCCGATGCAGCGGCAACACGCCCATGAGCTCCTGCTGTAAGTGGGCCAGCACTTGGTCGCGTAGATGCATGTTCTGCCGGATTGACTCCATCACGAGATGCGCCGGTGATTGCTGCATGGTGGGTGACCGGATTGCTCGCCGTGTACCGGAGCCCTCCTGCTGATAACGACGAGGTGGTGAGTCGTTTCGCGTGTCGAGCACCTGCTGCTTCAACTTGTACGGACTTGAGAGTCGCTTGGCATTAAGCTGCTGCATCTGGCGCTCCGTGAGTGGCTTGGCTGTTGAATCACGAGGGTTTCTTGACGACAGGCGCTGTCTTGGTTCGACTATGTAGTCGCTGTGCTGGAGATGTCGACTATCCCCAGCGTGCGTTGACCTTCTGCTTGGAACAGGGTACATCGGTGCGTGCTGCTCAATACCCGCTTGCAGTGTGCCTTGGTACAGCGAGTCATCCAGCTCCAGCTCCACCAGAAGACGTTGTTGGTCGTGGCGACGATGCCCGTCGAAGTTCGTCGTTCTGCGCGGCGCGGGGGCTCGTCCATCTCGTCCGAAGGTCCGATCACCCATCCCCTTTATAATTAGTCACTTGCCGAGTGCTGCGCTCGCCCATGAAGCTCCCTCGCCGCTTGAAGCGTTTCATGAAATCGTTTCAGGGGCCTTTGCAATTCCTGCGCAAAAAACAACAAGAAAAAGCCAACAACGAGACAGGAGAAAGCTAGCCACGAAGGCTACGCCTGATAGCTGTCTTTAGTTTTAGGGGAGCGCAATGTTAGTTCCAGTTGCATCTAGATAAGCATATCGTCCTCCTCTTCATCACCGTTGGTTACAGTCGTGAGGCCCTGGGCTCGGTACAAGTCGGCAATCTAACATGACAGACACAGCAAGAACTTAGTATACGCAATGACAAACGATAAATAATCCATCCATCACCCGTACCTGAGAAGAGTTGGTCGCCTGCGTGGTATCCTTGTCGTCGCGGATGCGGATGAAGCGAGGGAAGCGCAGCGAGATGCCCTTGTCCTCCGCCACAAGCCCGATGGCTGCCGTGTACTTGGGCGAAATCGACAGGTCGGCACCTAGGATTTCCCACACGCAACTGGCCTCGAACCAAACGTCAGGCTTGATTCCTTCTCCAATGGCATAGTCACTCGGTCGCTTGTCCACCACCTTTTCCTTGAGCTGGTCGTGGAACTGCTTGAGCACTTCATCCGACAGCCCAGTGCCCAGCTTCGTAATGGGCTGGTACATCTCCGTGTCTGGGTCGTAGCATGCAAGCAAGTACGCGCCGTAGACACCCGTACGCTTGCCGCGACCGTGGAACGCACCGATCGGAACCAAGTCGGCGGAGTCGCCAATGCCGTCGAGGTAATCCTTCTTCAGCTTCAGCCACTTGTGAGAACGGTTCGCAGGCTCATACGTCGCCTCCTTCTCGAGGGTCTTGACCATCAAACCCTCACAGTTCTCGCGCACAGCTTCCTCCAGGAACGTGCGCACCTTGTCCACGGCCTCGTCTATCGCCTCAGGATTGTTCTTCACGTCCACGCAGTCCTCCACATCTAATGAGGTAGCGAACTCGAAGTTGCCCGGCTTCACTTCGAACATATCCCGCAGCTTTTCACGGCGCTTGGCCAGCGGAGTGGCGAGGAACGACTCACCGTTCAGGAACAGCAAGTCGAACGCGTAGATACACACCGGCACCTTGATGTCTTCCACTTTCACGTTCTACAAGCACAACAGTAAGAGTTAGTTAGAACACAATACAAGCGTCGTCACTAACACTGGATGACGCACCTTTCGCGAGCGCGTGCTCAGGATCTGGAACGGCAGGCGCTTGTTGGTGGCGCGGTCCACAGCCACCACTTCAGCGTCGACGATGCAGCTCTTGACAATGCCCTTCTTCTTGGTTGCTTCCGAGATGGCCAGCTTGACGTCAGGGAAACGCTCCGTGGAGTTCTCGAAGTTACGCGAGAAAATGGCGATTTCTCCGTTCGGGAGGATGTGGATCTGGGCGCGCTCGCCGTCATACTTGTACTCGCACGTGAACGGCTTGCCTTCGAAGCGGTCGAACACCATAGCGTACGCCTTGGTCGGCCGCGCAAGCATCGGCGACACAGGAGTACCAGGCGTCAACACGCACTTCTCGGCCACCTTGGCGAAGTCCTTCACGCGGAGGAACGGAGCGTTAGGCACCTCCTTCTGCACTTCGTAGAACGCAGCGACCAGCGCGTTGTAGCTGGGGCACTCCGCGAACGCCTTCTTGACATACGCAAGCGCCTCCTGCTGCTTGTCCTTGTCCTTGTACGTCTTGTCCGTCATGAACGCGTACGTCAAACCCATGAGGATCGACTTCTCTGCGAGACCGATACGAAGCTTACCCTGGAGTCCACGGATGATGTACTTGGCTCCTTCGGCGGACTGCGCGCCGCTGGCTTGAGACTTCTTCTCCTTCTCGCACTTGACCAGCAATCCCTTGATGATCGAGCACTTCTGCTGCTGCGAGTTGTTGCCCGTCATCTTGGCGATCTTGACGAACTGGTTGTACACGTGCTGAACGGTGAGGCCGCTGCCCTTGGACGCTGCGGGCTTTATCGATGCAAACGACAGCGTCTTCTGCTTGGACCGCGCGTTCTGCGCAACCTTACCGAGGTCGCCCTCTTTGTGATACATCTCCTTGATGAACTTGAGATTGGCGCCGGTGGCCTCGCCGATGGCCTTCATCAGGATTGCGTCACCAATGCCGATCTTGAGGTTCTCGAAAGGCGGCGCCAGGTCGACGCACACGCAGAGGTAGATGCAGGCCAGCAGATCGTCAGGAGAGCGACGGATGACGTCGCGAAAGAAGGCCGTGAGCAGGTCCTGGATGACGAGACGGCCCGTGACTTCTTCAATCTTGGCGAACAAGTGCGCCAGGGCGAAGTAAGGGGTCTCCCGGGGCTCGTCGCTGTCGTCGTCTTGAGCTTCGGTAGTCTCGGTCTTGGCCTTTGGCTCCGACTCCGTCTTGACCTCCTTCTCTTTCTTGTCGTCGGCGGAGGTCATCTTCGCCTTGCTCTTGTTGCTGCCGGACACGGGAGTGAAGAAGCTGTTTTTCGTGGCCGTCTCTTTCTTCGCCTCCTTCTTCGGCTTGACCTCCTCAGCCTTCTCCTTTTTCGGCTTGACCTCTTTAACCTTCTCCTTTTTCGGCTTGACCTCTTCAACCTCCTCCACTTCTTCATCTTCATCTTCAATCTCCTCGACTTCCTTAATCTCGACCTCTTCGTCGTCCTCCTCCTCCTTCTCCTCCTTTTTGGGGCTCTTGGACTTCACCGGCGTCTCGCCTTTTTTGTCCGTTTCCTTCTTCTTACTTTTCTCTGGAGTCGACGTCGGCGACGTCATGTCGATCACCTCCTCCTGCTTCTCCTTGGACGCCTTCTTCTCCGTCGACATGGGCAGATCCAGGTCGCTGTCCTCGTCCTCCTCCTCCACAACCCGCTGACGCAGACGACGACGACCAGCTGGCAACAAGATAAAAGATCAGTTAGCCCTTCAGCTCTCTCAATCTTCAGCGACAAGAAGAGACCCACGTACGTTTCGTCTTGCTCTTGACAACCTCCTCCTCTTCTTCTTCTTCTGCCTCCTGCATCTCAATGTCCTCTGGCTCCTCCTCCACCTGCTTCTCCTTCTCCTCTTCCTCCTCTTCTTCAATGATCTTCTCCTTCTTCTCTTCCTTCTTCTCTTCCTTCTTCTCCTTCTTCTTGGGTTTCTTTACGGGCTTCGCCGGCGACTCGACGGCGTCGCCCGCGTCATCGTCCGCAGGTTTCCGCTTCTTGGCCGGCGGCGTGGACGCCCCAGCGCCGAAGAACGACCTAGTACGGTCCATATAAATAAAGGTTACACTTTGGGTTACCCTCCTAGTTGCTCGCATTCCAGCACGGTTACGCACATGATGGAGCGCTGCATCTTGGGCGCAGCTGCGCGAGCCAATCAACAACACGTTAGCGCTTGCATCCACGCGCAGCGTACCCCTCCACAGGCGCACCTTTCTTCCCCATGGCCGCCTCAGTCACTCACTCACGCCAGCTGCAGCTTTTTCGCTACTGCGAGCAACAGGCAATTTGGCGCTAAAAAGTGTACCCAACGTACCCCAAGTGTACCCAAGCGTAACTCAAATTTTGGCGGGAAACCTCAAAAGTTACACTCGCGCGTGGTGATCTTCGAGCAGCGACCGTAACCTCATGGGCCGCAAGCTGCTGGCGCTCGTGCCGACGGAGCTGCCGGCCTCCGCCAACCTCGGCCGCTTCCACGCGGACGCCACGGACGCGCCGCTGCTGTCCGTCGCGCTCTGGACCTCGCGCGCGGGCGCGGACGCCGCCGTGCGCACGCGGCAAGTGGCGCTGGACCGGCACAAGCGGCGGCTGCTGGAGCTGCAGCGCGTGCAGCCGCCCGAGGGCGCGCGCAGCTGGTTCGTGGGCAACTTCGTGCTGCAGGACGGCGCGCTGACGCTCTTCTCGCCGCTGGACGCGCTGTTCGTGCTGCTGGACGCCGCCTGGACGCAGCGCGCGAGGTTCCAGTCGGTCTATGACCTGCTGGCTAGGGACGGCAACACGTGGCTGCTGCAGCTGCAGACGCTCACGCAGGAGGCCATCGAGCGCGTGTGCGACGTGCAGCCCGTGGGGGGCGAGGACAGCGTGGATAACCTCTACGTCAAGGCCAGCGAGAGCAAGGTTACGCGGTGGTTACGCGCCAAGGTGGAGCGCGTGGCCGCCGTGCTGGCGCAGCAGGAGGCGCAGGCCAATGCAAAAGCCGCACAGGCCACGGCCGTCCATGAGCAGGTGAATCTGCCGGGGGTGAAGCAGGAGAGCAAGAAGGAGAACAAGGGTACAGGGGTTACGAAGGTTACGCCGGAGGACGTGGCGCGCCACTACCGAGAAGCTATCGACGTAGTGGGGAACTACCTCGCGGACGAGTGGATCGACCTGCTGTGCAAAGAGTTCGGGTACGTTGGGTAGGGTAGAGTGGGTAGAGTGAGTGAGTTCTTGACCGTGGAGTTATGTTGCTGCAGGGTGAAGAAGGAGGTGGAGGTGAAGGCTGCGACGACCAAGTCGGCGGCTGCTGGTGGGGCGCTGGACACGTTCAAGCGCTTCGATCGGCGTCAGACGCCAGAGAACACGTCCAAGCGCCCGACGCCATCCAGCGCTGGGGCTGCCAAGAAGAAGAGCAAGCTGGCCAACGTGGATTGCACGGGCATGAAGTCGCTCACGTCCTTCTTCGGCAAGAAGTAGACGCCACCGAAGTCGGGGGTGCAAAGCGATGCATTAAATCAATATATAGAGCTGTCTATCGCCGTGACGTGGAGCCTTCCACGCTGACCCGATGCACCGCCACGAAGTCGTCCCAGCCGGAGAGGATCTTGAACTTGATGAAGGACGCGTCCGTCGGCTTGACGTTCTCGCTCACGATCTGCATCTCGCCGTCCGACTCCTTCAACTCTTCAAGATTTAACAAGCACCAGCAAAACACGATCATTAGCCCGCCAATACCAGAGTTGAGAGAGCGGAGCCTAGCCTGCTTACTGGTATCGAAGAGCTTCTCCCACTTGGTCGGCGTCGGGCCGCTGCAGGACTCGACTGACATCTCCTTGGCATTCCGCGTCCACATCTTGGCACGGACGACTGAGGCCGTCGTGGCGAGCTGAACCACGATCTCCTGCGGAAAACTGCCCGTCGTCAGCCACTTGGACGATTGCTCTCTGTACGCACACACACGAGAAGTGTTAAGCGATATTAGTCCACGCCCTTCAATTCAAGTCCGAAGTCGACTCACCCGTCCAAGATGTTGACCGGCGGGAAGCTCGCATCGTACGAGGTCACGGCAGTCACCTGGGCGCCCTCCTCATCCAAGGCGAGCTCCATCACGGTCCACGGCTTATGTGAATATAGTCTGGACCCTTCTCTCGTTTCCTAAAGTCCCGAAGCGGAAGGGCTTAACTTAGCACAACTGCAGGCACAGCATGACAAAAGCTCACACACAAACCGGGTAATAATAGCTGAAGGCACGCACTCACACTTATCATCTCGATTTTGCTTGAACACCCTCCTAGATACCAACGTCACAGATGGTCATACGAATCCCTTGGCGCTGCTTGATCGGTCACTCACTTCCAGTTGCTTCGATGCCTCTGTGAAGTGTTTTCTTCCGCTCGCTCCAATTCACTCGACGAAGACAGCGGCGGTTGGATGGACTCTTTGTACAGTCGCTCGAAACCTGCCGATAGGATGTCGGCCGCGCGCGTGATACCCGATCCATCGTCATTGAACAGCTTGCAGTTGGACCACATGAGCCGGATGTCGTTGGCGAAGTGAGTTGAGTCCAGCTCCTTCACGCCAGCAGCAACAGTGTTGCTGTCCACGATGTACGCGCCCTTCTTTAGTTTGTTCTCGATCTTGGACAAATCCATCGGCTGCTTCACCACGCGCGTGTAGAGTGGCACGTTCTCCACAGGCGTGAGGAACGGCTTCGAGAAAGGATGCGACTTAAGGCACTCCACGATCTTCAGGCACCTGTCCAGCAAGCTCTGCTCTGAAGCCACCGCCACGGAGTACGCGTCGAACCTTGACGGTTTCTTGCACTCGGCGCACTGCCAATCGCCCTCAGGCAGGTCGTTCTCCGTCATGTGCAGGCACTTCAAGTGGTAGGAGCGCGGGCACTTATCGCAGCACACCAGGTCGCCAGCGCGCTGGCAAACCTCGCAGAAATCTAGGTTGGAGTCCAGCTCGCTGTCTGAACCATCGTCGTCTTCGTCTTCATCTTCTTCGTCGTAAGCCTCGTCCTCTGTGTCTTCGTCGTCATTCTTCGCGCGCTTGAGGCGTTTAGTAGCACGTTTGCCGCGGCCGCGGCCCTTGCCCCTACCTCTTCCTCTCGCCTTAGGGGGCGGGGTATGCTTACGGTCTTGCGAAGTCTTCCTTTCCGCGCGTGGCATAGCAGGAGTCCCGTCCTTACGTGGGCGTCCGGGCCCACGACGTTGCGGTTGCGGCTGCGGCTGCGGTGTATGGGTAGCGTGGCTCTCCGCTTTCGCAGCGCTTTCACGATCGTCTCGCTTCGTGACCAGCAACGGCCTCGACTGCGTTTCGTGTCGACCCTCGTGTTCTTTATCTTCATTTTCAGCAGCGCTTGTGTCGCGGTGTGAGGCCGACGAATCTGCTCGTGATCTCACGTCGTCCGAGTCACGTGGAGCGGCACTGTCCTCGCCATCGCTATCACTAGCACTGTGCTTCTGCGCCTCGCTTTCTTCGTCGACGTTGTCACTTGCCTTCCGCTTGCGTGTCTTCAGCACGTCAAGAGGCCGCACGCCGCCAGTCTTCGAACGCTCATGCGGAGTGCTATCACCCGAGTCCATTAAGCTGGTGGACGATTGATCCTGGTACGGGCTGTCTGTTTGGCAGCGCCTGTCGGCGATACCACGCGGAGCAAACACCCGAGGTGACGCCTCCGCCTCGCTAGAAGCTTGCGCATTCCCGCTGTTTGTAGTCCTCGGCGCAATCCCATTCGAACCGTAGCGCGATTCACTCGGGGGCTGACTGCCGTCTTTACCAGCGGGCTGGCCGCTAGCATCCATCGCTGCCGAGGTCGTTGGTGTTCCGTTTTGATTCAGCGAACTCAACAGCCGAACCAGAGACTGTTCCGATTCAGCACAATTCATAACAGTAGCCGCTGAAGGGGAATCCACAGAGCTTGGGTGAACACGCGGTGAAGCAGCTTTCGCAGCGGCAACTCGGGTATCAGTGGCTTGCGCGCTATCAGCCATCACTGTGAGCATATCAGCGGGCGCATCCTTGGCCGCTCGCTTCGGAACGGGAGGGTACTTCGACGGAGACTTCTGCTGAGCCTGCATGCTGGTATAATCTTCGGAGCGATTTCGCTCATCTGGCGGGTACTGCTCATACTCGGGCTGCTGAGTCTGCTGCATCTGTCTGCGTCCTTCAACCGGCTTTCCTGGTTCCGCATTGCGAGCCGAGAACCCGTCGCGCTGAATAGGAGGACGGCCTTCCGCTGACGAGGTGGGAGGGTATTGCGCGTAACGTCGTCCGTCGCTAGGAGCCATGCTTTGAGCACTGCTGTATGCCGGCCGTCCCTCGCTAGGTGCCATACTTTGAGCACTGCTGTATGCGGGACGTCCGTCGCTAGAAGTCGCGCTTTGTGCACTGCTATGTGCGGGTCGGCCCTCGCTGGGAGCCATGTTTTGGGCACTGCTGTAGGCCGGTCGCCCCTCGGAAGTCGATGCTGAAGCAGCAGCGGCCGCAGCGGCGGCAGCAGCAGCATTAGCAGCAGCAGCGCGATCGGTTGACCCCGCAGGCACTGAGCCCTGTCCACTGCGACGCAGCGTATCCAGCAGATAGCGCTTGTACTTCTGCACCTCCTTCTCCTTCCCTGCCGTGCATCCGGTGCACGGGCATCCGTGCGTGCAAATCAGGCAGCGCAGCAGACGTCGGTTGGGCGCAGATCCGTTCCGGCCGACGAACAGCGCCTCCATCCTGACCCTGTAAACACTGCGCAAGTGCTCGCGACACAGCGAGTGGTTCTCGTCAGCGTGCGGGCAAAAGTTCACCACTGGCACAAAGTGATTCTCGCCCACTCCGCACAAGTGGCACAGCCCCTTCGCCACAAAGTTGGCCTCCTTTTCCGGGATCAAGTCCTCCATCGCCACTGCGAACGCGTCGTGCAGCACCGACTCGTCCAGATTCACTTGCTCGCGCAGCATTCCTCCACTCGGGGAGGCAGCTTCCTCTCTCTCTTGTAGTCCTCCGCCAGCTTCCCAGTCCCGGACGAGCCGGTCTCCATCGGCCTACCCTGATACATTTTACCAGTAGAACCGTCCATAACTCGACCCTGGTAGCCTCGCGGCACCTGAACCACCCTGCCCTGGTAACCTGCAGCTGCGTCCGGCGTTCTATCCGGGTATCCCGGCGCTCCATCGTTCGGTCTGCCTTGATACCCCGCTGGCACATCGTTTGGTCTGCCTTGATATCCTGCAGGCCCCGCGGGTCCATCGTTCTGTCTGCCTTGGTATCCCGCAGGTCCCACAGGTCCCTCGCCCATTCTACCTTGGTATCCTGTGGGTCCATCGCTCATTCTACCCTGTCCGGTGGGTCTGCTCTGGTATCCTGCTGCTCTGTCCACCATTCTACCTTGGTATCCCGCCGCTTCCATCGTCCTCCCTTGATACGCCGCTGCTCCAGAGTCGTTCATCCTCGCTTGGTATTCCATCGTTCTACTCTGGGGGTACGGGGTAGGGCCCTCCACGGGGGGCCTCCCCTGGTACCCGTCCATGGGGGGTATCCCGGCATACCCCGCCGCTTTCTCCGCCATTCTCCCTTGGTACGCAGCGGGAGGCTCCGCCGTTCTCCCCTGGTAGGGCGCAGGGCGTTCTACCGGCCTTCCAGCGTACCCCGCAGCGTACTGCTGGAACTGCATCGGAGCAGAGGCCGCGGAGGACGGTGGGGGTCCCTCCCAGTCGCCGCCGGGCGCCGGCCTGTCGCGTCCCTGCCGAGCGGCGCCTGAAGACGGGGCGGAGCTCACGCCGCCGCCGGGCGCCGCACTGTAGCCATCTTGTGTCTTGCCCTTGCTCATGATGGCTTCCATCCACACTTCGTTGGGCGGGGGCGTGAGGCGCTGGCGCTAAGAGAGAAAAAGAGAGAATTCGTAGAAGTTTGTATGCGCACATAGATTTAAGGTTAGAGAGGGGGAGAAGAAGGGGGGGTGGAGAATGAGGTGGAGGGGGGGAGTCGGCACCTTGTCCCCGCGGTCCCGAGGCGCCCCATGGTACATGCTCGCTCGCTTCCTCGCTGAGGCGCCGGCGGCTTGTCCTGCCCAAGACTTCTTGAGATTTGTCAGCACCGTGGAACCGGGTTTTGGCGCCGTGGGCGACGTGAGAACGGATAATTTTACCTAGGAAATATAGTATACTTTGTAAATACATATACATTAGTTGTATAGTATGTGGTTGTGGAGGTACCCATCGCAGTTGGTGCCTGAGCAAGATTACATTCTGCTCGACAATGGTGCCGTACGTACGGCCATGTGGCCGCGTCAACAGCGTACCGGTAATAGCTGGCCCACGAGCGAGTGCCACCTGGCAGTAACTTCCCATCTCACGGGAACGAAGGGCACGGATCAACCTCCGATGCCGAACGCTTGCTGTCTCCAGGTCGAACGCCACGATAAATAATGAAGTTGAAGTGTCAAGGTCGAGGCTGCGACCGGACGATCGAGTGGGTGACTCACGTGCAGCATCGCGCTGACTGGAAGAACTTGGATACTGTTGTTGTTTGAGTCCGCAAAAATGCTGCAATATATAATACATGCTGCTACGCTGTTTCATATTCCAAGAGTATATATTCTCTCCAAAACCCAAGCGCAAACTTGGACTATTTTTTTCTTTCAGGTCAGTCATGCATTGGTCATTTTCAAGCTTCCGCCACCCTCCCCGGTACGAGTATTTATTGTTCCAAACTTCCTAGGACATTTTTACGTACACAGTACCAATACTAGTGGTTCGAGAAAAAGTCTACGTTCATGATTTAGTCGCATCCTAGTGCGCTTAATAAAATGGCTTTGGCAATACAACGTGGATTTTGAAAGAAAAAAACTTCAATGCACACAGAGTTTGTATGCCGAATGCGGTTCGTATTGTATGTATGGTTTACGACGTAAGTAGTTGTGGTTTACAACACCATGTCATTCTGCGTGGGTACATGTATAATAGTTATGCAGCGACCTATTGATACATATTAGTTGGGTTACGACACGACGTCCATGCATGGTAGTTACGGGATTACCATACCCATAATCACTATATGGTCCGCCTGTTGCTTACACTCCAACATTTCTTCATTCTTGGGTCTAAAGGAAAATGGTAATAGGCAGGAAGGTCAGGCCACGCAAGCTACGTCCAACTTGAAGGTACCTTATATGCAGCGCTGGTATGTACCGTACATGTATTGGCAAGAAGGCGAAAGCAAACTATCGAGTTGTGGTTCTCTGCTACATGACAAACTGACTGGGGCTGCAATGAAGCGAGGAAATGAGGGTCATCAGTACGCACCACAAGTCGACAAGAAAACGGTGATCTGTACACGGCTGCTGTATACGGTAGCCAGCAGGTCAAAGGTTAAAGCGATCCTCTTCAAACAAGCGTACGCCCTCCAGCTCTCCTTATCTAACGCCTCCTGTCGGTAATTTTTCTCTGTAGAGTTGATTCAGCGAATGGATAGTACCGTACTCGCTCTCAACTTTTTTACACATCCCGAAAGTTATTTTTGATAAGCTGCAAGATGTGCAAGTTCCAGAATGCGGCTCTGACTCAACGGAGTTTACCCAGTTGGTTCTTCACATGGAGTAACACTGGCGTGGATCCAAAATCATCGCAACACTTGAGCCAAAATCCCCAAGTCAAACGCCCTAATACTTGAGTTTGTAGACTGGAAATAGTGTGATTGATCGCCTATAATGAAGTAACCAATGTCACCACTCACGAAGACCCGAGCCGGGCGCCATGGACAGTTGACGCCTGTCGTCGTAGGCTCGCACTACATCAAGTTATTTTTTCGCGGTTAACGCTGATTGCACTCCGGGTGAGCTCAACCCGCCTACGTCTCCTTGTTGTCGACAATGTATTATTATTATATTTACTTTTTGTAGACAGGGGAGACTTGTCCGCAGTAATTTCTTCTGAAATTGAAAATGATGTTTTCACTCCAATACTATGACTTTTCTTCTTTCTGTTCAGGTTGGCGAAGTTCTCGACGAGGGATATGTAGTACAGACTCATAACGATATGTGGCCAACTAGCGGTAAGCACCACCGAAACATGGATACAATAGGATGGCACAGGCAGTAGCTATGTACAGAGCTGAATTCCCGACAGTCCGTGCCCTGATGAAATAACTGCCCAACTAACATTTACGTATTTGAGAATGTCGATATACAGTGGGTGGCTTAAATGAGCGCCCCCCCCCTTTGCAAAAAAATATACAAAAATCAAGTCAAATGATTTGCAGGCTTGACATTTCATACTACAGAATTGTCATTTCTTCTTGGTTTCACATCAAACCTGCCCCATTCGACGCAGAATCGCTTGAACTATAATCAGCTGCCATTTCATTGGCTATTAATGCCTGTATTTTGACAAATCGTTGATTGAGTTGAGCACCCGATACAGCTGAGCCATGACCATATCTTGATTTTTGTATGGGCTCCCATGATTTGTATCGAAACATGCGACGGAGGGGGGGGGCGCTCATTTAACCCACCCGCTGCAGCTTCGACTAGAGTGCCCCTGAAGGAGTGACAGCAGCAGCGTGATCAGGGGGTCGTCTTATTTTCGAGTACATTTCGCGGACTGTCGAGTAAAGAGTAATTTTCCCGGACTTTCGAGTACATATACCTCTTTTGAACTCGTGCGTTGCGTTAGCTTCCAGCTATTGACTCCGCTCTAAGAACGTTGAATGTCGGTGTGGCATTCACGAACGTAAGTAACGTGCTACTAGCCCTTTAGGGCAACTTGTCTGATGTTTTCTGCTGGATAACGCTTAAATTCTCAATTAGCTTCCTTATATCCGCATAAGTGTTTCGATGCGTTACTTCCCCAGATACATTCATGCTGTGTCTTTATCGCCCTGCTCGTGAAGAGGTAAGTTGGAAAGTGAGATGTATTTAGGTAGACAAACGGAAGCAACTAGCTGGCTGCCTACTGGGGCACAAGGGGGCCCTGTGCATGCCGTCCGCTACTCCTTCGCTTGCTCATGGCCCTGCGCCCGCTTCTCTGCGGCGAGGGCCCTTGATGACGCTCTGTGATGCTTGGCCCAATGTCCTTCTCCAGTCACCGTCCTTCACAGCGTCGTAACCATGTAGACACGCAGCCATCGGCTCCAATGATTGTGCTTGGGCCACTGGCGATTATGCCCACGACGAACTTGAGCCAGCTGAGCACGACACCGCCTTCTCCAAAGCTCTTGTTCGGCGAGGGCCAGCAACGCTTAGTCGAGTTGCGCTATGAGTGAGTCATCGCCCGATGAGTCAGCATAGTGACGAACGAGTTGAGGGACGTCCTTGAGCATCCCGTCCAAGCCCTCCCACGAGTCCTCGATCTCCTGCAGCCTAGGCCATGACACTAGCAACTCCCAGCGGTGGTAGACGTCATTGTAACGGTGGTCTCCGATGGCCTTGACGTCCAGCACGATGCCCTGGGCGGTGACGAGCTCGATCATCTCCTGCGTCACGTTCAAGACAGAATCGGCGTAGTACTTGAGTCTGCTCCCGTGAACTTCGTGCTTCTTCCCGCTCGTGAGATGCTCGATAATAAACGCGTGAGGAGTCGTTTCCACCACGCGAAAGGGACCCAGCCATTGGCCTAGGAGCTTGTCATTGGGTAGGCGCTGGTCAATACGCGACCATAGCACAAAGTCGCCAATATCGAAGTTGCATTCCGCCCCATTCTTGCGCTGCATGTCGAACAGCCTTCGGCGCTCCTTTTTGTCCACGACTTCCTTGTGCATGCCTTCGAGCGACGCACGCAGCTTCTCGATCTGACGCGAAACATCTTCCGGGTCAACCACGACCAGCTCTTCCCCAGCAGGGGTCTGGCGCACAATCACATCCAGCGGCGACGCTGGCTTGAGACCAGTGAAAAGCTCGGTGGGCGAGTGTCCGGCAAGGGATCGAACTTGCGCATGATTGAGGCACGCTTGGACAACAGGCAGTAGGTACGGCCACTCGTGGCGATCCAGACCATAGTCAAGGAGCAGTGCGCGCAAGACTTGGAGCACGTCCTTGTTCAGTCGCTCAATCGTCCCATTCACCCAAGGCGTGTACACCGGAGAGAAAGAGCGGTCCATCTTCAGGCGGGCACACAAGTGGTCCAGCCTTCGTCATCCCGAAGAAGGATGGAACGGTCAGACTGGTGTGTGATTTTCGCCAGCTCAACAAGCGGCTTCGCCGCAGCTTCTACCCAGTGCGGTCGGTGCCTGAGATGATCCGATCGATACCACGGCCAGTGTATGTCTCCGCCTTTGATGTACCTCTCAGCTACTACACAAGGCTGCTATCGAAACGCAATCGTGACGCTACTCACAAGTGGTCAACCGTTTCATTGCGGAAGTGAGTGCCTTGGTCGGAGATCAGCATGTCGGGATGGCCAAATCGCTTCACCCAGTCAAGCAGTGACTCTGCGGCAATATAGGCAGTAGCACTGCCACATGGGTACAGCTCGCAGTAGTGCGTCAGTGAGTCCTTGAGCACCAGCAGGTAGGCGTTGTCACCGTAGCCCTCCCCGAGCGAGAGGTAATCCCAATGCAGCGCCTCATTCCGTCGAGTTGCCGTGAAGGTTGGTCCATACTGGCGCTGAATTTGCCTCGGTCCTTTGACGTGTTTGCACAGCAGGCATCCGCGAGCAAATCGAGTAGCCTTTTCAGCCAGCTTGTCAACATAGAAGTTGTCGGCGACAAGAGATGTCAGTACCTCAATGCCTCGATGGCCCTGAGCTCCACAGTGCGTCACCACAAAGACCCTGTTGAGCAAGTCAGTGGCTCCACTTGGAATCCATGGCTTGTGCTCGCGCACTAGCAATCCTTCCTCCTCCACCAAAGCAAGGTATTTTGGAGGGCGACCTGCAGCTTCTTGTGCCTCACGGACATCGTCGATCATCGGGAACTGGAAGTTGTCATCCGTAAGTGGGCGCAGCCGGGAGAGGTCGTCCACCGGCACCGCGGTTCCTCTGCGCGTGCGAACCGCGCGAGCGTGCACCGTGGCCTGCGCTTCGCGTTGAGGCCGCCATCGCGACACGATGTCAGCCCAGAGGTTGTTTGCGCCCGCTATGTGCTCGATTGTGTAGCGGTAGGCGTTCAGCCGGAGCGCCCAGCGCTGGAGACGATCGCGGACGTGCTGCTTCAGATCGTCATGAGGGGCAAACAGGTAGATCAGGTTGGAGTGGTCACAGAATAGTCGAAATCCACGCCGGCGCAACAGTAGGTAGCTCAGGTTGCTGCAGGCCATCACGATGGGGTAGGCCTCTTTCTCAGTGATGGTCCAATTGAGTTGGGAGTCCTTGAAGAGGCCACCCTTGCATACAACCATGACATGCTCTTGTTCCTCCACGGGGAGATTGGCATCCCAGTGATGCACCAACGTGATGACCACGCTGAAGCCAAGTCGTGAGGCGTCACTGAAGACGCAGACCTCATCTTCGTCCGTGGGAAAGGCCATCATGGCCGAGTCACGAATTGTAGCAATTGCGTCTTTGTAGTCCTGCTTCTCGTCGTCGGACCAAGCAATCGCAATGTTCAATGCGTTCTTGCTGCGCTTGCCAATCTGCTTCCTGGCCTACTCGAGCTTGATGTAAAGGGCGGCAAATCTTCGAGAGTAGTCCACGATAGAATCCCTCAACCAATTCGCCGCGCACACAAAGTATTGCAGCTCCGCTGCTGTGGAGGGCAATGGAAGGTCCGTCAGCGCGTCGATCCGGGCAGGGTCATGACGGATTCCGTCACCAGTAATCACACGGCCGCACCACACTACTTCGGTCGTGAAGAGCGAGCTCTTGGCCAGGTTAAGCTTCAGATTGTGGGCATCCAGAAGGGTGAAGAACTGCCTTAGCACTGCGAAATACGTCGGAATGTCGTTGGCAAAGAGGAGGATGTCATCGATCCATACCTCCACGTGATCCGGCATCAGATCTCCGAACACTTCACGCATCTGACCTTGAAAGTGGAGGGCGGAGTCCATGGCCCTTGCGGCACTCTGAGGGGTGTGTAGACACCATCCTCCGTCATGAACGACAGGATTTCTTGACTGTCTTCATGGAGGGGGAGTTGCCAGAAGCCGTTCTTCAAGTCGAAGCACGCAAATGTGGTGTAGCGGGATCGGCCACAATCTGGTTAAGGCCTGATCAAGCTTCCCACCAGCGCCCAGACACCGACTAACGGAGGGGGTCCCCCAACGACCCGTGATCGGCTGAACTTGTTCTCACCTTGGGTACCCGTCGGCGGGCTGGATCTGCTCTCTCGGGGCTCCGAAGATGCAGCACTTGGTGAAGATCGAGTGTCTTGGCGTGACCCGGGGATAGTTTGTGGAGCAGCGCGGGAATCTTCGCTCTGCGTCCGAGTATACGTTCCGATCGAGGGTTGTTCGCTGCGATCGGTCGGCCTGGAGTCGATCCAAGGCCTGTAGTTGCCTTTCCGGGTGTGTTCCTTCCTTTCCTGGGTTGCTTGCCGCTTCCTATAGCGGGATCGAGGTTGATCGAGAGGAGAAACGATCGCCGCCCGAGCAGTATCCGGTCGATCGGGGGTTCGCACACAAGACATAGATGGCTAGAGTAGGTCAAGCTGGCCAATGTATTAATCCAGTCTTAACCGTACCACTAGCTCACTGTCCAAAGTGTCGATGCTTGCCGAGGCCAATGTAGTTTCTGGGACTTGACGACTTGGGGGACTTGTGCTCTTTGGTGCAATTCTCTTCTCGAGAAGGAATCGCAGGGACTCGGCAGTCTTGGATCACGGGTGGGGCCAATTAGATTCCCCACGACGTACGCTGGTCGAGGCCAATATGTGCTTCCTCGCCACGTTTCCAGGCCACTTGCGTTGTACCGCGCAAATTCTCTTCTGATTTATGTTTAGCTGGTCTCTCCCTACTGCTACCATCTTGCTTACCATCCTACAACCAAACGATTACTGGATTCTTGCCCTGGCTTCGCCCCCATGTGCTTCCCATCCGGGTCGATCGACGATCCACGATCGCCTCCTGATCCACGATCGGCTCCTGATCCACGATCGATCCCGATCGGCGATCAACTCCCGATCGATGACCTGTGCGAGTTGCCGTGCGCTGCCGATCCGTCCTCTTCTGTCCTCGGCCGCCCTAGATCTGCGAGATTGGTCGTCGATCCGGGCTTGGGTCTACGTCGAATCACGCCGCAGTCCAAGCGCGATCGCCCGTAATCTGTCTTGACATATGTGTTGCCTTACGCGTCGACGTTATCCAATCGCTTGAGATCTCTCGATAGACCCTCTTGATCCGCGACCGCAGCCTGATCCCTGCCTATCGTTCTGCCACCATGTCGCTTGATGTCATCGCAGTTGGAAATTCTTGTTCGGTGCTTCACCACACAAACACAATTGCGCCGTTGACCTTGTTCATCAGCGCAGCAATGTTCGTCATCGTCCCGGCAATCGGAATGGTCAGCGAGTTCACATTGCGGTAATCAATAGTCATTCGAAACTCGTCGAGAGATCCCGCCTTACGCACTGGGACGACGGCACTCGCCCAGCGTGCTCCGCTGTTCTTGCGCACCAGACCGCTTGCGACCAGCTTCGACACATGCTCCCGCAGGAACTCGCTCTGCAATGGAGCATACTTCCGTTGCTTGCAGCGGTATGGAATGGCGTCACAACTCGCAGCGGTTCCACGTCCGCTGGGGGGCCTCCTCCCAGGCTGTCCTGCCATACGTCCGGAAACTCCAACAACAGCACCAGGAGCATGGGCGCGTGTTCGGCATCCAGTCCTTTCGCTACAGCATCGCTAACAAGCCGCTCCAGCTCCGGCCTGATGTCAGCAAACACCGGTGGGTCCATCGAGTCATCACCTACTGCAACTCCATCGTCCACCTCGGCTGGCATCCCGTCGACGGCCAATTGGGCGAGCATATCATCAATGTCAATACCGAGAGTGCTTAGGATGTCACGGCCTACGAGCCGTTCTTCCTCATCGCTCTCCATCACCACACACGGGACATCACGAAGATGCATAACACCCGCCGCCGTCTGCAGGTCTAGGTCGACGGTTACCATTGATCCACACGTAAGTGGGCGGCCATCCGCCACCACCACCTCCACGGGAGTGTGGAGCTGCTCACAGTTGAGGTCAGGTTGTAGCGAACGAAGTGAATCCACTACGCAGCTGGGTATCACGCTTCGGTCGGCACCAGTGTCAGGGATGTACGCCACTTCCAGCATGCCATTGATCTGAACCGAGCGCGCAGTCGGACGCGCCTTGACCACCTTTGAGCGCACCACGTCGGCACGCCGTTCTTTGGAGTCTCGAAACCGTTCTAACGCCTCACGACGCTGCTCTACTGTCACCGTCGGACACTCTCGAAGCCAGTGAGGTCCATGACAGAACAGACATCCCTCCGTCGGCGGCTTGGACGCGCGCGGCGGTTTTGTTTCTGGTTTTGCACTCGTGGCCGCCGCTTGGGGGGTGGTCGGTTCTTCTGCTCCCGCGATTGGCCACTGGACTTCTTTGAGTCATGACCACCACTTGAGCCTCCAGCAGACGTACGGGTTGCACCACGCGCAGGTGTGCTCTCCTGCACCAGCCGGTGAAATCTCTGCTGGACCTTAGCATGTTCCAGCACCAGTTCGAAGAGCGCAACATCGTCCACCTTGCACTCACGCCTCTCCAGCTCTACGAGGCGCTCGATCTGCTCCCGTAAGACGACCGGCTGGAGGTTTTCAATTAGAAGTCGGCCTCTGGCCTTCATGCGGTCGTAGCTGTGGGGTCATTCCGACCAATGAGACCCTGAAGTCCATTCTCCTCCTCGATCCGCTTGAAGTCTTGAAAGTACCGGAAAATGCGGGCATCACAGTCTTCGACTCGCAGGTCCATGCGCAATGATTGTCTGAACAGTGACTTCACGTCCGGGACGTACGCGTTGGTCAGGGACTGGGTTTTCACCCTGATCAACCGTAGGAGGTCATCATCGCTAATGGTCTCCAGTGGGCGCTTCAACAGGAATGTGGCGATCGTGTCCAACACCCGAGGTCGAATGGAGCCCTTCACCGTAGCGACTACGTGGGTGAACACTTCGCCAGTCACACTGCAACGATGGCGAATCTTGGTGACGTAGTGATTCCATTCTCGGTACCACACGACAAGCGCCGCATGCTCCCAGTCCGCCAGCTCCGGAGGCCGCACGAACTCGTAGATCGGTTGCGGGACCGACGTGCCAGCGTCCATGTTGACATCGCCTTCAGGGTCCATCGCGAAACCACCGCCAGCCATCATCTGAGAGGCCATTGGGCGGCGAAGAGCTTGGGCGAGCCTTGTCACGGGGCTTGGTCACAAGCTTGGTCGGAGCGTCCTTGAACTCGGCAGCACTCCGGTGTCTCGGGTCGACGACGCGCACTCGAGGCCAGCAATCGAACTTACGCCTAGAAGTAAAGTTAACTTTATCGCACGAGCTGCCCTGCTCGTGAAGAGGTAAGTTGGAAAGTGAGATGTATTTAGGTAGACAAACGGAAGCAACTAGCTGGCTGCCTACTGGGGCACAAGGGGGCCCTGTGCATGCCGTCCGCTACTCCTTCGCTTGCTCATGGCCCTGCACCCGCTTCTCTGCGGCGAGGGCCCTTGATGACGCTCTGTGATGCTTGGCCCAATGTCCTTCTCCAGTCACCGTCCTTCACAGCGTCGTAACCATGTAGACACGCAGCCATCGGCTCCAATGATTGTGCTTGGGCCACTGGCGATTATGCCCACGACGAACTTGAGCCAGCTGAGCTCGACAGTCTTCCTTCGGTCTCATCCAGGGTGGCAATGCCAGACGTGGCGCCTTTCCTAAGCCACGAATAAGGTTTATGTGAAATTACTCGGAAGTCAGTGAAGTGTACTCGCAATTAAGTAGCACCCGTGACCAGGTACCGAAACTGGGCCTTGACGCATCATTAGCGGAGCTGTGTCACAGCTTGACCGTACAAAAAGTGAATCTAAAGACGGTAAGAAGTGTTTAAGGGGCTCTAGGGCAATAATTTGTCTTGGTAAACACAGTACTAGTGAGTTGTGTTTTCGAGTGGTATTACTACTACGAAATATCTAACAAATGATAAAAATGTTAATAGCATCGAAGTGGTTATACCGCTAAGACCCGCAACAGCTTTAGAACTGAATATCTGTACTGTACTAGTTAGTGTGGATTCAGCGAAGGCTCTCTGCAGCTTATACGCGGAAATGACTTCGAATCTTTCTTTACAATACATGCAACGCAACAAACTGAATATTCCAGATTTTGCTACAGTACGGCAATGGACGCAACCGTACACAACGAGATGGGATCACGTCACTAGTCAACCACGACGAATGGCTACGGTACAGAAGTTCAAACAAACTAAAGCGACAAGGCTTTTTGCTGAACGGTGACGAATCTACCGTATTGTCATGCAACAAATACGACGTTGAAGATACATAGCGCTGTAGAGCTGTTCGGCCAAAGCAGTTTTAGGAATCCAAGTGGATTTTGCACAGCACAATCGCCATGCTAGCGATGTCCTCCACGCGGCTAAGGTGCTACATGTATCTGTGGATATAGCAGGTAACGATGCCAAATAACAACAAGTTGGATGTGTGTCGTACTTTTACTCACACGCCAGTGGGGCCCCTACTGGGGGCCCTATGTCGTTGTGAGTCTTACATACACTTTGAGGTTCGCCGCGGTATGAGAAAGCGCGGCGTGGCACGCAGACAACAGAACGACAGGTGAAGACTGGATTGCGCTGGCAGCGCTTCAGTCGGATCACAATCATCTGTACATGTATCCGCGCTTTGGATTCCGAAAGCTCCGATCCCGAACCATCGCCGGGCAAATCGAGTCCGAGAGGGCGAAGATTCCTCGCTGCAGCTTTTGAAACCCTGGCAGCCATCGAGTCGTTGGCGATGATTGACGGTATGGCGCTGCGCGAGGCGGCAAGTGTGTTGTGTGCGTTGTCGCCGTTGCAGCGGGCAACACTCCGCCTTCATTATTGTAGGTCCCGACGCCACCGCTGGATACTTTGCGTGCATGCGTGTGCTGCCCTCGTTGCACTTCCTCATGAGCTGGGCACTCATCGTCGCGGAAGGCCGGGGCGTGGATACGTACGATTACGGCAGGAAGGGAGGCCTCGAGGGCGATAAATTACTGTTGTTGTTATTATAGTCTCTGGCTAGCATATCGAGCGCTCGCATGGCAGCACGGTGTCCGTAATCACCCGCCGCGCCTGGAAGCGCCCGCGTCTATCTGGAGGGGCTCTTGCTGTCGTTCACATGACCCGCTGGCGCTTGAGGGGTCCGCCGCACGGGATGGCGGGCACCGAGCAGTGCTCGGGGTTCCACAAGCGGGCCAGCCTGGCCTCCTCCTGTTTCCGGCGGATGTAGCTGCTGTGCGCTGGAAGGTTGGCAACCCCCAGGCGCTTGGGGGTGACGGGTGCGGCGCACTCGGCGAACAGGCTCGGGTCCAGCTCGTTCAGGTACTCGTCGAGGCTGCGGATGAGCACGCGCTCGACTGGCTTCGGCTGCTGCTGCTGCTGCTGCTCGAGCTGGTGCTTGCGCTCGAGGAACTCCTGGATCTCCTCGTACTGGCTGCGCGAGCGGCTGTCGTGCACGCCGAGCAGGAGGCTCGAGGCCTCGTCGAGCCCGCCCACCTGCGCGCAGATGTAGCGCTGCACGTGGTCCATCTCGGCGCGGTACTGCTGCTCCTTGGCGGGCGACGCGAACTGCAGCGGGCGGCGCACCACGCGGCGCGGCGGCTGCAGCTTGCTGCTGCTGCTGGACATCATGGGGCTCTCGGTGTTAGCGGGCGAATGCTGGAATGACACCGAAGCTGCCAGTGCCGGCACCGAAGTCCTACGGCTGTTACTGCCCTTCAAGCCTGATTGATACCTAGATGTCACGCCCGTCGTAGCGTCGCGCTAGTGAATTCTTTTTTGGTTACCTACACCTGCGAGCGGACCTGCAGTCCAGAGGTCTGCGGAAACAGCGATTGTATCTGGCATGTATAAGCCGATACCATCATATTTGACGGGTATGCAATTGCAGGGCAGGCTACGCCGTCATCTGGTTCTAAAAAATCGGGAAAGACATGTCGGGTTTTACTCGAAACATCTTGCCAGCGCTTTGCCGGGGGCTGGATTATTATCGCGCCGCGAGGAACTCGCGTCGATGGTGGCGGGATTTTGTTGCCATCACGCTGGTTGGCGCGCAGCGATCTTGCCGGCGAGCGACGATTCGTGTGGGTTCAAGCTGCACGCGGCGCAGATCAAGCTGCACGCGGCGCAGATCAAGCTGCACGCGGCGCAGATCGGATCGGGGCGCGGTGCTGCCGCGCGTGTGACTTGGCTTGGATGTCAGATGGCTGCCCCGCCTCGGCTCACCAACCGGGTGATCCATTGATCGACGCACGGGAACCGGCGCGAGGCGTTGGCTTCGGCCGGGGTGAAGGAAGGAATCCTCTGCAGTTGATTCCAACTGAAAGATATGAATGAACCTTTGGGTCGAATAGCTATGTGTACTATAGCTGCAGAAGCAAAACATCACTACAAGAAGCTCCATCAAAGATTGAAGAGATCAAAATCGGCCAAAGCGTCCGTCATTCGTCAAAAGTGGTCTCCGCTTTCGCCCAATCAGCGGACGCATACTGGGGGAGCGGTCAAAGTTCAAGCATGATGCTGGCGCCGTCCCCCAGCGCCGGCGGCGGCGTCGGCGCCGAGCGCGCGCTGCTGGCGGGCGGCTTCCTGCTCTTCTCGTCCACCGTGGCGCTCTTCTGCCTGGAGCGCAAGCGCCACCGCCAGCGCGTGTGGCGCCAGCGTCTCACCTACAAGAAGCTCTCCAAATCGTACGAAATAGACGCGTATCAATGCCTACCACTTAGGTTTCCCGCCCTCTAACGTTTACGTGCTGCTGCAGGTCGGATCTGGGCGCGTCCTTCGGCCTGGACATCGGTGCGTGAGGAGAGGAGGAAAAATCCGCCTTCTGATACGCTCGCTGACGGCTGTGTATCTATCTCTCTGTTGCTGCAGGGGGGACGCTAGCCAAGATCGTGTACTTTGAGCGCCGCGACGTGGGCAACGATACGCGCAAGCGGCCGCGCTCGGCGTCGCTGGACGTGGCGGCCGGGGAGATGAACCAGTTCCTGCGCGAGAACCAGTCGTTCGGCAGCACGGGCGTGCAGGACGTGCGGCTGAGAATCCACTCCAAGACGCTCAACGGGGTACGCGGACGCTGCAGCTGCAATTGTGGGTTGCTGTTCGAACTCATTGGTCTGTTGCCTGCAGATCTTCCACTTTGTCCGGTTCGAGAGCAACAAGACGCGCGAGGCGATCGAGTTCATTGCGAACAAAGGTATCAACCAGTCGCTGAGGATCCTGCCGTGCACGGGCGGAGGCGCCCACAAGGTTCGAGCTGCGGGTTGCAATTGAGCGCCAAACGCGGGTTATTGACGTTGTTGTATGTGGTGCGCAGTACGGACATGTTTTCAACGAGATGGCTGGCATTGAGCTCGAGAAGTACGACGAGATAGACTGTACCATTTTGGGACTGCATCTGCTGCTTACGACGCTGTCCGATGAAGTGTACACCTTTGAGGTACGCACTGAGCGTTGGTGTGCTGTTTGAGGTCGAAACTGACATGTTTTTTTCTCTTGACTGTGGTGCAGGTTGTGGACTTTAACTCGCTCGCAGCCTCGCGGGTGAAGGTCATCCAGACGGACGTGAACGAAGATGTGTACCCGTATCTGGTACGCCTCTTACCTCATTTTTTCACTGCTGCTGACTTTGAGCTATTCTAACTCGTTAACATTGCTGCAGCTGGTCAGTATTGGCTCTGGTGTAAGTGTCCTATATGTGAAGGCCCCCGGGGATTATGAACGTGTGAGCGGTAGCAGCATTGGCGGCGGCACCTACTGGGGGCTTTGTCGTCTGATGACGCACTGCGAATCGTACGACGAGGCGTTGGATTTGTGTGTCCACGGTACCAACAAAACGGTTGATATGAGCGTGGGGGACATCTACGGCGGCGCGTACGACAAGTTTAAGCTGCCGGCGTCCACCGTCGCCAGCAGTTTCGGAAAAATGATTTCGACTTCGCGCGAAAACGTGAGCGAAGCGGATCTGGCCCGGTCGCTGCTGGTTATGATCACCCAGAACATTGGTCAGGTCGCTTTTCTGAACGCGACCTTGTACAAGACCAAGAACATTTTCTTCGTTGGCAACTTCCTCCGGCACAACAAGATTTCATCACGGACACTGGCGTACGCTATCAATTTTTGGTCGAACGGAGCGATGGAGGCTCGCTTTTGCAAGCACGAGGGCTATTTAGGAGCGCTGGGTGCGTTCTTGCGACACGCAGAGGTAACGAACGCCCACGGTCAAGAGTTTGTGTCCGCAACGAGAGGATCGAGTCGATCATCCTAGATCTACAGTAGGATGAATGCACCCGTGAAAAGTTGCTAAGTTCCGTAAAGTCTCTCAATAGAGCGATGGTGTTCGTAGATCTCAAAAATTTTCGCTCGCGTCTCGCGATTAAGTGCAGCCGGCTGTGGCAATAATGCGCCATGCTGGTTGGAAGTGCATTCAAAACGTACATGTGTTTCTTGCAAAAAAAGCTCGATGATTCTCATCGTGAGTTATCGGTACACGTTATCACCCTTATTCATATGTGCGTCATTTGGAGCAAAACTACACTCGCTTTATGCAATTGCCTGCTATGACGGACAGCCTAAGCTGCAAGTTACAGCGTCTCGGCGTCCGGCGCGATGGGCTCCAGGCTTCCTTTGCCCTTGAACGCCTCGACGATGTCAGCCTGCTCGCACAGCAGCAGTCGGTCCTTCTGGTTGCCGAGGTCAGCCAGCTTTCGCCAGCGAGCAAAATCCGAGGCGTTGCGCTTGTCGCCGTGGGCCTCCACCGGGTGCTCCCAGTGGCACTTGGAGAAGGCGATCATGGTCGTGAGTTTTTGCTTCTTGATGTCGAACACCAGACTCACAATGGTGCCCGTCTCCTTCAGCCAGTTGCACTGCCACAGCTCGCCCGGGCGGACGCACTGGTACGCGCACGTCTGGTAGTTGGTGCGACCGGCCATGGGGCCGCCGTGGATGGCGTACACCACGCGGTCGTGCGAGAAGAACCACAGCTCGTAGCGCCACTTTTCCGGCTTGCCGTCCGCCGACTCGGCGTCGTAGTCGTAGATTAGGTGCAGGTCGCGGATGTCCTTGTCGAAGGTCGCGTCCAGCGGCGTGTTGGTGTGGAAGCCAGGAACGGTGAGGGGCATGGTGTGGTGCTTGGTCACTTGGTAGGAACTTGCGGAATGAGCTTAATCTGACCGGAAAACTCCATATTCCCCGCTCGCCACCTCCATCTACATGTAGAGTTAAGGTTGAGCGCAATCGGCTGGGGTGTGGCCCATAATCTAACTGCTGCACTCATCGCGCGCTGCGACGAGGTAAGGTCCATGTTCATCAAACTCGCACATAGGTAGAACCTTACCTATCAAACTCCCGCACACTGGCAGCCCCTGGCATGATGTTATTTTCAAATGACGACTTGATTCAAGTTCAGCTTGTTCCAAAACACGGTGACAACCTCCTACCTTGCGTACGTCACGGGAGTCCGCGTGGCGGTGGCGCTTGTCCTGCGCGAGATCGGTCGATGGCGTCCGACACGTCGACACCGCGTGATTCGCAAACGCCGAGGCCGATGGCGGACCAGTCCAGGTCACTGCGGCCCTTGGCGCGCTCGCTCAGGAAGCGGTCGATGAGCGTGGACAGGAACGGCATCGGCACTTGCGACTCCATGGCCAACTGGTGCGCCAGTCGCTGATCCTTGTAGCCCAGCTCCAGAGCGAAGCCGCCAGGACGATGATCGCGCTCGGACACACGCTGGCCGTAGCCCTTATGGATCACCGAGTTCAGGAACGTGCTGCTATAGAACTGCATCGCCTGAACGCGGTCCACGCCGTTAGCCTCTAGCAGCGCGAGCGCCTCAGCCATGGACTCAATGGCCGTCGCGATAAGAAAGTTCCCGCAGAGCTTGACGGCGCTGGCTGCGCCGGGATCTTCGTTGCTGAACGGCGCCACGCGTCCGTTCGTACACTTGTGCAGCCACTGCGACGCCTGCTCCACGGCGTCCGCTGCCGAGCCCGACAGCACGAAGTTCGCCTGCATGGCCTCCATCCCGTCTGGTCGCGCAAAGATCGGCGCTGCCACGTAGCGCGTCTTAACCTCGCGGTGCTTGGCGTCCAGAGCTCGCGACGTGTTCGGGTGGATCGTGGAGCAGCCGACATGCAGCGCCCCGGGCGCCAAGTTGGCGAGCAGTCCCGAGCCAGGCTTCGCTTCGTCTCCCAGCACGACGCTTGTGACCACTTCGTCCCTGGGCAGCACCGAGAAGATCGTGTTCGTCTGCGCAGCCACCTGCTCGACAGAGTCGGTGGGCTTGGCTCCGAGCAGCGCCAAGCGGTCGACGTTGGAGCGGTTGGCGTCGAAGCACAGCACGTCGACCCCAGCCTTGAGCAGGTTGTGCGCCATGGGGAATCCCATGTTGCCCAGGCCGATGAACCCGACAGCTGTCGTCGCAGTGGACGCTGCACACCACGCAGCACAATGAAGAGAGAGAGAGAGAGAGAGAGAGAAAGCTCAGCAGCAGCCACATCCTAGCACACAGCGGCATCTTTACCTGAAAAGCTTCGGCGTGCAAATGATCCGTAGAAAGCTCGACGCAGCATGGCTGAGGGCACAGGGGCTTAGCAATTGAGAAGGTGCCAACTTCCGCGGAGAAAGACTTGGGACTGGTCTTGCCGAGCATCATCGCGGATACGGTACACCTCTTCAAGCTCATCATTGGCACTGTTCCGGGGTAGTAGTACAATAAAATAGTAGTAAGATTCAGTAATACTGACAATCAATGTTGGCAGTAGTAAATCTAATAGTAGTAAATCTAATACCGTTTACGGCGGTATTCAATATGACTATCGTTTGTTTGTTGCACGCTACTACAGTAATGTGCGTGAATACCGGACGGGTCCACAGCTAATACCTTTGTATAATTTATAATTCTGGGCTTACGATGTGACGAGATGGTGATGAGCAAAGGTACTGAGCTAAAAATCCATTAATCTCGTGACGTCGTATTCAGCGGTAATTTGAATATTGGCGCGCTTTCGCCACTTTGATTTCCATTAAAAGCGTTCACTTCCTCATTTGCGATCAAAGCCTCAAACTACCAAGCCATCATGCCCAAGACCCCACTTCTAGCAAAAGACTCCGCCTCACTCACGCACAGAAGCTACGCATCATTGCCAAGGTGGAGAGCTCACCGAGCATGTCCTACGCGGAGATCGCGGAGTGAGCTGCTGCAGAGCTCAGCCTCCCTGTTGCTCCCGGAAAGGCGACAATAGGCGACATCAAGCCGGCCAAAGACAAGCTGCTACAGTGCCCGATCGAAAAAGCTACCCGCAAGAAAGCTCAGCCCGAAAGCCATCTTCTGCTCGACCAATACGTCATCGACTTCGTCATGCTCGCTGAGGCGGAAGGCGTGAGCCTCAGCGGAGCGGTGATAATTGCGCACGCGAAAAAGCTCATTACGAAGCTTCGCATCCCTGCTGAGCGGGCACCTCGGCTTGGGAGGTCCTAGCTCCGGTGCTTGCAAGATCGATTTGGTCTGAAGTGGCGTAGAGCCTTTGGAGAGTCTGACTCAGCCAAGATGGACGCGGCCATTGATGAGATGAAACGCTTAAAGAAGCTCATCAGCACGTTCCGACCTCGGGATGTGTTTAATATGGACGAAAGTGCATTTTTCTATAATGCAGTGCCGCGAGGGTCCATCTGCAAGAATGCAGCCCCTGCTTTAAAGCAAAGCAAGTCAAGGGTAACTATGGCAGTTTGCACGAATGCAGATGGGTCAGAGAAACTGCCTATTCTGTATCTAAGCACTGCTACGGCACCACGGTGGCTCCCTCAAAAACCCGCCTCCCTCCAATATTTCGGCACGGAGAAGGGGTGGATGACGAGTTGGATGTATCAACAATGGGTGGTGGTTCTGGACGAAGCGATGCGCGAGAAAGACCGTAAGATCCTATTGCTCGTGGATAACGCGTCGCCTCACCACGAGACGGGTCTCAACCTTACCCATGTGAAGGTAGAGAAATTACCGCCAAACACGACGTCCAAGATTCAGCCTATGGACCAAGGTATCATCCACTGTATCAAGAGGTATGTATTATCAGAGAAAATGTTGTATGCGCTCGACCAAATAGGAGAAGGAGTAGATGAGCCTTATAAGGTTGACATTCTTACCGCTTTGATGTGGTGTGAGAACGCCTGGTTGAAGGTTACTGCTGATACCATACAGCATTGCTGGTATCACTCGGGTCTTATTAACAAGACCGCCATCAATTTCTTGACGAACTAAATAATATCAATACATTCCTTTTTCTTAACCAATCGGATTCACCTTATACTCTTGGAGACCTTATATATATCAGGCGTCCGGTATTCACGCACGTCACTGTACACTGTACAGTACTACGTGGCTAATACTTCATGAAGGAATAATCCTACCGTAAGATCAACTATGTAGCATCCCAGTCCACCACGAATACAAATAGTGGCTGGTCGACGCTTACCACAAGGATGGGATGTTTGTCCTTATATGAGACAGCCTCAAACAAAAATATACTAATCAACCAAAGTACGAATCGCGATTTAAGCATACCGATCGAAAGAGCCGGGTTCTGTGGCTATTGAGAGATGAAAAATGTTAAGAACTCGCGGAGTGACGTCGGTCTTAAAACAAATATCTCCATTTTCGGACCCCCCAAATCCCGGATTTTATTTGGGGCTTGTGAGCTCAATATTTCTCCGAAATTTACGAATTGTATACTGCCGGAAAGTTTTTGCTAAAAGCAATCGAATTAGAGTGTTTTTCGCTTAATACGAGTGATTTTAACTTTCAAGATTTCGATGTCCTGTTGGGTACGAAATGTGATTGGTCAGCTTCAAACGCGATTATCTCGATAACTCTAATGGTGACTTAGTATCATTTTGTTTGAGGCTGTCTCATATGGCGGAAGTACGAAGTTTAATCGCTAGTGTAGCGCTAAATCTTCCTTAGTATACATTCACCGACTATAGTACTCTAATAGGCCTTGTAAATTCCAGGCAGTTGTTCCTGGTGGAGCAGATTTTACATAGTTCGATCCACGAAAATGTTGTCGCTTTGTCACTATTCTGTAGCGAATTGCATAACCCTTGTTTCTCAGTAACGAGGTTCAACCACCATGACGTCCAACTCGAACGGTTTTGTTTCTGCAAGATGGCGCATCCTCGATCGAGTTTATCCACATATATTATAAATAGAAAATAATTCGTTAATCAACTAGCAGTGGACTTTCCGAGAATTACGCACTTACGTAGATGTATTGAAATGACTCCGCGATGAATGCAAAAGTAGTAGCCGGCACAAAAGCGAGAGAACAGGTCGCTGCGGCTACGCATGTGATGCGATCGGTTCGTTGATGTTGTGGAGTGCAGTCTGAACCATTGCATTTGCAGCCCAATTACGATAATACCGAGCCACACCAGGATAGTGTTGATCACAATATGTCAGGTTTGTGGCCTCATCCTGCTTGCTGCCCCGAGAGTCCATGGCGATGTTTGCGAGTTTGTCAGCCATTTTGTTGTGGCACCTGTAGTGATGCTTCCACGAGGCAATTCGCGCACCATCAGCTAGCGCTCTTGTGCGTTCGTACCACGGTTTCAGCCTTCGTGACCGTGGGCACCTCCGATCGCGCATCATCCAAAGAATCAGCTGGCTGTCGCCAGCAATATGCACGCACGGGAGCTGCTCGGTTACTACGTATCGGAGAAGGTTGTATAAACCACGGAACTCCACCACGTTGTTCGTGCACCATCGCTACACTGCTCAGCCACTTGATGTGCGGTATCCCGTCAGGTCCGACCTCGACTAGCACGCTTCCACTGCCACCGGGCCCTGGGTCACGTCGAGAGCCCCCGTAAAAAAAACGACATACTTCATAGTTGCTGGCGTTGGAGGTAAAATTGCGGTCAGCGACTCAGGGGGATGACGAAGTATTTTCCTCAATTCCATCGCTATTGCCCATTCGCCTGCCTGTCGCGGATTGAGACAGAAAGATGCCGCCACTAAGTCGTACCCCGCTTGCAATCGAAGTTCGAGCTGGGCCTGCCGTTCTTGTGTCGATAATCGTGTTGTCTCCGTTTGAAATAATTTATCCAACCTTGCCCTCCAAATACCGCTGATGGTCTGCAGGACAGCGTTACCCCAGTACTTGAAAAATCCCCACGTAGAAATCACTGCTCAGACACATTAGGACAAGGTCACGCATATCATCATCACCGTTTCGTCGAAAATAGTAGTGAAAGAATAGTACTTCGAAGTACTAGTATTAACGTTATTTCGCATTTCAAAAGACCACCCATGAATTAATATTCTAGACACCCCGGTAGTACCGGTATTACTATTTTGTTGATAGTCACTCTTCTCCATAGGAGGGATGACACGACAGGGCGACATCTAATTTACTATGGCTTCTGACCTTTCATTCCCGATACCGGGCCGCACAGGTACTTGCCCCGCGTTACCGGTTTTATGGTGAAGCCATCCTTCGCGACCCCATCTCCGGCGGCATCTTCGGCGCCGTCGACGCCCGCGGCCGCGCAGGCTGCCGCCGGCCCTGCGAGCGGCCCCGCCAGCGTGTCGGCCGTGTGGTCGTACTTCGACAAGGACCAGGGCGGCAACTCGGTCTGCAAGTTCTGCGAGCGCGTGATCAAGGGCCACCACTCGTCCAACCTCCTGTCGCACCTGCGGACGCAAGGCCGGACGGACCCGACGCACCGCGAGGCCTCCGCCATCTGCGAGGAGCACCGCGAGACCAAGCGCCACCTCAAGCGCCAGAAGCTCGGGCTGCAGGCCGCGGGTCAGGCCGACTTCGCCGTGTACCCGCCGCCTGCGGCCTCGCAGGCGCTGGCCGCCGCTGTGGCCGCGGCTGGAGGCTCGCCCAGCATGTTCTCGGCCGCGCTCAAGCGAGACGCGGCCGTGGCTGCCTTGTACCCGTTCGCAGCGCCCGGTGTAGCCATGAGCAAGGAGCAGCGCGAGTCGCTGGGCTCTGCCTACGGCGTGCAGTCGGTGCAGGTGGGCGCCGAGCAGTTCACCCAGGACTTGGCCCTCATGGCGCTCATGGACAACCTGCCCCTTAACTTTACCACGAAGCCTGGCATGCAGTACATGGTGAACCAGTTGGTCGGAGAGAAGAAGCTGCCGCTGCCCACGGAGGAGGCGCTGGCCAAGAGCGTCCTGCTGCTGCAGGAGAGCGTCTTCTTGACGACCAAAATGGTGCTGGCACGAGCTAAGAGCGTCGCCGTTTCGCTCGAGGTGTGGCAGCACCCGGCGCCGCCCACGGAGCCCAAACCCACGCGCTATCTGGCCGTGAAGATCCACTTCAGTGTGAACTTCCGCCTCTTTGACATTGCTGTGGGGGTCGCGCCGCTCGAGGATTCGGCAGGACTGGAGACCATCAAGGCCATTCTGGACTCGTACCTGGAGCGACTGGGCATTAAGGACAAAGTCATCGCCTGCGTCAAGGACGAGCTGCACCTTGGGCCCAAGGTGCAGCTCACAACGGCCGACCTGCCGTCACTGTTCGTGCCTATCAACTTCGACGGGCGGATGTTGTCGCCCGATGCGGCCCAGAGCACGTTGCTGCTGACGTCGGCCGTGCAGCATTTACGCGTCTGCTTGACCCAGGCTGTCTTCGTCAAGGCGTTCCCCGTGGTGGTGAACCAAGTGGAGGAGTTTGTGGGCAGACTGACGGAGAACGAGGACGCGATGATCGCGCTGGGCCGGAAATCCCCGCTGTTCAACCTGGAACTCTCCCCTGATGACCAGGAGTCCACCTCCTACTACGAGTTCCTGCGCGATTTCGTCGATCACTTGCCCACGCTGGAGCAGATCGCGAACGCACACCTGGTCGAGTACCTTCCAGCCTCGACGGTGGAATTTATCAGTCTGTTAGTGAAAAAGCTGCGGCCGTTTGCGAGGTATTCGGAGGCGCTCGAGGGGGAAAAGAACAAGAAAACCGGCAGCGACAAGGAAGTGAACAAGAGCGGCATCTCCAGTATTTCAACCATCGCTGCGGCGCTCGTCACGTATGCTCAGAAGCAAGCGAACTCGGCGGCCGAGAGTGTACCGGCCCATTTGGAGCCGGCGACATGGAGACGCTTCTTCGAGACCCTCGCCAAGAAGCTGCGCGAGGAGTTCGCCACACTTCCGCCGGTCTGCTACGCTGCAACGTTATTCGACCCACGCTACAAGAACCGTGAGTACTGCTATCTCTCTCCGAAGACCGAGTGCGACGTCGGCAAGGATTTTCTGCGTCGGATGTTCACGTCCGATGGCGACTCACAGGCCTCATCGGCGCTGGCGGAGTCTGCAGGCTATGTGAACCTAGGTAAGGGCTCGGCCAGTCCAACGAGCAACGAAGTGGCGCTGCCTGATGACGAAGACGATGATCTGCTGTCGCACCTCCCGTCCGAGTCTTCCAAGTCGTCTCTGCAGGGCGAGAACGAGATGATCGCGACGTGGGAGAAGGAGCTGAGCGCCTTCTTGAGCCTCCCAGTGTCGGAGCGCAACGTGGACCCGCTCGCGTGGTGGAAGACGAACCAGCTGCGCTTCCCTCTCATCGCGCCTTACGCCGAGATGGTGCTGTCGCTGCCAGCGGCGTCTTCTAGTGGAGAGACTGTTCGGCGCAACGTCTACAGCGTGCTCGTGCGCACGGAAGGTCCTGCGCGCGAGGCTGCACTGGCCGACAGCCCAGCCATGGTGGAGGCGTTCCTGTGCTTCCAGAAGAACAAGGAGTACGCTCTCGAGTGGTTTCGGTCGGGCCCCAGCGCCACGGGCATGGCGGAGGCAGCGGGCCTGAACGCGGACTTGGAAAGCAGCGCCGCCAGCTTCAAGCATATCGAGAACGTGTGATGTGTACGTTGTCTAACTACGAGTCGGAGAGCGAAACCCCGCCGATACCTATGGTCAGTGCCCTAGGGGCGGGTCAGTGCTAGCGCTCTAATATCGCTCTAATATATTAGGCTATCATTTGTGACAAGCTTTGGTAAGAGAAGGGAAGAGAACAAAGTGACAGCAGAGTAAAATGAACTAGAGTAAAATGAACTCCTACAGGGCACATCCTTGCTGTCGCTTTCGTTTCTACTATCTCATCTCGTGCCGTTTCGCGCGCCGAACCACTGGCTGTCGATTTTTTCGAAATCATTTAATTTGTCATCAAACTTCATTTAGTTGACCTGTAGTGCTAGGAGTAAGTGAGTGTATCGAGATTGTGTATCAACACTTCACACGCATGCCTCATGCGCAGACCTCTACCAATACGGGAATTTCCGAAATATTCCTATATCCTGGCGATCACTGACAGAATATGGGAGACATTTTGAAGGTTCTACATCGTTTGAAGTGCTTTCTTGGAGCTATCCGCCAGTGTTGATAGACTGTTCGATTTGCTTTATCTGTAACTGTTGTGTACTTTGACGTAGCTGCTTTGTATAGCAAGCTGCATCAATTGCTTGGTCGGTTTTGCGGTCCTCCGCTGTCTAATCTTCTGCTGATCGATTTTGATAACCTGACATTTTCCTTTAATGCACTACTACACCGTTGCCGAGCCCTGGAACTCTCGGTTAATCTTACCTCCGCACAAAAGTACGCTGAAAATAGTTGTACTTTTGAAAACGAATAACGGTTGGCAATTGGGTAGCAACAGGACAACAAGAATAATGTTTATTTCTCAGCGCTTTAGCAACACTTGCATTAGCAATCCTTTCGTGGCCAGTAGGTATCCCCGAGTTGACGTGTATTGCGCCTTTTAGTCTTTGTTCCGCTTTTTGTTTAAGATTGAGGCTCTGTACTTGCAAGAGGTTGGATCAGTGCTTATTTTATTAATGTCTTAGGGAAACCTAACGAAATACCCCTTCGAAAACTATTTCATGAGACACCCTTCACGGCCAGCACTAACCATATGCCCCTCATTTAAAATTCGCCTCATAGGAATGACATACAAAGTACCACTGAAAGTGGTGAGAACGTAGGCAGCATACTTTATCTCTCTGCTGGAGATTATACCTCTCCTTCACTTTCATAAAAGAGCTCGGTAGAGCATTTTTTACCATCAGGTTTGAGTCAGGTTTGACATCAATATGACCTTTCCGTGACTTCCTTTTCGAGTTTGCAGCTCTCTCTCTCTCTCTCGGACATAATGATTCCTCAACATGTATTGATATTATTCATCTCAAGTCGACCACACCACTAACAACGCAGTATACATCAAAAAGACATGTATCAGCATTTTTGCCGGGAACTTATCAGCTTTTTAGCCGGGAACTTCTCATTTTTCTAGTGAATCCGTACCAGATGATAATTTTATAAGTTTCCGCACACCACGATTCCGGTTTGTCGGCGACAATCGGTGTTTAACGTGAAATAACGCTGTAGATAATAGTAAGTCAAGAATACAATAGACACAAACTGCAATAATTGTGAACACAGCAAGAATGATTGCCGCCAGCCTCCTTGTCGCTCCATAACTCAAAGTCTAATAGAACTAATGCATTACAGAGTATTCGTTAAGCATCCCCAGTATTACCTTCATTAGCGATGTTGCGTGGTTGCTACATGTATAGTTTTCGTAATTTTGACTTATGATCCAGTTACTGGGTCCGATTTCTCACAAATGGGACCTTAGATAACGCTGTAAAACTTGAGATAATGATTCGTAAACCTATTTAGTCGTTAACAATTCGATCCATACGGCGTGCAGTAGCAGTCTGGCTTCGCTTTAGCTTCATATACTTCAAGCAATATTGTGCTTTGCAATGATTTTGCCGACCATTTTAGACGCTAAATATGGCAAAGCCTGCTCCTAAATATGTGTGAAAAAAGATACACGACCTGCTAAAATTATGCATAAATCCACCTCCTCATATATAAATCGACTTGGGAGGGCCTGTCTGCAGCCATGCACTGGCCAGTACACCACCGTCCATGATCCCCAGCACATCCAACCTCTTATGCATAATTGCCGTGTGTCTAGATAAAAGCCGACAGAATTGCAGCTGCACAGCCACAATTGCACTTTCAAAAGTGCAATTGTGGCGCTTTTAGCGTAATTCTAGGCCTCCACCCAACTATGCACCTCGATTTATCGTAAATCTAGCAGTGGTCGCTATAAATACAGCAAATCTCGCATCATATTGCCAAAATCATCAATACAATCGAGAAATATCTTGCTGTGCAGCTGCAATTCTGTCGGCTTTTATCTAGACACACGGCAATTATGCATAAGAGGTTGGATGTGCTGGGGATCATGGACGGTGGTGTACTGGCCAGTGCATGGCTGCAGACAGGCCCTCCCAAGTCGATTTATATATGAGGAGGTGGATTTATGCATAATTTTAGCAGGTCGTGTATCTTTTTTCACACATATTTAGGAGCAGGCTTTGCCATATTTAGCGTCTAAAATGGTCGGCAAAATCATTGCAAAGCACAATAAAATATTGTTTACAGCATACGCTAACGGCAAGTATGCCCATGTTGGGGCTCACATAGCTAAGACTTACAGAGCTATACTGTGCAGACAGCAATACTTTTTGCATACGAGTACATCTTTTTAGAACACCACGTAGCCCAGTTTGCAGATCCACAGGTAGAGCTCAATCGAGTCGATCAGCTTTAGCATCGGTCGGCGCGGACACGATTCCGCACAACATCGTCAACAAAACGAAGAAACCCAAAACAAGACTTGCTCACTGAATTTACGAAATTATTTAGCAATTGCACAATACCGTATTGTGCTTACACAACAGTCGTATTGACAATACGACTGTTGTGTAGCATTAATTCTTTAGCATTTTACGCCCAACCACAATACAATACGTATGCCTACCGCTGTTACTTGCATCGACACTCCAAGACTGAGGAGTAGTACGATTTTCTTTGTGGGTCAATGGCGAGGTACGATCCGTAGCGTAGCAAGGCAAGTCGACACGCCGAGTACAACGGAAGCCTAATCACGCCGAGTACAACGGGATGTTCCCACGCTCACCGTTGTTGTCATTCTTTATCGTGTACAGGAACAGCAGCCCCTGGGACGAGCACAAGATGTCCATGACGATCGGCAGCACTGCGCCCCAGTATATGTGGTCTGTGAGCACGAAGACGGTGGCGAACGGCTGCGTGTCGAAGCGTCTGTTGTGCTTCAGCCTATTGGGCACTGAAGTCCAGATATATAATACATGGTGGGGAAGTTCTTGTGCGGGTGGACTACCGTGGTGACCCGTGACCGGCGTAGTCCTTGTCCATGCCATCACGAGCTCGTCATCATGCTTGTCAGCCAGCGCGCATGGGTCATGCACATGCTCGTAGCGGGCGCACGCCGCCGCCTGAGCTCTGCTCAGCTTCCTTGCTACCGCCGTGGGTAATGGTGGCGAACGGATTGGCGCCTGCAGCTCCTGCAGCACGTCACGTGCCCGCGTCTTGCTGCAACAGCACGGCGTCTGAGCCGAAGGTGGAGTCGCGGTAGCCAGAGACGCTGCGGCTGCCGCGCATGGCTGGGAGGGAGGGGGTCTACGCAGAGCGTTCGTGAGCGCGCTCGTCCTAAGCGCGTGTCAGGCGCCCGCCCAAATCCACGCCGTCGCCGGTGCCTCTTACTCTGTGCTCGTGTGTCCTACCAACCGATCTGGCCGCATCCAAGGACGGTCCTGGAATAGGCGTGTCGAATGCGTGAGGTGACGGGCCGTCACTGACGGCAAGCAATCTGCGGCATGCAATAGCAATAGCGAAGCAGCAGAGCTATTCTAAGTAGACCTTCAGTAAGCGCACTTACCCCGATATCCGTGCAATACGACGCTAAAGCAGGGTCAATAGTTCAGCAAAGCAGAGTACCCATTTAGCTAAAATAATGCGGTTTTAAGCCAAATCCACTTTAGAAGGCTCACAGCTCATAGATACCCTATTTGGAAGAGGCCTCCTAAAAGGGCCTCCGTTTAATGGCTTTCGCACCCTTTGCTGGAGGCTACGTCCCTGAACTTCTATGAATAGTCACTCGGAACCGTCGGACATTGAGCCTGAAATGATCTTATACAGAGGTAAATTGCTGTGTTTTTGCCCCCAGGAGAGGCAACCATTAAACCTTTCCCTAGCCCTATCCATAAATTCATCGAAAGAAAGCAAATCAGAGCGATTTCATTATAGGGGGGGGGGGGCTTCGCCCCAATAAAATTATCATTGGCTTAAAGAATGCGAGGACGACATGTCGCTAAGGACAGGCCACAGAGAGAACACATGTCAACCAGCACGCAGACAGACATCAGGAGCGGCGCCAGCGAGCAAGGGGCGTCTGCGCGTGGGGGGAGGCGGGTCCCCCGCGGCAGCAGCAACTCAGCAAAGGCGCGCGGCATGCAGCTCCAGCATGGACTAAGGACCAAGGACATCGGCGAGATGATGAGGTAAGCACTGGGGAAGCTTGATAATATTGGGCTCACGTGTCTGACGTTCATTGGTATTGGTGTTAGTGTGTATGCATTAATGTAGGCTGTGGTGCGGCTGTTACGCTTGGTGTGCTATCCTATGGCGTAGCCTAGCTGTTTTGCGAGGTGAAGACTACCCAAAACTTGGTGTGCCGCGAAAACAGCTTAGCCTAGTTGTACTTGGGTAGTCGTTCCTCAATGGTAATATATGCGCTTGAACCTTTCGAACTATTGTCTTGTGCCTGTGTTATCTAGAAGTGAAGAGCTCTGCGAAGTCGTCGAAGTGGTCGGCGACGGCGGCGCTCTGGTGCAGGTTCCGAGTTTCGAAGTCGTCCACGGCCCTGGCCAGCTTGGTCTTCAATGAAGGTTCGACGGACAAGGGCTCTGCGGCGTCGGTTGTATGCGGCAACCATGTTCCGAGGCAGATTCGTGGCAGGCTCTTCAGTATGCTCCCACTCAACAAGGTAAACTCTCTTACCGTTTCTCATGTATGAGTTTGTGATTGCGCGGATGTTGTAGAGCTGCGGAGCTGTGGAAGGAGGAGCGGCCAGGTTCTCCGTCGGGACCCATTCGGCCTCGCTCGCCTCGCTGTCGTCGCGCCCATCGTCGGCATTGAGCACGCTACCGGTGCTAGTTGTGACAGGTAGACCGCTTGGAGCTGGGATCCAGACCACGTCGTCGTCGCTGAAGTCGTCACCAGAATCAGCGAGCGGTTGTGCAGCGTCAGCACTGGAGGCGGCGGTGGTCACCTTCACATCGGCGACGGCGATGGCGGCGGTGATCACCTTTTCTTCGGCGACGGCGATGGCGGCGACGGAGAACTTTTCTTCGGCAGCAGGAACAGCGGCGGCGGAGAGCTTCTCTTCGGCAGCAGGAACTGCGGTGGCGTCTTTCTCTTCTGCAACTGGACCAGCGGCAGCGTGCTTCTCTTCGGCAACATCATCAGTGGCAAGCTTCGCAGCAGTAGTGAGGGCGGGTGTGGCTTCAACAGCTGTGCTGGTGGGTATGGCTTCAGCGGCAGTGCTGGCGGGGTTCTCGACAGTGCTGGTCCAAGCGGTGGCGGCGGCGATAGTGGCAACGGCGCCCCATTCCCCTCAGCTCCTAGCGGAGTGTTGACTGGCGCGAGGTTGCCGTCAGCCTCGCGCGCCTGGGTCGACTCGTGGGCAGCTGCATGGGGTGCATTCGCGCCGGTACTGGGAAGATGTCGGAGGCTGGGGCGCCGCGAAGAGCGCCATGCCAGAACGTGGTGGCCTTCGATTCTACGACCAGTCTGCTGTTGCAACGGCGAGAGGACGTCAAACAACGATCCCTTGGGCTTGGAGCCTCGGTAACCTGGTCACGCAGCTCGTGGCGAAGGTAGCGTAAAACATCACCTGTAACATACGCGAGGGGGAACTCCTAATAAATGCTCTAACAGCGCGCTTGAATTTCTTCTATCTGAGGTGAACCATCGGCTTCGTGTTGGCGATTGCAAAATGGTGAATGTATGCCACAGTGGTTTGAATGTGTAACGAACCATGGGAAGTGTATTTGCTCTTATTTAAGCTCATTCCTTTAATAGGTTAAAAACTCCATCAAACTGTTAAGTCGCATGATTTCTCCAAACTCCCAAAGTGCTTCTAAAAACACTCCTTTGTCGTTTCAGGAGCAGGGTCGGCGATCTGGCCAAGAGCCAAACTTGCCCGGTACCGGGTAATGAACTCCTCTAGAGCTCCATCTCGATGAAGTGCGCGAAGTTGTTTCAGTAGGCCCTGCCGAACTTGCGCTTGATACCTCGCGCTTGAAGAAACTCATGCATATTCTTCTGAGCTGTGTTGCCAGCTTGCATGACACGATCCGCGTGCCCACCCGTGGTGGGGTCAAGGCTGAATCCCAGAGGTAGGAATAGCTTCATGAAGGCGACAATCTGCTTTGACTGAAGCGATCGTCACAGACTTCCCAGATGCGAGGGGTTTTCGTGTACCACTCAAACCAAGTTGCGGCTGCAGTCTTCGAGGCTGCGCGGACCTTGGGCTTAGTTGGCTTCATCGGGGTGTCCAAGGCCAATGACAGGTCGGTACGGTCAGTGATCATGTCTGGAGTTGAGCCGGCCTGGGAAGCAACTGCACCACCAACCGGCACCCGTTTTTCCAACTCTGCAATGCGCTCAGACTGCGCCTTGTTCGCTTCCACGAGTTGGGCAATGACTGCATTGAGATGGTTGGTCAACTGAAGCTCACGTGTGAAGGGTTTTTCTTCTTCTTCTCGGACGCATACAACATGCGACCAAGCCTGCGAATCTTCGTCGTCGTTGCAGAGTCGAATGTGGCAGCCGAAGGTATGATCGGGTTGTCGTTTGACGTCCAGTCGCTGAGTACTTTCGATATTTTCCTGTCCTCATTCGTGGTGTTGAAAACGTAGACAAAGGCCTTGTTGGTCGCCGTCATATTCCAACTGCCACGATCGAAGATCCATTGAGGACTTAGCGAAGCATCCGCGTTGGCATGCTGCGCACCGCCCCGCCGGAAAGAATGAGACGAGAGGCCACTTGAAACACCAGCATCAGCTTGACGTGCGCTTGCGACCTTGAGCACTCGATTGACGTACCCTTGCATTTTCAGCGGGGTAGACTTACGTCTCGGAGAAGTGGCTTCTGGCGTTGCATTAGCAGGTTCATCATCATCGCAACAGTTGACAAGCGCATCGGTAAGTGGCGTAGCCTCCGTTGCAGGCGCTTCATCTCCAACGTTCAGCCCCGAAAGGTGCTCAAGGTCGTGTACAGACGATACCGGGAATGTTTGCATCGCCAGTGCCATAGCGATGACGTGGAGCGGACACGTGATGAAGGCGCTTTTGTCTGGGAAGAGAGAGAGGCCTTGCTTCTCCGACGTTTTTGCTCGGATCAGGCGAAGGAACAGCACGTTGCCCGAGCCGACCGACAGGTTGCGCTTCTGGATAAACGCGAGATCGGAAGCGCGACCAAGCGCGTACCACATGATGGATAGGAGCGCAGCATCCTGATAATCCTTGGCAGAACTCGCATCGAAGTACTGTCCATCGATCAGAGAGCGCAAGTCGGCCTTGGTCACCATACCACCTTGCTGCCGTTTGAGGCAGTGCCGCTCCAAAATGCGACCCATCTTGAGTAGCCGCTGCTCCACAATGTGGCGGTGCTGGGGGAAATCCTCCAGCAGCCAGTTCTTGACGTCCCGGTAGTAGCTCATCACGGTGCTCCGCTTGCGTAGATCCCCGCTTCGGCCTCGAGCAAACGCGAGGTGCATCGCGAAGCGGTCCAGCGACTTCACGAGCACCGAACCACTGGTATCTGCCAGGAGGGTAGCGCGGATAAATTCGAGAGTGACATTCTCGGAGGCGAGGAAAGCCGTGAAGACGTTGACTGCTGTTGCTTGCGCACGCTTCGTGTTCTCTGGAGCGAGGTCTTGCAGGCTCATTGTTTTCGAGTCTAGTGTCGGTTGGCTTCTTGATATCCAGCAAATATGTGAATGACTTGCTTTTTGAATCGACGCTCAAATGACTGGCTGTCGCTGCCGACATTATGCGTCGGACACGTGTCGGTAGCCGTTACCCTACCCCTTATTGTGTTTTAATTGGCTAAAATTTCGCTGGAACACTGTATGATTTGTTAAAAGGCTTCAGGCGTGTTTCTATTGGCTCACAGGACCATACAAAAATCAAGTTTTTAGTGTATGCTATCGGCAGTTTGATGATATTCATCCCTGTGTAGGACAAACTTGTCCGGAAATCGAGGTCTGGTCCTTAATTTAAGGACAAATTTGATTGGGGCTAAAGACCTAGCGATTTAAAAAGCTCGGTCTTCAGCTTCGGCTTCTTCTTCATCATCATCATCTTCTTCTTCATGTTTTTCTTGACCGGGGCCGAAACCTGGTGGGTGATTGATTGTTTCTTGTTTGTTTCACGCGCCGCTTCTACCCGCGCCTTCTTCTTCATCATCATCTTCTTCATGTTTTTCTTGGCCGGGGCCGAAACCTTGTGGGTGATTGATTGTTCCTTGTTTGTTTCACGTGCCGCTTCTACCCGCGCCTTCTTCTTAACCGGCTTGATGTCCCCCTCCGACATTTCAGCTGGTTTTCTCTTCGTTCCCTTCTCCTTAACGAACCCTGGTGCACACGCCAAACCCTGTAATGCACACACCAACAATTCTTCATCCCGCACCACGCTGGACAAACGCGGCTTGCCTTGACCCGCCAACTTTTCATTTTGTTTGCGGAGATCCAAATCGGCCTTGACTATCTCCATCGGGTTCCAGGATGACAAAACCAGATCGATCAATTGCATCTGTACGGAAGTATTCATAATTTTCGTGTAGGAAATCGAGCGGGCGCAGTACGTGAACGCATTCGGTATCGGCGGGAAGATCTGTGGCTTTGGCCCGCTTGCCGCGCCAGTCGACTGTGTAGCCTTCTTCGGGGCAGCCTTCTTTCGGTCATCATTCGAAGCATCCACCACCATTTCCGTTCCCACCGGCGGACCTCTGTACTCCGCATAGATGAATTCCTCCGCGGCTTCTCGCAGGCGCATATAAACCCGAATCACATCGTTGCATGACTTTTGACGCAGGCGATTTCCCGTAGAAAACACACATCTTGATTGTGGCCGATTTGGAAAACTTGTTGTCGCGTACCTGTTCTTCACTTGGATCAAGATCATCGACACTTCCGTCACGTCAGCCTCAACCACCGACGCCGCCTCGGACTTCGACTCTGTGTCTGCATTTGACGCTGCGGTCGGCTTCGCTTTCCGAAACGTCGGAATCAACAGATCCGCTCCATTCTGATTGCAAGGAAAAATGCAAGTAAATACCACAGCGGTCTTCTCAATTTCCAACTGCACAAAATGAGAGAAGCTGTAGTGAATCCCGGGGAAGACATCACATCAGGGAAGAACAACACACGGCAGGGCGGATGGTGATCCGCTAGGAAGTTGAGCCTAGTGTATTGATCTAGTGTGTATGCCCTTCGAGGCAAATGCAAGAGTGAGATAGATCTCAAAGTGAACTGGGTCCGTGTCCAACGGCCTCTGGACACGAAGAGAAGTATGTAGTTGGCCATACAAGTTCCTAGTATGTAGAATCGTACCGCATACCAGGTACAGACACTGTGAAGTCTGACTGGCCATGAAGTGGTGGACCCATTACCTGGGTTCACCGTCGCTAGCAGCGACACGCTATCGGGTCCATGACTGCGGTGATACCAAGGTGAAACCTGGAATACACTACAGAAGCCCAGTTGCCAATCATCCCATTGCGACTCGTCTTGTGTTTGATCGCGAGAAGACGTTTTGCCCTTCTCCTTCACAGGAACTTCCCGTCCATCCTCTGTAGACACTAGCGTTTTCATGAAGTCTCCCACATTCACGAATTGACCTTTGAATGCGTTGTAATCTACTCGAAACGTTGAATCGCTCCCTGTTGAGCTCTTGTTCTTCTCGTGCATCACGCAGTTCTTGTTCTCCTCGTGGATCACGCGGGCGTCCACTGTTAGTAGCAGCACAATACGAGCAACCACCTCTCCAATGCCACCAGTATCAAGTGTTTCGTTCAGCAGCATCTTCTTCAGTTGCGGCAGAATGAACTCGTGCAGAAGCGTGGGCATGCCACACGTACGCAGCACCGAGCAACAACACCGGGTCCGACGCATAGCTGCTCAGGAGACCTTCGTTCGTGTGGTTCACAAAAGCGAGAACCGCCATGAAGTTTGCGACAACACGCGACGCTAACGGCGAAGTCGAATATCGACGCAAACCCAGTCTGCACAACATGGATGCGGCACCAAACATTGTAGTTTCGTCGTAGCTTTTGACGTTGTCGGGGTCACAGCTTACGTGCCGCCAGTCTCAACACGTCTGCCGTTCCTTCGCTGCCTTTTGCCGAGTTCCCACAGCGGACGACCCATTTGGACAATTGATTTCCAGTTCCCGCCATCGCTCTGGCAAATGATTGACTTGTACGCAGCTACACCCGAAGCATTATCCCACATGACATCGATCGTATCGGTAAGCACAAACGGCGGAAACATCGACTGGGGGCCGAGGGCATAGTTCCTGGAAGAAGCATCCATTGATAGGGGGGTATCAGGTCAGATACTTTTCCGTTTGTGTCCACCAGCAGTCCGAAAATTTTTCCCGTGAATCCTTTCATGCGAATCTCTGCCGAGGCAATGCGGTCATTAGCCGTAACTACACCTTTGCCCGGTCTAGCAAGGAATAAATTCAAGCAAAGTGGAAATTAAAATTTTGAAAACCCAAAAATCAAATTTGAGTCAAGCGAACCCAGATGCAAAGTGAGATTGATTTTATCCAAAGTGGGCAGACGCGAGAGGCAAGCCTCCATCTTACTGTCAGTAGACCATGTCTTGCATCAACTCCGCAGCGTTAACAGCATCGCGCGCGTGAAGCTCCATCTTCGTGACGATCGTGGGCGTGATGTGCTTGATGCTGGCGTGGGCAGCGCGCTCTAGGAAGCGCATGGTGCGCTTCTTGATAGTCACGAGGTTCCCGTCGACATCGGTCATGTTACTGCGATCGCAGATTGCTTCGCGATCTAACGCAAGGTGCTCCTTGATGCGTGCCTTAAGCACAGAGAAGCAACCCTCGATGGGGTTGCACATCGGCGAATAGGGAGCAAGACGGAGTAGCACCAAGTCGTCGTGTGGGGCCACGCGTTCCTCCGTCTGTCGGTGCGCAGGCGCATTGTCCAGGACCACCACGACCTTCTTGCCCTCGTAGTTTTCACGGAAGAACGCTGACGCCTTGACTGTGCGGTAGATGTCGTCGATGAAAGCCGCATTCTGTTCCATCCTGATGCTGCCTCTCTCCAGGCGGTACAGGACGACGCCCCTCTCCGAGTTGACGGTGCACTGGACCTGCAGGTTCGCATCTTTCGACGGCGGGAGGACGGCGGTAGCCCTCTTGCCCTTCTTGGCGCGGCCACGTCCACGCTTGCAATAGACGTTAAAGTTCGTCTCGTCAAAGTAGACGATACAGTCGCCATCGCGCTGGTGCTTCTTCAGGCTGCAGCCAAAGGTCTGGCGCTTGATCTGGTTCGTGGTGGAGTTGCAGGTCATGGGCTCGACTCGTGTCTGCTTCACCGTGTACAGCATGCCCAGCAGATGACGGCTGATGGTCGATGTCGAGACCTGTATGCCCTCGTCAACGATGAGCATGCTGCGCAATGTCTCCAAGGTGTAGGTGCAATTGTCGTTCAGGTACGACTCCACCCGCTCCTTCACCTCCTGAGCCACCTTCACGCTGCCGGCGCGGGCTCCGCCTCGAGGTAGGTCGTCGACTCGGCCGGTATCCACGATGCGGTAGGCCATCGACCGGGTGATCCCGTTGTTAGCGGCGACGCCGAGCCAGTCAGCACGCCCAGCGCGTTGGGCATCAAGAACATGGCGCTTTTCGGCGGAGGAGTGCTTGAGGAAGGAGGCTTGGGCGGACGTCTGCTGCGGTGGCGGTGGAATTGGAAGTGAGCTTCTTGATCTCGTTGGTGGCGTGCCGAGGCGCTCCTACTTCACTCCGTTTTGGCGCCAGAGCTCCAGGACCACCGATTCTGGCGGCACCGGCAACATTTGGCTGGAGCCCACCGAGCTGTTGGTGCTGGCTTCGCACCCTCTCACGTCTGTCCACTTTGGATAAAATCAATCTCACTTTGCACCTGGGTTTGCTCGACTCAAATTTGATTTTTGGGTTTTCAAAATTTTAATGTTCACTTTGCTTGAATTTATTCATAGCTAGACCGGGCAAAGGTGTAGAGCTCGCCGAAAAAGGAGGAATGAATTCAGCCCACTCGTTTGAGATGAGATCAATGTTCCAGCTTCATCCACAGCTAAAATCAACAGGTGCTTGGACATGGTGCTGTCCTTAGCGAATTTCTCGCAGCTTGCTTTCCACCGTTCGGGTTCCCTGCGACAGTCTTGCCTCTAGCTTTGCCAGCTTCTTTGCCAAATGTTTATCGAGACTGTCCGATTTCTGGAACATCACAAGCCACATGACCCGATCGCTCTTTCAGTGCTTCTGCGCGTATATGTAGATAGTCACGAGGTGGTTCGCGAGCCTTTCTTCAGGCACTTTGACTGAGGTGTCCTTCGGTTGATCTTCATCAAACAACCACTCCTGCAACCGGGGTGTTGCCTTCGGAAACCCAGTCGATTCCTTGAGACGCGTGCACACATAGAGGACTCCCATCGATCCTCCCTTCTCTTTGCTCGCCACCTGTGCCAGTTCCTGTACCCCGCGGTTCTTACCGGTGCCGGAGCTCTGCGTGATAGCCACATATGGTGCTTTAAAGTCGTTAGGGTGAAACTGATACTCCCTCCAGCTTCTCTCCACGTACGCTCGAAGTCTGAGATGAGCGGTGTCACGGGACGTGCTCTCAATGAACACGTGCTCGAGCTTTTCGAGAAGGGGGTCACTCAGTGCCGCGGAGGCGAGAGAATTCCTACCCAAATTGGCCTTGAATTTCTCCGTGACTCTGTGCGCCACATCCTCAGCGACGTGACAGGGCAGGTTACCGTACGTCCTCACAATGCTGGCTAACAATAGGTGCTCGAAGTCGCTGAGGTCCTTCTCGACGCGCTGCTTGATTTTGCTCTCTTCTTGTCTTGTAAGCTGGATCGTGCGCTGCTTGCTCCCCTCGGGGAGCTTTGGCTGCGACATCTTGAACACCTCGGCGCTGAGCAGCTCCTTTGTTGTTCTTGTGGCTTCCATTGCGCTTGCTAGAAGTGGTGACCAACGCTGAGATCGTACAGGGGAGGACTACCCTGTATAATATTGATATTGAATATGAATTACGAAATCACTATGTGTTGCGGGTATGGTTATTATAAATGTTATTATTTATATTTTTATATAATAAACTTAAGCAATATGACTGGCTCTGAGGCCCTTGTTCAGGTGGGGAATGTGTTCTGTGCTACAGTGCGGGCTAGGGCTTTTGGATTTGTGCTTGTGATTTTCAAAACGTGTGCTGGGCTTGTCCAAGTAAATTCCGGAGGACTTTATCTGCTGACCTCCCGTCATTTTAGAATCGCCACCAAGCACATATACCGAGTCCTCTCGCTAGTGCGTGAGCTAGCTGTAATTATACGGCAGGCCTAGCGTGAGGATACTTGGGCATGCAACAACACCTCGTAGAGTAGCCACTGGATGCACATATAAAGCATTTTGACGTTGCCATCGCCCACGGCAACGCACAGAAAGCATGGTTGTCGAGCACTTTGTCGGGCTTCCTACGGACTTCCTGACTCGGACTCTGATTGGCGTAGGAGGAGACAAACCTGCCTTGTCCTTGCCCGTGATTCCTGGCACAAATGTGCTCCCCAGGGAACACCTCGTGTAGGTGTTCTGGAATCGGAGCTCCTAGAACACGAACGAGCAAAAACTGTACGATTCACGCCAACGTTTTATCCAATCATATCGCTAGAAAATTTCAGACGTTCTCCACTTGAACAAGGGCCAGAATAATGGTAGTACTAGTGATGGAGCATCTCAGTCGCGTTGCTCCGTTGAGTTGCTTCGGGGGTCGACACCCTGCAGTGGAGTCTCCACTTCAGGCCGACGTCCCCATCCTCTAATTGATCTTATCAATCACCATTACTATTTTTTGTAGTGTAGTGAAGCAAACTTAGGGCTAAGGGCGTGTTGCAATTTAGAGTCTCAGTTTAACCCGTGCAGGCCATCAAACCAATAAGCAATTAGCAACACTGGTGGAGCTGCATGATGAAGTCTTCATTACCAGCAAATAACGTTACTATCTATCGCGAGGTCAAGATAATCAACGGCAAGTACACACCAGCAGCAAGAGAGCACTAATGATGCTGGACTATATCTCGCGAAACCCTAGATCACGGTTAACCGCAAGGGGTGAGCTGCAGCACCAGCGGTTCAAGATCAATTAGTGGTAGCCGACAGCCCAAAGCAAAATACATGTAGCAAGGGATAATTGTTGTTAAAAGTTATAATATTCAGTTTCGATTTTCCAGCGTACTCAATACAGCATCTCGGCTCCCGATGCCCGCCGTACTTCCTCTCTAGTGCTACATACCATATCACTTACCGGTATTAATAACACAATTTAAAAATTGTTACACTATCGCAAGATTCTCTATTCTATCGGCAGCAAGTGGTTGCGAGGAGCACAGCCAAAGCAAACCCGCGCGGGGTGCCCGTGAAGCATGTCCGCGTAGGAGGGCCCAGCAACTAGCAGGGCAGCGAACGAACCCGTCGTTGCGGCTTGGAGCTAGTTCCGTAGTGTGGGGTGCGGGCCTCCAAGGTATAAGGAGACCACCTGCGTCACTGCCAGGAGCTATCTGTAGGCTAAAGGCTGTAGCTTCACAGAGTATTGGACATGGTGAGCACGTATCCATGCAGGCAAGTTGAAGTGCACTCTCTTTTAGCAATTCTACCCTTCCTAGCACTAACTCACTCGTAGTAATGGATGCAAGCGCTGACTTGGCGCTCTAAATCAGAGTGAAGCCGAGGACTTGGTGGCGTTTTTTTTGCGCTCGGTGCGATCTAAAGTGTAGCAATTTATCTAAACCCGCGATTCGCTTCCCGATGCCTGTTTGATTAGCGTTTATGGTCGAGGCTAAATCGTGTCCCCCCACTTTAATGGCATCGACCCCTTCTCAGAAGGGGTCACTCCAGGTTTTACGCAGTTAAGCGTGTCTATGGATCAAGAGAGGGTTGTTCAACCGAGGTTTTTTGCGCAATTTTTGGCCCCGGGAAGTGATTCTAGATGTAAACCCTAACCGTTCATGTCTCAGATTAAGAGAGGCAAGTAAAGAGAGGTAAGAAATAGAGTAAAGAGGAGTGATAGATGATTATAAGTGGGGACTTCGTCCCCAATTATAGTATTATATTTATGGTAAGTTCGGTTGGGGTATTACATGTACTATTCCAAATAGAACTACTACTGTGATATTGTATTATATATTAATAACTACAAACTGCAACAAAACTAATGTGTGAGAAAGAACGAAGATCGAGGACGCCGATGACGCCCCCGCTTCCCCGCAAGCCGAGAGCACAAGACCAAGAGTGCCAACCCTGGAGGAGCTGCTCAGCGCCGAGGTGTTCAAGATGTCGCAGCCAAAGCTCCCCGAGGGGAGCAAGCAGCGCACGATCCAGCTTACAAGACAAGAAGAGAGCAAAATCAAGCAGCGCGTCGAGAAGGACCTCAGCGACTTCGAGCACCTATTGTTAGCCAGCATTGTGAGGACGTACGGTAACCTTTCCCTGTCACGTCGCTGAGGATGTGGCGCAAAAGGCAGCAAAACGCCTTCAATCTGCTTTGATTAAGCGAAACACTCTCCACCGTCTCCCCATGGAGCCAAGCCAGCTCATGTTCAAAAGACTGGAGTGGGCGTTCACCGAGACGGAATATCGTGGCACCGCGCCCGGAAGGTTTCGAGCCTATGTGGAGAGATGCTGGACGGAGTACCGTCTTCACCCTGACGACTACGAAGCTCCTTGTGCGCCCATCACGCAGAGCTCCGGCTTTGGCAAGAGCCGACTGCTGCTGGAGCTGGCACGGGCGACGAGTGATGACGACGGAGGGTCGATAGGGGTTCTCTACATATGCGCGCGGCTCGAGGAATCGACCGGGTATCCTAAGGCAACGGCCAAGCTGGAGGAATGGCTGTTCGAACGAGACTTGCTCGACTGCACGTCTATGAATCAGCTTGAAGACAGACTCGCCGACCATCTCATGACTATCTACATCTACGCGCAAAAGCATTGGGATGGCGGTCGGACCAAGTGGCTGCAGCTGTTTACGCAGCCTCGACCGCTCGATGAGCATTTGGCGACGAGACTCGGAAAGTTAGAGAGAAGACTGCGCAAACCCCCCGAAGAGTGGGCGGCAAAGTGCGAGAAATTCACAAAGGACGACGCCATCTCCAAGCGGTTGGTGATTCTGGCCGTGGATGAAGCTGCAATGTTGATTTCGTCTCAAATGAATGGACTGAATCCTCTGCGCCTGATTCAGCGAGCTCTGGTCAAGGCCAACTACCGCATTGCCTCAATCGATACTCGCGCGAGAGGGTTTACTGGAGGAATTTTCGGAGTGCTGGTGGACACGAACCCGCAAGTGTGCAAGCTGGGGCGAGGCGTTCACAAGGGCGACGCGTTCTTGCGGGATAGTTCTTCTCGGTACTCCACCGTGGGCCCCCAGTCGCCGTTCCCGCCGTTCGTGCTCTCAGATACGATGGATGTCTTGTGGAAGGAGGGCAATCTTGCACCAAACACAACTGCAGTGGATGATGGGGTAGCTGCGTACAAGTCGATCCTTTCCCAAGACGACAGGATGAAGCACCTCGTAGCTATGGGCCGTCCTATGTGGGCTGGTATCTTCAAAGGTGGGAGTGACGGGACGAGCGATGTGCTGAGACTCGCAGCGCGTAAGTTGCTCGTGGGGTGCGACCCGGACAACATCAACAGCTACGACGATGCTACCATGTTCGGTGTCGCGTCCTTGTTGTGTCGACTGGGCGTTCGTCCTCGGTCTTCTTCGCCACTAGCGTCGCGTGCCGTCGATAAGTTTATGGCCGTTCTCGCGCATGTGAACTGCGCGAACGTGGGCTACGTGACCATCTACGCGTCGGATCCAGTGCTGTCACTCGGTGCCGCGTATGTGTGGCACGCGCATGATTCAGTTCTCCGCCGGTTTATTCTCCCTCAGCTCAAGAAGCTGCTGCTGAACGAAGAAGTCGACGTTGGTGGTGCTCTTGAAACCGTGGTGGCTCGTGTCGTGTTGCTTCTGGCAGTGGACTGGTGCGTGCTGGAAGAGGAGAACAAGGGCTTGATTGCAGCAACGCCAAAGCTCCAGTTAAACTACCGTACCTTCAGGGGTCAGTTCGTGAATGTAAGGTTGTTCATGGACGGGGTGGAGATTCCTGTGAAGGAAAATGGCAACACGTCTGCCAATAAGAAAACGCGAAAACAGTTGAAGAAATGGCGATCGCAATGGAACGACCGACTGGCAACTGGGCTTCTCGCACTTCGTGACGTTGGAACATGAGCCGACAGAGCACACGCTGGGGTTTTTGATTGGGCGCTACGCCGCTGGAATTTTCACACACAACCAGCATGGGGTCTATGTGGTGATTCCGATGTTTCGGAAGTTACAGTCGGGGGCCGATGCATCACATCAAACGATGACGGGTGATGAAGACACGATGGATGTGTCGATGGTCTTGATTCGAGTGGAGGATAGCAGCCGTCACTGTGGTGAATATGACGAGCGGACCACAGCCAAGTTGTCGCCTGCGAATGTGTTTTCGCCAGAAAATCCGCTGCATAGGAAGTCGTGCAGTCAGGTGATTCGCGCCTGTATGCGTCTGCAAGAAGAAGCCTCAGAAGAGTTTGTTTATGCGGAGCGCGTAGAAGGCGACAACCCCACACATTCAGCTCTGCGCTTGGGAGCCAAGGTGGCGAGTTCAGGTACGCGTAAGGCCTCTTCACTATCGTACGCATTTACGTACTTCGTTTGCCCTATTTCCAACCCGAAGATCGTAGACCCAGCCACGGGCAGGCAGTTGATGGATCTGGTGTCGTCGTTTGGCCACCCGGTGGACCTGGTCGAGGGCGATTTAAGTCTGCGTAGAGAATTCGCGGACCGGGTCAGGCGAGAGAGGAGGATGCCGCCTTTGTCGAAATTAATGGGCGATGCTGAATTGAGGACGTGTGCGTCATTGGCGTTGGTGCGAGCGCCGGGGCCCGTTCAAGGGCAGCGAATGGCGAAGCGAAGCATACCAGAAGTTCCGTCATTCGATGCTAAAAGCCGCCGGAAGAAGAAGAGGAAGAGTAGCGTCAAGGAAAGATGATTGCGATTTTTCACTACGCGAAAGCTAGCAGGCTTCCATCAATCGAGACGATCTCTTAACCAGAAATATTCCATTTCGACTTGAAGCATGTCGTTAAGCCTAACGGAGCTGGTGGGTGCGGAGGTCTTCGCGTTGCTGCAGCCTAGGCTTCCAGAGGGGAGCGAATATCGGGTTGTTCAAGTGGCGAAAGAAAGATATCTGCTTGCGATAAAGGCCCCAACGCTTGTGGAGTGTGCTTCAGGGGTATATCTACCGCGTTTACAGTGAATTCTCGTGACAGGACATACTGGACGTGACGCAGAAGGTGGCGCCAAAGCTCGAGGCTGCTTTATTAAGTAAACGGAGCTCTCTTCTCTACTCGTCGGAACTCGATCGTCTATTCGAGCAGCTCGAGCGTGCGTTTATCCGAAGTGAGTGAGTATCGTGGCACCGCTCCTGCCAGGTTTCGAGCCTATGTGGAGAGGTGATGGAAAAAGTACCAGCGCTACCCTAACAAGTATACGGCGCCGGTTGTGTCAATGGTACAGAGCTCCGGCTTCGGCAAGAGTCGACTCGTACGCGAGTAAGCACTGACTACGAGCAAAGAGGAGGAAGGATCCATGGGAGTACTCTACACATGTCGTAGTCTGGAAGGGTCCACCGGCTACCCATTGGCAACACCAACGCTGCAGCAATGACTCCTCGGTGCGGACGAAGCTGCGCTGATCGACCTCATGGTTACTATCATCTACGCATTAGTGGCTCAACCTGTTCACTCTACAGTCTCCAACGATAGAGCAGAACTTGAGTCTCGAGTTGAAAAAGCTGGAGCGTGAGCTGCGTGGAAGTCACAGAGGATGGCAGTCAAAGTGCGAGGCATTCGCACAGGACAGCGCCAAGTCCACGTGGTTGCTGCTCTTGGCTGTAGACGAAGCTGGACTGTTGCTCCGCTCTGAGAAGAACGAGCTGGGTTCCTTCCGTCTCCTTGGGCGGGCTGTGAGTAAAGCAAACAACCGCATCGCCTCGTCAGAAACTCGCTCAAAAGGGTTCACAGGAGGCATTTTTGGAGTGTTGCTTGATACAAACGCGAAGGTGGTCGACTTGGCAGCTCCGTCATCGTCCTCCCGGAACTGGTGTTACCACCGTGTTTTGGAACAAATTGAAGTTGAATCTTGTCGTCTTTTGAGACACAAATGTTGCGCTACCTTCGTGCGACATTCTTCAGGCCCCGAGCCAATTCCGGGCATGAGAGGACCGAGATGAAGCTGCTCAAGAAGCAGATCAGCGAGAAGGATGGCGCCGGCTCCGTGGTGCTGCGCGCCGAGGAGCCCGAGGACATGTGGCACATCTACAACCTCATCCACGTGTCCGACTCGGTCAAGACCACGACGATCCGCAAGGTGCGCGCAGCTCCAGTCCGACGCAACACTTGCCCTGCCCTCGCATATCGTACTTAATCGAATGTACATCTCGTTATGGCCCCTGTAGGTGGTGAAGGAAGGTGTCACGGGCTCCACAAGCAGCCAGCGCGTGCGCATGACGCTGCAGATTGAGGTGAACTACTGTACTTGCTGGAAACATTGAGATCAGAGCTGATGATTAGGGGGTGGAATGGAATGTGTAGGTGGAGCAAGTCAACTTCGACCCGGTGCTGTGCGTGCTGCGCATCAAGGGCAAGAACGTCATGGAGAGTCAATACGTCCGGGTACGCCCCATGCCAGTGTCCGTGCCATATCGTTCTGTGAGGGACTGCCCCACTAATAATGCAGTTGATGCGTGCAGATGGGAGCGTACCACACGCTGGACCTGGAGATGAACCGCGACTTCACGCTGGCCAAGAACTGCTGGGACGTCATGTCGCTGGAGCGCATCGAGATGGCCTGTGATATCGCCAAGCAGGCCGAGTTGGCGGCCGTGGTCATGCAGGTCGGTCTGGCACACTTGTGCTTGATCAAGGGCGACATGACGGTCATTCGGGCCAAGATCGAGACGAGCGTGCCCAAGAAGCGTCCGGGGAGCTCGGCGCATGCCAAGGGCACGGAGAAGTTCTACGAGAACATCGTGCGCTCGATCCGGCAGCACATTGACTTCAAGCTGGTCAAGTGCGTGCTGCTCGCCAGCCCGGGCTTCGTCAAGGATGACTTTTACAAGTTCATGATCGAGCAGGCGGTGCGCCAGGACGACAAGCTCATCCTGGAGAACAAGCCCAAGTTTGTGCTGTGCCACTCGTCCTCTGGTCACAAGCACGCTCTCGATGAGGTCCTCAATGACCCGGCGATTCAGTCGCAGGTGGCGGATACGAAGGCAGTGGAGGACGTCAAGTGCCTGGAGCGCTTCTTCAACATGCTGCACATCGACCAGGACCGCGCGTACTACGGCTACAAGCACGTCGTGCGCGCCAATGCGAACATGGCCATCGAGACGCTCATGATCACGGACGCCCTCTTCCGGTCGCAGGACATCGCCACGCGCCGCAAATACGTCGACCTGGTGGAGAGCGTGCGTGACAACGGCGGCACCGTCCGTCTCTTCAGCAGTTTGCACGTGTCGGGCGAGAAGCTGGGCCAGGTGAGCGGCATCGCTGCTATCCTGCGCTTCCCCATGCCCGAGATCGACGAAGAGGATCAGGACGAGGAGTCTGATTCCGATTCCGAGGAGGAGGACGACAAGGAGGACGAGAGCGGCGTGGGCGACCTCTCCGTCGAGGCTTTGGGAATGTAGAGCGAGGGCTGTCAGCAGATAAACAAAAGCATACACAACCAAATGCACAAAGCTATAGGAGGGGGAGAGAACAGAGCACAATTACCGCTTAGCTGGCCGTGTTGTGCTGTACGACGAGGTTCGACACGCGCTTGTCGAACGTCTGCGACGTGAGCCGCTCCCCCAGCGGCGCGAACGGGTTCGACATGGCGTTCACGTACAGGCGGTGCACCTCCGCGAAGAACTGCAGGCAACAGCACAGCACAGTACAGAGCACAGCAGCATTAGCCCCGGCAATCGATAGGGCTGTCATCGTGGCAGTAGCAGTAGTATCTCACGGGTCTGAGCTCCGACTCGCGCACTGGCGCGTCCTGCAGCACCACGACGAACTTGACGGACGTGTTGGTCACGTAGCCGTAGACGCGGTAGTCCTCGATGGGCCCGAGGAAGCCCAGGTACATGTCGTCCTTGGAGCTGGAGATGCCCGCGCCGCGCAGCTTCTCCTCGATCACGTCCAGCGACACGTGCGCGATGTAGTGGAAGCCCAAGTCCTCGCCCTCCTCGCCGAACGTGCGGATGTACAGGGGGCTGTTCTACACGGCAAAGAGGAATATGACAGTTAAGAGGCTGTGGGCTGTGGAGAGCGGCCTGGTGGGCGCCCAGGAAGGGCCCTTACGGCGGCGCCGATGACGGCGACACAGGCGATCATGGCTGCTTGATAATTGGAAAATGTTGCGCAAAATGTTGCGTGAAGGACGGAGCGGTACACTGTACCAAACTGACGTGGTCTATTGAGTTGAAGTTGAAGCTACCAGGTAGCGTCGTCTTCGCCTTCGTCTGCTGCTGCGTCCGAGTCTCGGCCGGTGGATGGTGGCGTGTAGTCTGGCGTGTCGTCTTCTGCTGGACTACTGGCTGCTGATTCTCGAGCGGAATTTTGGCTGCTTCCTGGCTCGCTGGCGCCCTCCTCGTCGGCAAACGTTGGCGTGCCATTCCCTGACGAGGCCTCTAGCTGTTCTTGATCCACTGCGAGCTCGGCATTGATCGGGGTCTGTGCGGACTGCTGAGCGTCGGTGACTTCCGTGACGCTATCGATTGGCTCGCTGGCGTCTCCTGTGTGAGGGTCCAGATTCCACACAGTCCTGTCATTTTCATCTTCTCCCTCATTCGCGGCTGGCATATCTACTGGGTCAGTAGCGGTTCCAGCATGAGGGTCCAGATTCCACACAGTCCTTTCACCTTCACCTTCGCCCTCATTAGCCGCGATACTTTCAGGCATACCTACTGGACCGGTTGCGGTTCCACTGGGATCCAGATTCCAAGCGTTGTTCTGGTCTACTTCGGTGCCAACAGTTTGGCCATCGGACTCGATTTGTACTGAATCATCGAGTCCGCCATCGCCATCAGTATTTGCTACCTCTGGTACGCGCGAATCTTCGCTGTGCACAGGCTCTGTAGAGCCGTCGTGGGCATGGGCATTGTCATCAGCAGGAGATGGTGATGAAGATGGCGGGCTCGGGCCCAAGTTCCAGGCACTCGATTCGGTTTCATTAGTTGTTGTGGGCTCTGCAACGGATGTGATGTCCGGGGAGTCTTGAGCAACAACGTGGCTTGCGTCCGCGCTAGTGTTTCCCTCAGCTACATCATCTTCGACAAACTCCGGATGGGTTTCTTCAGTATTATCGCTATCTTCCGGAGGTAAGTCAGGACTCACGACTACGTCAGCTACAGGATCTGGGTCTAAATTCCAGACTGGCTGCTCCTCTTCATCATCCTGGGTGTCAGTAGGCTCTGCTGCCGGTGAAGTTGCGGCTGGTGCAGATGATGGAGTGGGATCTAAATTCCACGCATTTCTTCCTTCAGTGTCATCAATCCCTTTTGAGTCATCGTCTAGCCCACTTTGCACTTCAGCTGTGTAAGGAGTATCCACAGGATTTTCATTTGTAGGAATGGAAGGACTTGGATCCAAATTCCAGGCATTGTTTGTGTCGTCGTCCTCGCTCGACACCGAGTTTTCTTGCTGAACTACAGCTGCGGGCTCATCATCGTTATCGACACCCACCTGATCACCCACCGAAGTATCTGAGGCAGCAGCATGCGGATCTGCATTCCAAATAGTCTGCCCACTGCCAATTTCATCTTGGGAATTTGCTTTAGGTGACGGTTGATCACCCTGATCATTTTCTCGCGAGTTCGGATCCAGGTTCCAAGGGCTATGTACGGGATCCGCTTCTTTTGATTTTGAAGTCACATCATCCTCACTACCGTCGAATTCGTCGTCTTCGTACACCTTTTGTTTCGAATGCATGTGCTCGTTCTCTTCGTTACCAACCGAAATATTCCAGTCAGTGTGTTCTCCACAATCAAGATCGTTAGAAATATGGGCTTCTTCCGCCCCCACTTCCTGACGACTAACTGGGCCCTCGCCCTCATGCTTCTCGTCACATCCAGTTTGCTCAGTTTTGTTGGATATCTCTTCCAAACTTGGTTCTTTGGTACACGCGGTAACTTCACTCGCCGAATTGTTCTCACCGTCAGCTTGATGGTCAACATTTTGCTCCATCTCCTCAATGCGTACTGCATCCCCCGTCGCAGCGTCATCCGGTTGATTAACCTCTACATTTACACCTTCAGCGCTGGGCGATATAGCTGGGTCATTGTCTTCCCCAGTATCATCGCTAGCTTCTTCTTGCTGAGATCTCGCACTGTCGATCTCGAACTTTACGTGCCTGTTATTGTGCTCGATTGTTTGAAGTTTTTTCGCCTCACGAGCCGCTCGAATGTGCAGGTTCTCCTCCAGTTCACACTCAACTTCTAGCTGAGCAAGTCGCACCTGCTTGTAGTACTCAGCTTCGAGCGCCTTTCGCCGTGTCTTGGATACAAAACCCTCTCGATGGTTAAGCTTAGTGAGCGGTACAACACGGACTTGCCCCGCAGAACTCTGTGAGGAGTACACTCTGGTTGCAGTCAAATTGTTCGAAGCACTTCCCGACGTCCTGCTACCGGGGCTTTCATCTACAACGAGGCTCAGTGGGTCCAGCTTGGTATTCTTCACTAGCCCTCCAGAGCCGTTAGTAGGCAACGGCACGGACGAGACCTTTAATTTGCCCGCGATAGTCGGCGAGCTTGCCGTGGCCTCCAACTTGGCTCGGAGGCGTCCGATCTCCGTATGACACTCGTCGATTTCTGCCTCCAGCTCCTGGAAACGAAGGAATTTGCTACCATGAACGTGAGTGTATGACCACCAAATTGACACTCAAAGGCACGCACCTGCTGTATCGAAGCCGGTCGAGCTCTCTTCTTCGTTCTTCTGCTAGTGCTTCAGCCGTCGCAGCCTATCTAACCAATGTTGAAACGTGTGTGAATCCAGCACGGCAGATATCAACTTGCTCAGCTGTACCTTACCCTCTGCATGCACTCCGACACAAGGCGGTCGATGAGCTCCTGCTTGCGGGTCTTCGTAGTCTTGGCATCTTGCGGTGACCGCAGGATCGCAAACGCAGCTTGCAACTAATTACATAAGCAGCCCAGTGAGACGCTGAGTGGTGCAGCAGGACACACATAGAACTCGTGCCGTACGCCCTTGTCTTTCTTTCGCAATGTTTCCTGTAGCCGGCGAGATGCAGTCTTGAGCTGTATCACCAGCGCGTCCTGCTCATGCATGACCCACAATCGTTCAGTATTCACGGTAAGCAGCCGACATACTATGCTAGCACATTGCACCAACCTTTTCCGTCAACTGCCTCTTCACTAGTGCGAGCTCCTGCTTTGTATTTTCCCACTCTCGCCACCCGTCGTCCAGCTATCAGACAAGAAATACCCACAGCACATCAGCACGACCCCCGATCGAGCTGAGACTGCACCAAGGCGCACCTCAATCTGCTGGTACGGCGTCACCTGCGGCTGGCTGGCGTTGCCTCCTCGCCGCCTCGCCATTGTGATGCACTATCACTACGTCGTTTCGCGCCCCTGAATGTAGCCATTTCGGAAAGATCGAAACCTGGCGAAACGTCGCGATCATTGGGCATTCGCATCACTACCACTAGACTCGACGGGCATGGGGGAGGCACCGAGCTGGCAGCACATGTGGGGGGCCAAGGTCAAGATGCCTTGTGACATGGAGGACGACGTGCTGGAGGACGCCATCAAGCACGTCACGTCGCGGCTGGCCAAGTACGACACGGAGGAGTGGGAGAAGAACGGCCTGGCGGTGAGGGAGGCGGCAGCGTTCTGCTGCGTGATATGCAGCAATACAGTACTGATAGCTATGTACGTGTGTGTGCTTGTGTGTTGCCAGGTGTGCGAGGAGATCAAAGCCCACTTGGACGAGGCGTGGGACCCGCACTGGGTCGTGTGCATCGGCCGCAACTTCGGCTCGTTCGTGACGCACGTGACGAGGAACTTCGTCTTCTTCTACTACAACGAGAAAGCAGTCATGATATACAAGGCAGGCTAGGCGCAATATAGCGTAGCGATGCGGCCAAGCAAGTAAGTACACGTATTTCTCTCGAGTGGGTATCCATCCTTCTGTTAGCAAGGCAACATGCACTTCAACTCGGGAGTCGACTTTTGACCAATCAGCGAGGCGGCGACTGCGGCCCAACAGTTTTTGACAGTCAGAGCGCCATTCCATTCGCCGCCATGGCCACGCACGTCGCCAAGAAGATGAAGCTGGAGCACGAGCCCGTGGTCGCCGTCGACGCGGCCATGAAGCCGGAGGAGCCCAACGCCAGCGACAGCGAGGACGAGGGCGAGGAGGACGAGGCCGCCACGTCCGCCATCGCCCAGTTCCAGAGCGAAGACGTGAGTGCCGGCCGGCCACATGGCTGCGTGTCAATTCATCAATGGGACGATTGTGAGGTATTTAGTCGCTAACTCTACTGGGTTTTAATGCTGTCGACAGGGCACCAATGTGGGTCCGCAACTGGAGATCCCCATGAGCTCCAACGTGAAGCAGATGGAGGAGCTGGTGAACGAGCTGCTGCAGAACGGCAAGAACCGCGTGCCCTACTCGCTGTTCATCGGCGAGACGGAGGTCACGACGTCGCTCAAGGCCACAGTGGAGGAGCTGGTAATGCAATGCAGTAGTGGAGCTGGATGAGGTGAAGGCGGTCGCTGATAGTTTATTATGCTGTGGTGTGATGTAGAAATTGTCGACGGAGACGGCGCTGACCATCACGTTCCAGCCGCTGGCAGCGTTCCGTGTGCGGCCTGTGACGCGCTGCAGTGACACGCTGCAGGGCCACTCGGAGGCAATTCTGCACGTGAGCTTCAGCCCGGACGGAAAGCGGCTGGCCAGCGGCGGAGGCGACGCCACCGTGCGCTTCTGGGACACCAACACGTGCATGCCCAAGCACACGGGACGCGGACACAAGCACCACGTGCTGTGTACGGCGTGGTCGCCCGATGGAACGCGCTTTGCCTCGGCCGACCGCAACGGTGAGATTCGGCTGTGGGACCCGCTCACAGGCAAGCAGATCGGCCAGCCCATGAAGGGCCACAAGCAGTGGGTCAACTCGCTCACGTGGGAGCCCATGCACCGCAACGCCACGTGCGAGCGATTTGCGAGCTCCTCGAAGGACGGATCGATCAAGGTGTGGAATGCGCGCACGGGCCGCTCCATCGCCTCGCTGTCGGGCCACACGGACTCGGTGGAGTGCATCAAGTGGGGAGGCGAGGGTCTGCTGTACAGTGCGTCTCGCGACCGTACCATCAAGGTGTGGGCCATGGAGGGCGAGCACGTCGGCAAGCTCGTGCGCACGCTCATCGGCCACGGCCACCGCATCAACACGCTGGCGCTGAACGTGGACTACGTCTGCCGGTCGGGCCCGTTCAGCCACAACACCGAGAGCTTCGCGTCGCGCGAGGAGATGCAGCAGGCCGCGCTGAAGCGGTACCAGGAGGTGCGCAAGGGCCAGCCCGAGCGCTTGGTGTCGGGCTCGGACGACTTCACACTGTTTTTCTGGGAGCCGTCGGAGAGCAAGAAGCCGCTGGCGCGCCTTACGGGCCACCAGCAGCCCGTGAACCACCTGTGCTTCTCGCCGGACGGCCGCTACTTCGCAAGCGCGAGCTTCGACAAGAAGGTCAAGATCTGGAACGGCCAGAACGGCAAGTTCGTGGCCACGCTCACGGGCCACGTCGGCGCCGTGTACCAGGTGTGCTGGTCCAGCGACTCGCGCCTGATCGTGACGGCCAGCAAGGACTCGACCGTCAAGGTCTGGGAGCTGAGCGAGCCCAAGAACGCCAAGACGACGCTGTCGGGCCACGCCGACGAGGTGTACGCGCTGGACTGGAGCCCCAACGGCGACATGGTGGCGTCGGGCAGCAAGGACCGCACCATCAAGATGTAAGTGTCGCTCTGCGATGTTGTTGCTGTTGCCGTTGAAGCTGGCAGTACCGGTCACTAACCCCCCTCGTTTCTGTGTCATTTTTTGTCTTTTCACAGCTGGAAGCACTAGACCCGCACTAATTTGCAATAGACTGTCATCCACAAATCGTACCCTTTCACAATTAATACCGTATGTCCTCCTCCCTGTACAAACTCCCTGTATGCCACGTCCGCAAACTACATAACCTTATGAAAAACCAGCCGTTGCGAAAACCACATGCTACTGTACTCGTCCTCGCAGCATTGCCACCAATCCCATACTCAAGTCAAGTGAAAACTAGTTCCCGCCATTTCGCAGCTCACTTCCGCTTTAGCGCGCGGCCAGCAGTCAGCCCTTCCAGCCCACGGTACCTCCCCCCAGGGTCCAGCCATGAAGCGCGCCAGAGACGAGAGCTCGACGGACTGCGACGCCCTGGGCATGACGACTCCCCCGTCCTCGCTCTGGGCCTCCATGTCGCCCTGGAAGCCGCCGCACGCGTCCGCCAAGCGCTGCCGAGACCGCTCCGTGCCCGTCGGTGCGTGAAGGACACCAAAATCGGCGTAGTTTTAGCGCTAAAACTGACCTTTTACCCGTGGTTTTAGACGCGCTGAGCCGCATGATGTCGGCGGCCGTGACCAACGCGCGCCTCAAGAAGCACAGCAGCATCGGCAAGCTCTTCTTCGGGCGCGCGTCTGCCAAGGACAAGGACGTGGACATGTCGGACGCCTCGCTGTGCCGCTGCGCCGTGTGCGAGAGCGCCAAGCGCCAGTTCGCCGCCGCGCAGCTGCAGAGCTGCTCGCACTGCGAGCGCCGCATGGGCGACTGCTGCCGCCGCGAGTGCGACGCGTGCTGCCAGGTCTTCTGCTCGCTCTGCTCGACGCTCAACTGCGACGAGCAGTTCGACCGCGTCTTCTGTCTGTCGTGCAACCAGGAGAAGGGAAGGGGGTAGAGCGGCTCGAGACTGAGACTGGAGCGGAGCCTACCACCAGGCAAGCAGGTTTTTAATTAGTAATTCTAAAGTGCACGTTGATAGCTGTATGGCAAAGGCTGCGTCTGTAGCTGTTGTATCGGTAGCTGCATTGAAGAGGTAGAGGGGGTCTGTCTAACTGAACATGCCTTCTCCTGGTGCGTCGTAGAGGAAGCTGCGCACCATTTCGTACGACGTGGCGGGCTGGTCGTGAGGAACCATCTACACAGAGGGGCAACAAGTACGGGGTTAGTATGAAGTGTGGACGGACGAAGCAGTTGGTTGGACGTACGTGGCCTGCGCCGTAGACTTTCATGAAGCTGAATCCGTGCGAGGTGCGGACGCGACCGATGGCTTGGCCCTGGAAGTGCACGTCTTCGAAGTCAGCGGACGTGAAGGCTGGTTGGTGTTCCCAGGCGAGAGCACGCGTCCACGAGTCTTGTGACATCCAGTTGACCACCGTGTCGGCGTCGCCGCCGTAGACCAACACGCGCACGCCGTGCTCGAGAACTCGAGCGACATTGTACTCGCTCTCTTCGAGTCTGTCGAGTGGCGCCAATTCCGCAAGACCTCCAGGTGTACACACCCTCCAGTTGTGGGCAGCTTCGTTGAAGTAGGCCTTTGTTGCTTCGGAGCTAACAAAGTCTTGCAGCCGCGTGAAGCGGTAGCACAGATGGAGTTCGTCGTCCTCGTGGCACTCCCGACGGACATCGTAGACGTTTCGACCACGGTTGAAGACCAACGACGCTGTCTTGCACGAGACCTCATTGAATCGCTCGAGAGCCTCGGCGCAGTCTCCACCCGCAGACGAATGACGCAAATTGCCTTCTTTCGTGCAGTTCGCAATGGCCGATGAGAAGAGATCCGTTGAATGCTGGAGGTCTTCGTCGTCCGGGCCAAGGAATTGGTACCCGTAGTTGTAGGATGTCAAGAACGGGATCGCCGACTCGACCCAAGCTGAGGTCGACACCACACCGTTGCCGATTGCGATGCCTTTCAACGTGGGGAGCGAGCTGTCATCGTCGAGAAGTCTCGCAGCCAAATCTGGTACGTAGTGTCCGGCATAGCTCTCACCGAATACGTAGAAGTCTTGTGACTTGAGCTTTGGATGTTGCAGGCAGAATTGCTGCAGGAACCCTCGCATGCGGTCCGCTGCGCCCCCGAGCGACCAAGCTTTCGTGAATCCGTTCTCTCCACCACTGTACCCAGTACCTTCGGGCTGGTCAAGGTAGATAACGTGAGCGAGACCTGTCCAGGAGTACGGGTTGAAGGATATCTTGTCGGCCTCATCGTCGAACATGCAAGGGCCATTCTCGAACAGCAGCGCGACCAACCCGGAGCACCCAGGACCGCCCGAGAGCCACAGGAGCACAGGAACATCGGCTCTGGTGGATGACGACTCGTAGAATACGTAGTAGAGACCGTTGAGTGTCCCGGTCTCCTTGGCGAGATTCTCCCCACACAACGACGTCGATGACGGATACTCATGTGCAAGATCCCTCGCGTGGGCGAACGTGTGCTGCCCTCCCGAGAACATGCAGCATTGTGCAAATAGCACCACCGAGAGCAACCACCAAGCGTGGAGCTGCATCGTGGCGGGCGGAATGGAGGTATCCTATGTCAGGATAGGGTCAAGGCTTTGACCGGTCGCGTGTGACCTTTGCTGAAGATCGCGACTAGCTCAACGGACAGCGATGCAGGCGACTGCAACCAGCGAATTTGAGAATGAAAACGAAAACTGTCGCGGAACTCTGTGCTGGTTGGCTAATGTAGTCTTTGTCGTTGAGATTGTTTGGGGATCGCTGCGCGCTTCGATAGAATCCTAATGCTCACCCGCGCGATAAAACATATCAGTGCTACCGATGGCTGCTACTAGCCGGAGCGAGTCATCTTTCCAATGGTGATCAAAAGTAAATGGACTCCATGATGGCGCAGAGCGGGTTGTATGCGGTGACGAGGACTTCGTGAGTAGGAGCTTCGATGATACTCTCTTGTTGTCGTTCGGTGAGCGGTAGGCTGCTCAGTGGACCCGAGTGTGGTAGATCTTCACGCTTTGTGGATCCGAATGAACCGAGAGAAGCCTGCTCCGAACACAAAACACGTCACTATCGTTAGCTTCGATCGGTTGACTGCAGAGACCTGGGTTTCTAACCTGGCTGGCATGGCCAGAAGTGGCAGCACTGGGCCAGAACCGGGATTTCATACTTCCTGACGTGTCCGCATTACACGTCGAGGCTTGAATTCGGGGAGCCTGCTTGCTTTCGTCACTCTGGACTGTATCAAGTCGTGGCCCCGCGATTTCACCGAGTTTAGCAGTCACTGCTGCCCGTGTTTTGTCTTGAGACCACGTGCCATTGAGTCGGAATCGATCCAACGATCCTACCGCAGTGCTCTGCTGGCAGATTGGCTTTTTCTTCACCTTCTTCCGCTGCCGACCACTCGGAGCTCCGTCACTTTGGCGCTTCGCTCGAGAGCGGCCTTTGCCCCTGCCACCAGCAGCTTTCCCCTGACTGTTGCGACCATTTCGAGCTTTTGGCTCGCGTTTTGGCGGCTTGGCGCTCTCTCGGGGCCCGTTCTTCTCCTGTAGGCGGGGTGTTGGAGCTGCTGTTGACACCAGGGGCTTTGCGGCGGCCTGAGGCTTGTATCCAGGTGCTGGCAGTGTCTTCTGGCCTGTTGTGGAACTCTGTTCAGCTGGTTGAGGGCGCTTGACTTGCCGGAGATACCTATCCATTCGCTGCTGCTTCGCATTCGTCTGGTGGCTCGTCAGCGTCTTGATGTACCGGAGGATGTTGCTATCCCCCGAGCTGTCGTTCGGAGCCGCGTACAGCCTCTCTTCACGCCGCTCCGTGGCCCCAACGGGGTGCTGCAGCGCCACATTCTGCTGCCAGTTCATCTCGCCACGCGAAGTGATGCGTGGAGTGCGGAATCGATGCAGAGTGATGGTCTCACTTCAACTTCAACTTGTATTTTGTTGTCAATTTTAGGAAGAAAAAATAGTATTTAGCTAAAGGAAAAAAATGCTGCTGGAAGCTGCTTTGCAAAGCGGAGCTATCTGTTGAACCACTTCTTCCGGCCCTTGGACTTGTGGCGGCTGTAAATGGCAGCGGCTCGGCGGCCTCGTCGGGAAATGGTGAGCGACGTGAGCGACGAGTTTGGCGCAGCTGAACTCGGCGGCTTCCAGGAGTCCAGCAGCGAATATCGTCGCTCAGAAGGCACACCACTTGTTCCGCTCTGCCGACTCAAGCACGTGGTCGTCTCCGAAGGCACTTCGCCATTCCCTTGCGTCGGTCGTCGGGTTGATGGAGCCTGGGAGTAGGTGGGGTTGATGCTACTCATAGGGATATTGCCCACAGCAGAAGGTAACCCGTTGACCTTTTTCACGTCGACATCGTCTGGCTTCATCGGCAAGCTGCCACGACGCGGCCGCGTAGCGAAGATATCTTCATCGTCTTCATGCTCGTCGTACTCCGCTGCTTTCTTCGAGTGGTACTGCGAATTGATCGGCTCGTAATGAGCTCCGAGCGTCGAGTAGCGAACCGATGTAGGAGACGGCAAGGGTGAGTGATGCGCACCTTCGCCCTTGTACCGGAAACTGCGGGGTGCCACAGCGTCTCCAACTTCGAGGGCTCCGTCCGTAAAGTTGATGCTCTTTGGAGGCGCTTGGATAAACGTGGCGTCAATGTCAACCTCGCGCTCGTCGGGCATAGCTTTGATGTCGACGCGGATGGAAGGCTCACGCTCGTGGTCCACATCAAAACTTTGGGTACTGGCAACCATAGCCGAGGGCCGCTCCCTCGCTTGATCCACATCGAAGCTTTGCGTACTCAGAATGTCCGGGTTGGTTGATGCAATGTTTGTTGGCGTTGTTCCCACGGGTTGCTTTGATTGCGGCTGCCCAATCTTCGTTGAGTTGCGGACTAGCGAAGGTCTACTTTCCAACGTGAAGTTGTGCCAACGACCCATAAAGCTTCTCGATATCTGCTTCAGATGAGTTTCCTTGGGCTCCTCAGCGTGAATAATTCGCAGCACACGATTCACGTTGGAAAGAAGAGGTGCTTCAACCTGCTCTTTGTTTTCCACTAGTCCTTCCAAGAACGCGAGCATTTGCGGGTAGTACTTGAGGTCTTTTAGCCAATACTCAGGCTCGTCTTTCGTACCGCTCTCTGTTAGTGCTGTGTTGCGTGCTTCCAGGACACGACGTAGTACCTTCAGCAACGGCGGTATGTCTGGATGCTGCATCGTGATTCGACAGATGAGCAACTCCACAAAATCTTTCGAGGTGATCTCCGGGAACTGCACCAAGCGCCGGGCGATACGCAAAACGGAACGGTACGGAAAACTTATGATCAAGTGTTGATTGCAGTAGCGCACCAGTTTCACAATCTGCTCTGGCATGCGATTGTCAGCGATGCTCTCGTCGATATCAAGAGACGCCCGCAAAATGTGGGTAATCGCCATGGTGTACTTGTCGATTTCATCAGCTGTCTTCTTCAGATTATCGGCAGGATTTTGCAGATCAAAACCCATGAGAAGGTGTAATTGAGTCCTCCAAAGCTGGAAAAGTAGCTCCAGGTTGTAGGCAGGGTTTGTCAACTTTTCTGGATCCGGCCGTGACAAGAAGCGATCGATATAGAGGCCAGCCACAAAGTTGTGCGGTAACGGGATAATATCAGTCTCGTCGTCAAGTAGAACGGAATCTCGCTTTGCTACAGATCGCTCCATCCGATTCCTGCAAATGATTTCGTCGAGTTTCTTACGCACTTCGGTTCGTCTGTGAGAGTTCCAAATCAAGTCGCTCTTTTCGTGATTGTCGTCGAAGAACCTCGTCGCCTTGTTCGGATCCAAGTGAATTTGGTACACGATTGGATACGGAAGAAACCGACAGAGTCCGCTGTACATCTTCTCTCGCAAATCAATGTCCTTCGTCAACAACGCGTACAAAACCTCGAAAGCAGGCTCCCGTAGAGCTTCAGCGCGGAGGAATTGTTCGTGGAGAACATGCTGCCTTGACTGAAGTGCGATACCTAATATCTCGACCCAGAGTCCGCTGATGTGTACGTACTCGGCGATCACGAGGCAAGTATCACACAGCTCAGCTAAACAGGATAACGCATAGAATGCTTGTTCGTACGCGAGATGGTCGGTGATCACTTGGAGACACCACGTAAACTGGCAGAAAGGTGCAAGCATACGCTCCAAATTGCACTCAAAACCGCAAATTTTGTTCAGGATCAGCAGCGCGAGTTCCTGGCGGTTCAGATAGTCCACATTACCAAATTCATCTTCCATATCTGACGAAATATCGTCGGACGATTGCTTTGCTTTGAAGCCATACGTCGACAAAGATCGACGAGACGATATCGACATGGCCTTTGATTTGTCGTCACCGGTGAAGGGCAGCAGATATCGTCCAAGCGTTGCAACTGATATTGAGGCGTTCACAGGATCCACATCATCAATGTGCTGCTCCAGACATTCCACTATGGCGGGCCGAAAGGCCGGTAAATCACATAGAAGACTCAAACAGTCTAGAGCAGGTAGCGTGTCGGAATAAATCGCAATACTGGGGTCTCTGTTCTCGTTCAAAAATAAGAACAGCTGTGACACGAACTCGACGGCAGTAATCGGATACAATGCATCTTCGGTGATTGCCTGTGGATCCTCCACTGACTTCTCCAGTAGAATTTGCAGATAGACTCCCCCAACCGACGGCTCAGAGCTTAGACACTCGTACGAGTAATTCGTAACGCTCTCCAAAATTGAAAAACCATCGATGCCTGGGTCCATGTAAAATTCATCCGTTAGCTTCTGCGAGAGCTCGTGCCGCGTGTTTTCGTTCCAAATGCAAGTTGGCTCGCAAATATCCGAAAGCAAGACATCACAAAAGTCGCGTCCATCAGGCTTTGCAAGAAGCTCCAAGAAGCTTATTGGCAGCAGATTCGCCAAGGCATCAAGTCCTGCTGATCGGCGATTACCATCGGGACCCAATGCAAGCGAGCGAAGTACTCCGAATGCGCTCTCCAACATCTCACGCTCTTGTTTTTCCAAAGCAGTCGTACTCTCCTGGGTCGTATCAATTCCAGACGAACTCTCTGCGGATGCCAGGATCAAATAGAGACCTTTCCAAAAAACACGCGTAGCATGCATAATTTGCTCTTGCAATTCAGGACTTCTGCAAAGGGACGACGCGATTTCAAATGACATTTTCTGAATACGCCACGGTTGGATGTTCTCGAATGAAAGAATAACATCATCTAGCAAGGAGTACACACGCTGGGCATACTTGAGTTTGCTTCCTCCGTTCTGGGATGGGTACTCTGTCGCCGTAAAGAATGAGTTGTTGTCATCATCCCCAAAACTGTTAAAGTCAAATGCTTTCGATGGTGGCACCTCGCTGGACGTACTGCGATTTCTTTCCATAAGTGATTCCACCCCTTCTTCGGATTCGAGAATAAGTTTCAAGATGAAGAACATGCTCTCCTTCTCTTCCACGTCGTGGCCTGATGCGCAGCTTTCCACTAAATCGAGAATGGTATTCCAGCAATCTTCAATTTTTACCACCAGCGGGCCATTCTGCGGTGCAACAGAGAGCAGCTGTTGCAGCACTTTTCGTGCAATACCTCGAAATTTGGACTCGCGTTCCGATCGAGATGATAGCACGCGAACGAGCAGGTCAAGTGTCGAAGACTCGAACGAAAAGAATTGATAGCCGAACTTTTCAAGCAACTGTAGTTGCGCTTTCAAAATACGCTCGATAACTTCGTCCGACGATCGCTCACCATTAGCTTTGTTTTTGTGCTCAAGCGCAGCAGAAAGCGAGTCGAACGCATGGCGAACTGTCGCAACTTCGATATCTTGATGGCACAATTCCCGATAACGCGAGCGCAAAGCAGACGACGAGTACGTTGTATCTTCACTCCAGCCAAATACTTTGTACGCATCCGAGTGATCCATATCGTCATCCAAACCATCCGCTTGGCGCCGTGCTAAATATCGCCACTTTTCCTCAATACTTTTCATCAGGTAAACGGGATCGTCCACCTCTTCAGCCTCTGAATTCGACTGGTTGAATGTAGACAGATAGAAACCGCTGCAATAAACATCGCCAGACAACTCGAGGTACGAAATAGGAGGAATCGGCGTGTACTCGTACCTTGCTGCAACAGTTGTCTTCAAGCTATCTTTGAACTCCTGCAGGTGCTCATCCATCATCTCTTGTAAGTGTAACCTCATTGGCGAGGACCACAGCGCACGTTTGTCGTGCTTGCGACCGCAGTACACATCTGCAAATTGCTCAGGTGTTTCCGAGTCCAGGAAACTGATGAGAGATTCAGGAAGTATGTCCGTTAAATAACTCTGGCCGGCGAACCGCTCAGATGAACTTTGAGAACGATGAATCCTTTTGAGTAGTGTTGCCTCCGGGACGAAAGCAGGTACCTTCTCGGACCCTCTCGTATTTGCAGCCGTTGACAGAATGAAATAGAAGGCTCCGTACTGGTATAGCTCTTGTAATTCTTCATTGCTCAGAGACATTAGCATTTCGCAGACATATCGGCGAACGTTAGGCTCATTTACCACCAGTTGCTGAACAAGCAAGGCTAACGAGGACGTGTTAGCCACAATAGTATTGACCAAAGCGGGCGGCCACAGATTTGTGTTTCCAGCACATACTGAGCGCTGATCTTTAATCATGAAGTTCCGCAAAGTCTTCAAGGCGAACGCTGCACAGCTTGTGTCAATAGGCTCGTCCGTAAGTTCCATCCAACGCAGCTCCGGAAATTCAAACATCGACTTCCATATGTGCTCGTCATGATCATGCGTAGAGCAGCAACAAATATACAGAGCGTCAATTTGCCGATGTCGAATGAACGGGTCAGCATCCAAATATTCTTTCAACCCGTTTGCTGAAAACGGGCCTTTAACCACACTTCCGTCTTCCGTTTCCCCAACTGCCTTCAACCTGATGCTCCATTTTAAAGCAAACCTCGTCTCGTTGTAGAGGGAAAGTTCTGCTATCGGCACCGAGGAGGTTTCATCAGCCTCCGACACGTTAAGCGAGTCCATCATCGGTATATCACCAGAATCGTCCAGCACGCCACTTCTTAAAGCTGGTGTCTGGCACCGGTGCGCCAGCACGGACATATACAGTAACACTTGGATGTGGTTCTTTGTACACAACTCAGCACAAGCGTCACCAGACAAGCTTAATCCGGACATTAGCTCGACGATGTCTTGGATCTCACTCGCCAGGTACGAATTTCGCAGCAACTCGGTGAGGAACCTAGCTCGGTGTTTTGTAATTGGCCGGACCTCAGGAAATACGTGAGCGAGCTCAATCAGGATTTTCAGCATGGAATGACCATGCTGCTCGTTTCCTGTTCCCCCATGAAACTGTGGAAGGCCATTGCTTCCACTAGCAGACCAATCGTTTGTTCCTGATAGCGGGATATTATTCAGGTGGAGATGCTCCAGCCAACACTGATAGACCTCGCTAAAAAACTTCGCTGGGTCCTTGGCAATATCCATGCTGGCAAAAAAGAGGCTGCTAGAATTTTTCAGCTTTCCACGATGTGTTCCTGCATCGATTGAACGGACAGTTTGGGCAACTTCCGTCAACTGCAACGATCCATCGTTTATCCTTTCCGTGATAACGCGCAGGTAGAATCGGTCAACTTGAAGCTCTTGAGCAATGCTCTCGTACCTCACAGAAAACTGCGCGTGATTCCACTTAGGTTCACTGCTTCCTTTTCGAGATACCGCCAAGGAGAACGCAGCTGCTTGGTTAGTTTTAAATTGGTCGAACTCGTCAATCGCCGATTTAAGAGCAGTCTTTAATTCAGCTCGCGTCACTTCGTTCCAAATCAAGTCGGGCAGCAAAAAATCCTTACCGACCATACTGGATAGAAGAGCCATATCTGTCGATGACTCACCAGGATAATTCATACGCGAAGCATCTTCCTTGACTCGAGCTTCTTTGACAGAACCACTAGCAAACAGTGTTCCGATTTGGAGCTGCATGCGACGAATGAACCATTCTGAACCATCGACCTGTTTCTGGAGCTGAAGCCGGGTTTGCCGCCGCACAGACTCCGTTTGCCGAGCTCGTTGCTTTTTCAACAATTTCCGTACCATCGGACTCGAAATCATTCGAATGAAACCATGGGGAAGGATCCTCACTAGCATTTCATGAGAGGCCTTGTGATGAGTTACCCAGATACTTGCAATGTATTGATAGGTCTCCTTTGCATTATCGGAAGGGTGAAAAAACGCCTTGTGCAGATGCTTTATAGTCAGCCCAGAATCCAGAGCCAGATCACAAATGCGTCGTCGAACTTTGTGATCGCCGTGATCAACAATCACCTTTAAGACACAAATAACAGCCGCAGACAACCCTGCGATCATATTTTGCGACGCAAGCTCCAGTAGTAGTGCATATTTCCCTCCCAAAGCCTTCACGATGGCATCGAAGTGATTGTTATCGGTGCTGTGGCGAGATACGACCAGCACATCAAGTACCAATTGCAGCACGACAAGCGTAGAGCTTGGGTTGCGTTGCTCCAGAAGGTCAGTCAGTAGTGAAATCAGCTTTTTGTGCTCGAAGACTTGATATCGAATAGCTTTCTCGGCAGAACGGTGAGCATTTGATCGTGATTTATCGGCAACCAGTGAATGCAACGCGTTAACAGCCCACACTGTTGCGATAGGGTCCCCCGATACAAGTATCTGAGCCAGCGTTGGAACCAGAACCATAGCACCACCGTTCGACTGTTCCATCGCAATTCGGTAGCACCCGTCATTTATACGACAAAAAGCTTCCAAAATGACACAGATCTCGTTTGCCCGAATCGGAGGCTTGCACGAATGCTCGAGCTGCAGCCCAGATAACAACACGTTAGGAATGACAATACATATCACGAGATTTCAAATACCTACGTACAACGTACCAGATTATTCAATCCGCGGAGGAGGGAGCCGTACGACAGCTTTTCCAAACGCCCACGCATTAATTTCCCCGCGAAATCCTCCATTTCAACGTTCATGTTCAAGCTTTCCAGAGCAAAAGTAACCCGATTTGTGGCCGATGTGATACTCACGCCTTCCCCAGTCATGGTTTCAATCTCCTTTTCCAGGACCGTGTGAGTGGGAATGTACAGTCCGTCACTGTTTAGGTAGAGAAAGCGCTCATGTTCATCCTTCAGCAGAGCCCGAGCGGACATTCTTGGGTTCAATTTTGGGAACTCTCTGCTCAACGAAACATCCAAGTTATCCACGTAGCGATATCCGTCGTATAGTGCCGCCAAAAACTTTTCCACGTCGTAAGGCACATACACGACGCGACTACAGTCTGAAAACTCCAATGCAACCATCGCTTGAGTATCGTCACTCCCCAGTCCTGGTATCACTACACGTCGCAAATCCTTCAGATCGTATATCTTCTTTGAAGAATTTGAGAACTCTTCAATGGTGCCATCAACGAAGCAAAGTTTTTTCTTTCGCAAACGCGTTGATCCGTGCCTGCCCGTCCGTCTTTGAACATCAAACAAATCGTTTGACTGAAAAGCGGAGTGATCCATTGGCGTTTCGACATGCTGTTTTGGAAGCTTGTCTCGTGTTGTAAACCGAAGGTGGATGCCAATAACTCCAGCCAGAGCCCTCATTTTCTCCACGATATCGCTGCTTTGATCGGAGTAGATGAACTTCAGCTTCTTTTTTGCCGTGAGTATGAACGCGTCTGGTATTGTTGTTGCTCGAGTGACCTCCTCAATCGTGCGGTACTCAATTTCACGCGTATGACGCCCCACTACTTGGACAGCAATCAGAGCACGGGGCGTTAGATAAAAATTGGTCTTTTCTCGTTGGCCATCTGCAGTGCCAATAAAGCCACTGAACTGACAGCAGTCAACGCTGTACACACGCTTGAATTCCTCAAAGTTGCCCACCAAATGACTCATCAGCTCCTGCAAGAAAATATTGCGGCATCGGTAACGGAGTCGCAAGAATACGGGGTCATCATACTGATCAATCCCCATCTTCAGAGCGCCACACGCCGCCTCGAGAAATTGCCGGTATTGCCGAAGAAGCACTTCTGGATTCTGGACCACTACCACATTTGATCCAGCCCCAGCAGTACCACTCGATGAAGACCCTGCCGACGATAACGTGTTGTTGCGGCTCGACGAGAAAATGTTCCTTCTGGACGAGTAGATATTGTGACGAGAAGACAGTACCGGTGCTCCACGCTGGCTGCTGGGGACAAAATTGAGCGTTTCCCCAAAACTAAGTGTTTGGCGAGGGACTTGACCGTCATTTGATCGAAGCGGCGACCCCATGTTACCGAAGTGTAAAAAGGCCGGGTTCTTCGTCATCCGGCTCAAAATACCCACGCACGCCTCAACAGTTGCCAAGCCTGGAAAGCTGAAAAGGATTCGGAGCATCATTCGGTACTTAGTTGCCAGGTGCTGGTACAGCGTCTCAGAAAGTTTCCGCTGTTTTTCAACGTTCGCCTTCACCAGCAACAGAATAAATTGACACAGCTTCATCGTCGGCAGGTCAGAGAGGAAATATCCCGTCTACGTCAGATGACAAAAAATAGAGATTAGAGCGTTATCTTGTTGTGAGGTATCTGCGATTGGACTTACATGAGTGTCTTCATCCAGCATGGATAGTAGCGTCATCATGAAGAGACTGTTGGACAGCAAGAGCTGTCGACACTGAAGCTTGTGTGCCTTTGACTCCATGAGCCGGCTCAGCACCATGAACATCCAATAAATTGCAACCGAGTTCTTGCTAACCAGAATCTTCGATATCATACCAAGATACTCGTCTCCACGCTGTATATAACGCAAAAACAAAGTGAGTCAGCTAGTCTATATTAATTGATGCGCAATTCCAAGTAAAAAGATTAGCGTACCTCAGTCAGAATTTGCATGAATTCGTTTATTGCAGGAGGCGCGAGCGTCAGACGGTAAATAGATTGCAGATAGGTGCCCACAAAATCATGCGCTGCACCGTGACGATTGACAATGTCATACAGCTCCCGAGCAAGCACATACAAAACCTTTTCGTACGGTTTGTTCGGTTGTGCGATCACTCCGGAAGTCGGCGTATTGACATTAAGCTCCACTGCCAAAGAGTGCATCTCTTCATCAAGACCACGAGGAAGTTGCAGTTGCGTTCGCGCAGTCTTACGATTGCCGAGCACCGCCAGTAGCTGGAGGATATTCGACTGCGCGACTCGGAGCTCACGATCCATCACGTTAACGTTCGGCACAATATTCGCGATCTTATTGCCTTCTTGCAAAATGATCTTACGCGGAATCATGCGCACCCAGTCTGAAACTTCGCTCATCTCCACATCCACCTGGTAGTTCCCCAGCGCGTGACACGACGCCAACAGCTCACACACAATCTTCTCGCGCTGGGCAGAATAGTACTTGCGCTTGACACCATCCACGTAGACGACCTCAAACGCCTGTAGCGTGTCTTGGTACATGATTAGACTGTAAATACGCGACAGAGGGCGACTGGAGATTACTGTCTTCGCGTCCGCATACTCCGTAATGTACTTTTCCGAAACCGACAGTGTCCTCGGAGCAGCAGTCGATTCGTTCAACTGCGAAACCTTCAGCACTTGGTATTCAAACGACACACTGGTCGCCAAGGAAGTTTTGCCGTCGTCTTTCAGCGCTGCTTCCACTGTTTTCTTGCGGTACTCGTTGATCTGCATTCCGTAGGCCTTCATGACTCTGTTGATCGCTTGCGCCAGCTCCGTGCGTCGAGGCACAATGAAGAGACTGGAGTTGTCCGAGTGGTTCAGCGCAATAGCCTCATGGTCGTCACAGATGAGGTCGATAGAGACCAGACTCGTGTACGGGATGTGGCTCATGAGGTCTCCCTCGGTATCTTTCTGGTAAATGCCGTCCGGACGGATCTCCACCACACACTTCGACTGCACGCCGCTCTTGTGGTACTTGAGACTCTGGAACGTATGCGTCTGCAGCTCTGGCGGCGTAGGCCGAGCATTGGGCATCTTGGCGTAGTGCTGGCTGCGCAGCCGCATGAGGCACACGAGCACCTCCATGCGGAAGTGACAGCGGAACACCGTCTTCTTGATGCGGTGGCGCGGCGTGTGGATGACGAAGTCCGTCTCGCCCTCCAGCACGTTGGCGCCGTCCACGTCCTCGTAGGGCCACGTGTTGGTCACGTGCTGGTTCTCGCGGTCCACCGTGGAGAACGAGTACTCCCCAAAGCACAGCACGCGCTCCTTCACCACGAAGCTGCCCACCTTGTGCACCATGAAGCGCGCGAGCACGCGCTTCATCTCCATGGCAGCCTGCGCTCCCTCCTCCTGCCGCGCCGATTGCCTTCTGTCTGTCTCGCTGGATTTCTCGAGCTCCCTCCTTCTCTCGCCTTCCTTCCAGCAGGAGCGATCCTGCTTGCGCCGTCCCTGGTCTGAGTGCAAGTGAGCCAACCCAATGCGGCAGAGAGCGCGAAAGGTCGCAACTTCAACTAAGTACGATCTGACCATCACTCTGCATTCGCTCAGATGGTGCGATCATTTCGGCTTGGGCGAGTACTCGCATTATGCGCTGGTACTGCGTGCATCCTGGGCTGCCGTTGCAGGCGGAGCTGCGCGTCCGCGCGGCGCCCGACAGTGGCACTGCCGAGCGCGCACGTGTGTCTCAAGGGAGCGCTATAGCTGCGTGTTCCCCCGTGTTCCAAGTGGCGGGAGACGCTGCTGACGACGCGCCCATTTCGTGGCTGCAGGTGGCGTACCAGGACGCGGCGTCGGGCGAGACCGAGGGAGGATTCATGATGGCCTCGCTGCCCGACGGGACGCCGCTGCTGGCGCCCTGGGAGACGACGGACTTCTGCGGCTGCTGCGAGGTGACGGACCCGGCCGCGCTGCTGTTCGATGAGTCGAAGGAGACGGCGCAAAGCCTTGGACCCGTGCAGAGCGTCAATCTCCTCTACTGCATGATGGAGGTGCGCGGGGGGAGGGTCCGGATCTTCCACCCGACACTGCAGAGCGCGTGGATCGACGCGAAGGACGTGCACGTGGTGTGCTCCAGGCTCAAGCACGACTTCTGCAGCAGTAGGTGCTACTTTTGGTGGGGGCAGGCAGCTGGTGTCCGCGAGTTGAAGAGCTAATTTGGTTGTCGTCTGTTGTGCTGTGCTGTAGCTGCCCATACATTCTACGAGCTGAACGAGACCCTGCCGGAGGAGGCGCAGATCGCGATACGAGAGTTCCCGTCCAAGGAGGCGCAGACAGTGGGGCTCCTGAGCCGAGGAGAGACGCTCGAGGTTACGGTTCGGAGTGGTAACTGGCTGAAGATTGCTGGGGGCAGTGTTGACAAAGCGTGGATCATGTGGCGAACAGACGCGCTGGAGCTGCTTCAAGAAGCACCAGACGTATGCTCGGGAAACTGCGAGAGGTTGGATATGAAAGCTGATAACAGTGGAGGCCTACAGGACCAAGGTGCTACCATCGACAACCAGACAGAACCGCCCTGTCCACATGAGGTTGCTGAGGAGAGTGCAACTGGTATGGTGCCCACTCCAAACGCTGAGATTGATGCCGCACCAGAGGTCGATGCAGCAGCCAGTGCTGCTGCATCGGTTGCGATGGATGACGAGGCGTCCGCGGTTGCAGGCGACCTCCCTGCTACAAACGATGCCATCGATACGGCTGAAAATGCAGAGATCAATGATCCTTGCCAAGATAATGATGGCGCTTTGCCCAATGGCACCAAGAGCAAGGAAAATGCTTCACGCGATGGAGGGTCCATAAAGGCTGATGGATCGTTGGACGATCGACCGATTCGGTCGGCATCTACAGCTTTTATTGCGACGGAGGACGCGGAGGTGGCGCAGGTTGGGCCGTCGTGGGAGGATCGACCGATTCGGCCAGCGCCATCTCTACCTGCAGTCGCTGGCCACGATGATTCCACAACTGCAGAGGTGAAAACTGAACATGTTGATTGTGGAGGTCAGGATGGGAAAGCAATGGAGCCTGTGCGAAAGGATAACTTAGCGGCGTTTGACGGCAACTTGGTCGAACCTCGAGCTGGGAGGATCCAGCAAAATAACCACTACTTACATCCGACGAACCCGACTAATGCTTTTGAAAGGCGTTATACCGAGTCTGAAACTACGTCGGGAAGTGAAAGTGGTGAAATCGCGTTTCTCGGAGGCTTGGAAGACGTATTTGATCCTGTCGATGAGCTACTGCCTGCTATGGCTGAAGACATCATACGAGAAATTGATGAGGGTATTACGGGGGTGTTGTCGGCTGCAGCGAGCGAGCCAGTATCAATTGGAGCGGCAAGCGTTGACGGAAATCTACATGATGCTAATCAAGCTGCTCTGGATAAAACACCCTTCGACAATGGCAGTCCGTCCGATGGCATCTCGTACCTGCAGCATTTCGGCATCGGAAAGTATTGCGAGCACAAGCAGTCCCTTGCAGCCGGCAGTGACGAGTTATCACAAGCAATGTATGAAGCCAACCAAGACGACTCGGACCTCGTGTTCCAAGCACTTGTAGGCGACGAGCCCCTGAGTGATGATTGGTTCCACGAGGTATCCTTGCGAGACCTACAGGCTGGCCCACATCTGAGAGCTGGGCCGAAAACAACGTACGATTTAATCATGGCCAATGCGAGCCCAGATGACATCTTGGAGGCGGAACTTCTGGACGATGAAGACGGAGACTTCGATCTTATCATGTCCTTCAAGTACCCAGTGCCCAAGCGGCGGGCGATTGAACCCAGGAGATCTCCATCTCTCTTCAGAAGAGTGCCTAGTGCTCCCACCGGAATGTCCGCGATTGAGACGAAAACCGCGATCTCGCCTGCAAAACCTTCAAGCGAAAGCGACTTGGACTCAGACGATTCGCCCTCCGGATCTCGGCAACCGAGCCCAGCCAGCCATCGCGCGTCGATATCCGCCAGAACATCTCCGATACCTGCCAAGTCTACTACGCCGCTGAAGAGTGTACTGCCGAGACAGCCTGTTGGCCCGCCCTCCTCGCCGGTACCACCAGCAGGCTCAAGACTGATGCAGCGGAAGTCCATTGCAACTCCAAGCAGCATCCGCAAGCCACCCAGCTCACTCTTGCGACCTCGTTCCTTCGTGCAGTCGTCGCAGCCAGCAGCGCCAGCAAGCCCTGCGCTATCGAAGCCAGCCGCGTCCGGTCTGACAGCACCGTCTCGGTCCTCCATTCCTGCAACTTCAACTTCGTCCATCGCAACCCCAACGAGGTCGCTGCTCCAGCGGAGAAGTATGCTCTCAGCGCCAAGCCCTGCGAAGACCATTGCCGCCCCGAGCGCTACGAGGAGCAGCATCACAGGCTCGATCCCGAAGCCCACGGAGGTGAGCAGCGGGCTGCAAGCGCCGCGCAAGTCGTTCGGCTTTGGACGTCCGTCCGGGCTGACCAAAAAGACGTAAGTACACGTGCGCAATGGCGAGCTCATGACGGTCAGGAACACATATTTATCGCCTGCAAGTCGTCAGTCAGCTACCAAAGCTCGCGCGTGTGTGTAAGTAGAGAAGCATTGAAGCACCTGTGACTCATTCGCGTCCTGATCTGCGTCCGCTAAAGTACGTCCTCCACATAGATACGAATTCGCCTATCGACTTGGGTTTGTATGGGGCAGATGGGCATACTATGTGCAAGCCTTCTCGTACATGTCGTACTTAGCCGAACTTGTCGGACTTAGCCGAACAGCCCTCCTCAGCCGCTCGCTGTGCTGCGCGCACCCCCGGGATTCACGGTCTCCAGAAACGCGTTGGCCCCACCGCTCTAATTGCCCCCACCCCTTCGTCCCGATGCTCGCGTCGTCGTCCTCCAAGCTCGCCGCCCGCGCGTCGCGCTCGCTGTTCACCAAGGCCAGCGCCATGCCCAGCGTGGCTCTGAGCGAGGAGTTCCCGTCCGTGCCCAAGTCGCAGCCGCAGCCCGCGGCCGCTGCCAAGCTCACCACGTCGTCGGCCTCGTCCGGCCTGGCGCTGGGCTCGGACGACCGCGCCGCGGCCGTGGCCACCATCGGCGTGCAGCTCAACACGGGCTCGCGCGACGAGACCGAGGAGACCGCCGGCGTCTCGCAGCTGTTCGCCAAGATGGCGTTCCGCGCCACGCAGAACCGCTCGGACCTGCGTCTGTACCGTGACATCGAGGCCCTCGGCGGCGTGGTGAACGCCCAGGCCGGCCGTGACTTCGTGCGCTACAGCGTGAGCGTGCTGCCCGACCAGCTGGAGGCGGCCGCCGAGATCCTGGCCGAGACGACGCTGGCTCCCAAGTTCGCGCTCTACGACGTGGACGAGCAGAAGAAGGTGGTGCAGGCTGAGTTCGAGAAGATCGCTGAGGACGCTTCGGCCTCGCTGCTCGAGGGCATCCACGCCGCCGCTTTCTACGACGACGTGACGCTCGGCCGCCCTCTGGTCGCCGCCGAGAACCTCGGCGCGCTGAGCCCCGAGACGCTCTTCGCCTACTACGACAAGTACGTCAACACGGCCAACGCGGCCCTCGTGGGCGCCGGTGTGGCCCACAACACGCTCACGGACCTGGCCAACGCGTACTTCGGCGACCTGACCAAGGGCAGCAAGGCGGCCAGCGCCACCGCCAAGTACGTCGGCGGTGAGACCCGCGTCAAGAAGAACGGCAAGTTCACGCACGTCGCCCTGGCCCTGCCCACGGTCGGCCGCGACTCGGCCGACTTCGGCGCCTCGCAGGTGCTGCGCGCTCTGCTGAGCCTGCGACTGAACAACAAGAAGGCCTCGGCCTTCCTTTCCAGCTACAGCGACGCCGCGCTCGTGGGTCTGTCGGGCTACGCCGCCCCCTCGGAGGCTGGCGCTCTCGTGGACTCGTTCGCCGCCCAGCTCAAGAAGGCTGCTTCGGCCCCGGCCACCAAGGAGGAGCTGGCTGCCGCCAAGACTACGGCCGCGCTTGAGGCTCTGGAGCAGCAGAGCACGCTGAGCCGTGTGGGCCTTGCCGCCACCACGGGCGTCGTGCCCAAATCGGCGTCGGAGCTAGTTGAGGGTGTGTCTGCCGCTAAGCTGCAGGAGCTGGCCCAGAAGGCGCTGAAGGCCACGCCGTCCGTGGCGGCCATTGGCAAGCTGTCGACCGTTCCCCACGTCGATGCGGTGGCCAGCAAGCTGCAGTAAACGACCAGTACGATCGATCAAGAGTGAGGTACATACATCAGTTTAGCAACCGGAGCTTTTGGTGGGGCATGTTGAAGTGACCTTGGATTGAATGCGGATTGACAGGACGGCGTCGAGTGTGGAAGGCAGAGGCGCGGTAGAACCCTCGGGTCAGGAAGGGGATATACAGCGCCGACGTACACGCCGCTAGCCTAGCGCCAAGGTGATGGAGCGTGCGAAGAGCGCACTAAATGCAAGAAAAAAAGAACTTTTTAACGACAATGCTCGGTGAAAGGAAGCCGCTGTTCTGTCTCGCGATGGTGGAGGTTCGTTCAGTCAGTCAGTCGTTCAGGAGCTGACAGACGACTGTAACAGGAAAAGCAAACAGGTGAGTGTTCAAGGGTTTACACGTCGGTAAAATGCTTGCAACCTTACCAGATTTGTCGGCGGCGTTGAGCTCACTTGGATACGCGATGTTGAAGTGGACAAGCAAGTGTCCAAACTCTCCTGGTCGCTGTCGGATCGGCATCCCCTCGCTCGGAATCTTCCAGACTGTGGTGGGCTGTACAACAGCTTCACGGTTGAGCTTGACTGTGTGTCCATCGAGATGCTCAAGTTCCCCGGAAAAACCCACCAGCGCCTGCAACAGCGGATACGGACTCGTCAATGCTCACTCCTCGTGCAATCCAGTCAGATGATGTTTGATAGCGTTCCTCGAGCAGCGATATCTCCAGCGTCAGCTCTAGGTCGTCTCCTCGCCGTGTGAAAACTGGATGTGGGGTCATTATCTGCGAAAATTAAGATCAGTTGACGCTGCCTGCCTCAGTTTCATTCTGATGGTTGCAGTCGTACCACATGCACAACAACGTGCCCAGGAACGTGGAGTGGGGCCTGGTCTCCTTTGCGCGGTAGGAGAAGCTCGTCACCATGGCGAACACCTCTTTCGATGTGCACGTTGAAGGTGGTGGACTCTCGTCGCAAGCCATGCCCATTGCAGACCTCGCACTTGCTGTTTGCAACGCGACCTCGACCGTGACAAAGCTGGCAATTGGATCGGACACGTTGCTGGAAGGGCCCAACTCGCTCAATAGCCTCGTATATCCCCGTACCTTTGCAATTAGGGCATTGGTGATACCCGGCGCTCATATCATCCCCGGTGCCCGCACACTTTGGACACACGATCGTCCGATCCGTGTCGATCTACAAGGTTGATGGAGGAGTTACCACCGACGTACAGTATTACGACGCACGCGCACTCCTCTTCCTCACCTCAACATGATCACCAGTGTAGAGCTGGGCGAGACCTACTTCCACGTGAACATGCTTGGGCTGCACCTGCGGCATCCCTGCATCCGCCATATACATGCTACAACATCATCGATAGCTCAGTACTGACAATTGACCAGTGCACTTACGCTGTTCCAGTCGTCGAGCGAAGGCAGCTTCGTCAGCGCGCATCATACGCACAACAAGAACTCCGCATACCGCCAACCCCCCGCAAACAACAGCGTCACGAGCACGATCGTGACTGTGCTGCTTTCCTCTGCAGTCGAGACTTTCTGATCGTCATCCTCTTCCTCTTCCTCCTCGTCCTTGTCGCCTTCGTCGTCGAGTTTGTCCAGGTTGGAGCAGGAAAATGCTGCGCGTTTGATGCCGCCTGCGCTGTCCAGCGGTGGATCGAGCAGTGAAGCTCTCGTGCTGTCGGCCATTTGAGCACCTCCAAAGGGACCAAGATATAGCGACCACACGAACAGTCACTGAAGTTACTTGGTCCATACTTGAGATGATGGTTCAACTGCGTCTATTAGCCCCCAGGGCACCTTTGAATCTACTCGTCCTTCAGGTAACTGGACTCGTCTGCTGGCCATAGCGCTCCCCAATGCGCTTTGCGCGAAGCACGGTACACTTCGCGGATCGCCTTACCTCTGGTGACACTGCGGCGCTCCATCGATCCCTACACACAACAAATAGATCCAAGTGTCAATTAGCGACTCCTTGTGACGCTGTTAACGATCAATCACCAATGCTCGCTTACCTCAGGAGTGCACAAGTCCAGATGGACGTGACGAGTTGCGAGCAGGGGGCCTCTCAGCATGCGAGCAATGGGCTTTTTCTTCCTCGCAGCAGCATCTTCCTCGCTCCCCTTGTGGGTCTTCTGCATGATCATGTACGAGAACTTGGAGCCCTTCTGTCCGTGCCAGCGCTTGGTGGTGGCCTCACGAGGGCGATTCACTACTGGCGAGCGCTGCACGAAGTGGCACCACGTGCTTCCTGCCGCTGGGCACTGTTATGCAGAAAAGTTTAAACTTAGTGCTTCCTTCCAGCAACAACAGACACTGCCCGAAGGTTCAACTCACCTCAAAATGATGCGGGCATGGTGCGATGATACGCACGCCCTCCTTCCCGTCTTCGTCTTCCTTCACCGAGTCCAACACGAACTGACGCGCCGAGCGCACCTGGTGCGACCCCCAGGGGCTGCCGCGGTCCACGACCACAAGACACCCGTTCTCGTTCAGCAGCTCCCACAGCGCCGAGGTGGTCGCCACACGCTCAAAGTCGTTCGTGATATCCGAGAAGACGTAGCTCACGACGATGAGGTCGTACTTGGTGCCCGTGTTGATATCCCTCGACATGTCGGCGATGCTGCGCCGCACACTGAGGCCCGGGAAGCCGTCCAGCAGCACTTCGGCCGCGTCCACCATGGACTGACTGGGCTCCACCACGCGGTACTTGTTCAGCGACTGGTCGTAGAAGTCCTTGGCCACCCACGACGCCGTGCCCGGGCCGGCGCCGAAGTCCAGCACCGACTTGGGCTTGAAGTCGGGCAGCCTCTTCTGCAGCTCGGTGAACACGGCGTGCGTGCAGGCGTAGGTGGCCTCCATCTCGAAGGCCACGAAGGCCAGCGTCTCGGCCGGCCCGTAGGCAAAGGGCGGGATCTGCTGGTCGCGCTCCATGGTCCAGCCCAGCGGCGTCTTGCTCATGTCCAGCGGCAGCTTGCGCGTGTTCCGGGGGTCCCCCACGTGCTTCTGACGCAGCGTCTCGAGCTGCGAGTGCGTGCGGCTGCGCACGACGGACGTCAGGCGATCCAGCAGCTCCGACGGCATCTCCACGCGCTGCGCGAGGCCGTTACGCGACAGCTGCTCAATGTCGGCGAGCAGCGACGGCGTGCGCGGGTCGGGCGTGGCCGCCTTGGCGCTGGCCTTGGCCCGGCGCAGGCGGCGAGCGCGCCGGTTGGCGGCTGGAGAGGAGAAGGAGGCGGAGAGCGCGGACGGAATCGCGGCCGGCGCCAGACGAGCGTTGCCGCCTGCGGCGACGCCATGCGCACTAAGCGCCCGCAGCAGCGTCAGTCGAGACAGCATTGGTGGCGGCGACTTGGACATTCGCGTGGCGAGTAATTGGCCGGTCCGGGGCGGAAAAGTTAGCGAAGAAAAGGCATTGTTAACTACGCGCAAACTTGTGTAAGGGGCCCAGTATGCAAAAGAGATCGTTGCAGAATTGCACAGATCTCTGCCGGTTTCCGAGTGCTTTTGCGCCGGCTCAGCTCGTCAAAACAGAAGTTTGCACGGGCAAACGCAACATTCACTCGGCGACTCTGAACTTCTCACGGAAACGTAAATTTTACTCGGCGAAGCAAAAACTTTACTCGGCGAACGGTGAAACTTAAATTTCACTCGATCGAAAATTCTCGTAAAATTGAAAATTTAAAAACGAAAATTCTCGTTAAAATTAAAACCAAATAAACGAGTTTTTTTTAAAAAACCGGTTTTTGAAGGGTTTTTCGAATTATATTTTTAAACGCCGGCGAACCCTCCTGAAAAATTGACTCGGAAAGTTGCAGGACAACAGAAAACGAGGGAAATATGTGGATAAATTACAGGTTGAAATTAAAAAAAGATGGAAGGGGGAAATTACAATTGATGGCCTCAGCTGAAAACAATTGTCGTACCCGACACCATACTGGTTAAAGCACAGGAGCAATTTGGTTGGACAGAGCGGGCGTTGCCCAAATGCTCTAGAACAGCAGTCATTTCCCAATGACCAAAGGACGGCAGAAGCACAGCAAACATGGTGGGAGGCGAGCTCGACAGTACAAGCGCTCTGCCCCCACGCATCAATTTCGGCTAGACGTGGTCATCTACTTTGAAACGAACAGCATGGCTTCCACGTTCGCAAAGTTCTTCGCGGATTTAACGGGGTCCCAGCGCCAAACCAAGCGTACAGGTAGTGCCACTTCCGACACCAGCTGGTGTGTATTTTTCATGCACACATAAATAGTTAGCAGGTATTACAATAGAGTTCTCTAATGTATGAGCGCACCAGCACCAAGTTGGCGTGGCGACCAATGCCGCCGCTCCGTTCGTTGATCACCGGCTCATCGGTGTGAGCCCCAGCGGCCATAGCACCCCAATAAAATGATAGCGCAAGCGATAAATTAACTATGAGACGAAGTTGTGAGTGAGCTGTTGTGGTTGAGCTCATCTACACTCGCTGAATGCTATCTGCGCTGCAGCACTAGTAGGAAGCTATAGACGCTGGTTTACTATCTACGCCAGCGATTTCTCACGGCTCCATCTACCAGTTCTTCCTCTGTCGTTTCTACTCCTATGTTCTCACTTCAGCGCGGGCTAACTGCTCCTCTGTCTACTACCTAAAGCCCTTCTGTCCGTTCTTGCGGCGAAGACGATGCCTACCTGCCAGCACCCCCATCCCCCTATACCTCCGCACCCAAGAGACACGTTTCCGCGTCCCTTGTGCTGCACTCAGAATCTTCGTAAGCCTCGCAAGCTTCGCGCGCGACGGCGGCGGCTTGCGGTTGATTGAGAGCCGCTCAATGCTTGGCGTCGATTTATTGTAAACCCTGCTAAAGATGATATCAAATTGTTAAGGATACTAGATTTGACAGGTGTCGGAAGTGAGAGTACATCCTGTATAAACATCTATATATGACGCAAACAGAAGGACAAGCTCCTCCAACTGTGCACTTCACCAGCGACGGCCAAGCAGCGGAAGGTTCACGTCGCTGGCACTGAGACGACGCTACCTGCTGGTACTGAGGTTCACTTGGTCAAGTGGATGAATTCATACCGTGCTCATGGCCTCTCCGTGTCAAACCTGATGATGAATCGGAAAGCGCTGTCCGTGGTCCGTGACGCTGGCGTCCCAGCACGTCTGTTTGCACAGGCTGGGTCAAAGGCTTCTTGCGTAGCCACCGACTAGCGCTGCGTGCACGTACCCGCCAAGGCCAGGTAAAACCGGCGGACGCCGACGCTGTTCTCAAGGATTTCAACCTCAAAGTCAAGCAGCGAATGGCAGAGCTGGGTGGCGACGTCGTGTACAACGCGGACCAGACACCTGTCTTCTTTGAGTACCTACCAAAGCTTACCATCTCAGCCAAACGGTTTGGGTTCGTTCTAGGGACAAAGGCAATGAAAGAGCAACCTGCACGCTATTAGGGTATTCGCTTGGAAAAAAGTACCCACCGTACCTAGTCGTCAAGACAAAGCCATCAACGGTGTCAACAATGCGAGCTGAGAGCGACAAGAAGAGGCGTGAATTCGGCAAACAGCTATAGAAGAAGATACAGCCGCTACAAGCAGAGCACAACGTCGTTCTCTACCGAAACGCTAACGGCTGATGGAACAAAGCCGTTACGGTGGTTTTCCTGCGCTTCAACTTTTCGGCAAGAGGTAACATGGACATACCCGTGCTGCTCCTGCTGGACGAGTTCTCTGACCACTGGACGGAGACCGTTCTGGCTTGCGTCAAGCAGCAACGAGGAGATAATCGGCGCGCCGTCTGGGACCCTATTGCGCGCTGGGAGGGTTCTCGGGTACTCCCCCTCCTCCCGAATTCAATGGTGACATCGGTTCCGCCTCAATACGACCTTTTGTCAGGCAATGATGATACTTTTTATGCAATCCATATACCCGAGTACCTTTGATTTATGCAACGATAGTAATTATCCTTTATGAAGGGGAAACTGTCGAATTAAAAATATCGGAATATGCCTGGTGGGTACGACACTTGCTATAGGGGTCCGCTAAGGAGGACCCTCATCGGGAGGGCCCTCGTAATAGAGTCGACATTTGGGAAACAGCCGGTTGTGACAAACGCACATTTGGGTCATTCGTAATAGGTACATGTACCGAAATCGCTCAGTGGAAATGATACCGTTGCCGACGATCATAGCTCTACTATAAATAAGCATCCGAGGCGAAGTTTACTTTAGACTACCGGCAAATAATAAGAGGGGTTGAGTGCTTGCCATTTTCCAGATCGCGTTGTGCTGATGGTGCGCCCTGCTTTCCCAGCGTCTGGCTACGCCGTGTTCTACCTGCAAGTTTTCCAAGCGACTATTGATGAGCTCTACTTAGAAGCAGAGTCTCGGACCTACAGACCTGTGTTTCGAGAAGTAGGCGGAGCCGAAGATGACATGTTCAGAAATCAATCGCGAGTTCAGCGCATGACACCTCCCCTTCGACGTGTTTCCGCTGCAATCCTTGAGGATGCAGCTACCCGCTACTCCAACTACAGACCCTGTGTGTTTTCGTACATGCACTCGCGACCTGGGGGTCTATACCAGGAACCTCATCAAGACTATGCATACGAAGTGCGAGCTGCTGTGCATGCCCGCTACCCGGGCAGCATTCCGGCTAGTGTTATTATTGCCATCCAACCCGGGACACGACTGCGGTTGTTTCCCCGCTGCTTTGACTTTGCCCGCCCTGAAATGGAGATTGAATTGGAGATCCCTACTGGATATGCAGCTGTGCTTCGTGGCGATTTATTTCATAGTGGTGTGGGGTATACTACTTCCGACTATAGGCTTCATTGCTAATTGTTTTTTCGAGACCTTGCTTGGAGACCAGACGTGGTGTCTAATTCGCTATTAGTATGCCAATACTGCGGTCGCACTGAACGTGTTTCAGCGCGAATTCGGCAGCACCGGTATTTCTGCCTGCAGAACCCGGATGGACTCGCGCATCGTATCGCTCGGCGGGAGCAAAATCGCCGCGGTGAGTATCCCTGCAACTATTGCAGCCAAGGTTTTGAGGTGCAAAGCACGCTTCGTTCTCATATTTTGGCTCAACACAGTTCGACCTCTAGTCAGAATGTTTAAGCTCAAATACATGTTCACTTAGGTAAATTTACTAGTGCGAATGCTTTTTGCTTACAAAAAAACTACGGCTTAGCAGAATATCTTATAAGACAAAGCGTACTATCTTGGTTACGATATGTACACTTTAATTAATTTGAAACCTAGAATTGTTTTAAAACACGCAGAGACTACTGCCACGTTCTGATGTATACCTCTATCACTTGCGCTGGAACCACTGCTAGATTCTTCGCCTCGATCGTTTTTACGAGGTAATTACCTGGCTGTCACATGTTATAAACATAGTTGTACCCGATAAGACACTAGAGCTGGCAGTGCTTCTTCGTCTTATCACCCCCCAGCATCGCTTCACCCGCGTTGTCGGCAGGCACTACTCTAAGAACACCAACATCTACTCCGAAACGTGCATTACTACCACATCCAGCATCCAACGTGGTGTCGGCAGACCAACGCACTACGAACAACAACACCTATCCAGACGCGAGTATTAATGCCTTACCGCCACTCTGATGCTCACTACGAGGCAGCTTTTGTCGGCTGCGCAGCAAGTGAGTTCTCAGCTAGTGTCTCGGCTGGAGTTTCGGCCGGTGTCTCGGTTGATGTCAGTGACCTGAGTTTTAGCGTTCTGGGTAATTTCGACGTTGATAGCGATGGAGTAGCCGCTAGCGTGAACGCTGAGGCGTACCTTGAGAATTCTGACGACGACGGAGATTGGGAAAGTGATGGCGAAGACGAAGACTCTATCATGGACTTGATACGAGAAGACTTCAACATCTCCAACGACGTCCACGAATTCGACTTTCCTGACTTCAATTTGGACGATGATCTACCTGTCTGTGATGAAATAGATTCGGAGTTGGACTGGGTTGACGACAAATTGCTGGCTTTGGTTTGTACTCATCCGCTTAATGAGGAGGAAAAGCGTCTCGGCAACTTAGCGGTGGTCGATGCGGATGAAGTAGTGCAAACGGAGTCCGGTGAGATCGGAATGAGTGGAACCCACCTTCGTATGGTGGACGAAATCTACATTCTTCCGCCACCACCTCAGCTTACGTACGAATCGCACGATGCAGCGGAGGCAGCGATACATCAGTGGACATTGGAGCACCATTACAACGTCTCTCGACGACGGGTTCGGTATTTACCTGGTACCAAAATTGTGTGGGCGTGCAACTATGAGTGTGATCGAGCAGGGTGGCCAAAGTGCACGCAGCATTTGGTGGATAGCGAGCGACAGAGGTCCATGCGTGGCTCGAAGCGTTGTGGATGCCCCATGCGGTTTAAAATGTGCGCGGTCTCTAAGTCTGACATCGAGGGACCTTGGAAAATTGTACACACTCGTGATAACAGCGAGGTACACAATCACCCTGCGGTAGACGATGTTCGTGTCCACACCGCACACCGGCAGCGTGCTGCAGCAGCTCTATCGCTTACTCAACAGAGTATGGAGGAAACTATTGTCGGTCAGACAGCTGTCGGTATTCCAGTGACCAAGATTCGAGCGGCCATCCTCCACAGCACCCCTGGTTCTCTTGTGCTCCCGAAAGATATCGGAAACCTCAAAATGAGGGCGAGGAAGCAGGCCATGGCGACGCAGACCCCGCTTGAAGCTCTTTTTTCTCTGTTGAACAATCACAAGTTTTTCTTCAGATATGAGGTCAACCCAGCCACAAACGAGCTTCTGTATTTGCTGTGGGCGCATCTGCTACACTTCGCCTGTACAAGTTACACTGCGATGTTCTGATAATGGATGGTACGTTCAAGACAAAAAAGTACGACCTGCCACTAGTGAACGTCATCGCGATGACTGGAATGAATACTGTTCTGCCCGTGGCGCAGTTTTTCTTACCTGGACAAAAAAACAATGACTGCACTTGGTTTTTGATGCGATTTCGCGAATTGATTGACGAGCATGTTATCCAACTTCCATCGGTCAATCTAACCGATCGTGAATTGGCCGTGATGAATGCTCTTGGCTCCGTGTTTCCTGAGGTTCCGTCACTAGTCTGCAGATGGCATCTGAACCAGAACGTAGGTTGGTGGGCACCCTCCGATGTGTTTCCGCCTGCGCCCCGCTTCGTGCTGGCGACTAATCGACAGTACCAAGATTGGCAAAACCTTGCGTATGAAGTGACCTGCGACGAGGACGAGACCTGGCGTGAAGACGAGCTCGTCTGGCCCATGGTTTGATATTTACTCTTGATCTGATTAAATCTGATACCTAAAATGATTGGCCATATACGGCTGACTATCATTCGAGAATTCCCCCTCCCTTCCCCCTTTTCCGAATGAAGAGGCGGGTGTGTGTGAATCGCACTGAGAAGGAGAAGCTTGCGCTTCTTAGGCGCTGGAAAGTAGATAACCCAGATTGGACTCAAGAAGAAGCCGCTGTCGAGCTTGAGGTCAAGGAATCGACTTTGAGAGGCTGGGTGAAACGCTACTGGGATGTTTGTGACAAAGAGGTTGGCTCAGATCGCAAGCGCAACGAAGGCGGAGGACGAAAACACAAGATGAAGCCGGACGAATGGAGAGTAATCGAATACCTTCATGAGCTTATGGAGGACAACGGGACGTTTGACGATGTGATGTTTTATTGCCGGAGCCTGGAAGAGTTCAACTCGGATTTTGATATTCCAGAGTCCCAAGCAACATGGGTAAAACGGTTTATCCAACGCTACACAGCACGTGTACCCCCTGACGATGGCGGTTTACCCTCTACTGACGGCGGTGCAACCTCAGGTGGTGGTGGTGTAACCCGTGGCGATGACAGTGAGCACGAGGAGAATGGAGGTGCTGGAGGCGTAACCCCTGGTGTCGACAGCGAGCGTGGTCAAAATGATGGAGTAACCACTAGGGATGATGGTGTAACCACTCGTGATGGCGGCGTAACCCCTGGTGAGGACAGTGAGCTCGAGCAAGATAATGGTGTAACCCCCGGTGACGGCGCTGTACCCTTCGATGGCTGTGGAGATGAAGACAGCGATGAAGACAGCGATGAAGACAGCTACGATAGCGCTGGATCGGATGAAAGCGATAGCAGTAGCGAGAGTATGGATTGTAACGAGTCCGAAGAGAGCGAGTATGAGGTGCCTACAGCTGCTAAGAAGACTTCTTTGCCTCGGAGGCAGTCTGCTACCAGGTCGCGGAAGCAGAAGCCAATATTGGAGTGGACGTGTGGTGATGATACGAGCTGAATCTATCGCGAGGACCTGGACAGCCTAATGCCGCATCAGACTTTGACAGAGTCCGCCGTTGATTATTTTGTGCATGGTTGCATGCCTCGGGAGAAGCCATTCCGTGAAAAGAACAAAGGAGAAAGCTGCAAGGGACGAGCGCCTCGCTGGTCACATAGGGAAATTTGACTGGGTATCGTACCGGTTTGTTATTCTTCCAGTCAACGGTAATAGTCACTGGAGCTTTCTTGCGGTTGAGAATCCCCTGCAGGGGGGCGTCATTCGGCTGTATCACGTTAATTCTGCTACAGAAGCGCATGACACGGCAAACGTGTTTTCTTTGATGCAGTGGTGGTTGGCGAAAGAGCGGGTCCCAGAAACAGCTCCGGTGGGGTCGGTTAAATGGAGTTTTCACGCCCCCCCTACCAAGCCTCAGCAGCAAAACTCTGTTGATTGTGAAATTTATCTGCTCTACTTCATCGAAAAGATATCCACAGCGATTATGAAAGATCGCCCGCATACGCTACGTGGATCAATGGATAAGTTGCGCTCCGACAAATTCAATGTCGAAAACTACCGTGCGCTTCTACATCAGCGTATTATCCGCGCGGCCAACGTAGCAAATAAGAAGAGTAAAATCCTATAAATATAAGTACCATGGCATCCTAATTACATTTCTTGCGCAGGTGTTACATGTACCTGCGCGCGCATGCTCTCAATAATATTGTTGTCTCGCTCAGAGCGAGTCGCTCTAGCTTTTGACCAGTCCATTTCCCAGAGCGAGTCGCTCTGTATGTAGCTACCGACCTGTCCATTTCCCAATCGTCGATCGTGCTATGGTTGCTCGTGCCCGTTTGGTGTGGTTGCTGTTGTACAAATCTGAGGTTGTTATCGTCCTTTACTCGTGGGTGATCATCATCGACAGCTGCTTGCCGTGTCCTTCCGCCTTCTTCTGCACGCTCTAAGAGCGTGTTCGCTACTAGCGAATCGCTAGGTAGCTGGAGATGGAGATGGAGATGGCCTCTCATCAACTCTATTTCTTGTCTTTTGATTGGTCAAAATAGTTTAGTTCACAACGTGACAACTGGAGAATTACCCCGTCTCCTTCTCCAGCTCCCAGACGTGGAGAAGGAGAAAGTAGCTGGAGATTGAGGCAGTTCAGCCGCACACACAATGGACGAAGAGGAAGCTGTACTGGTTGCTACATGCTCAGCTGTCGCACAGGTTGCAGTCCTCCTATCAGGAGAATCCGACGATGCGCCGCGAGGCCCTAAGGAACAGATTCGTACCGTGACCTCATGCTACAGTCAGCCGCGTATGCAAGTTGGATTGGAATCTTCGCTGCACCAAGCCGACTTTCCTACGGGTTGCTGGTTTACTACGAGATCAAGGTGTTCTGTTTGCTGCTACCAAAGTACGGCAGCATAGCTTTGAGAAGAAAGTTGCAGCCGCGCTTTACTTTTTACAAAATCAATTAGAAATCCTACACGTTATCATAGATGGCCTTGTACTTTACCTTTGACTTGCACTGGTGGGGTTTCACCTCGAGCCCCGAGACTAGATACGTTTCTGCGGAGACTAACATCCAGGCGGCGGCAAGCTGTTTCGCGCTTCTGGTGCCCTGAAAACGATGCTTGAGCGTGTCAAAACGAGCCCGCTGCAGAGCATCAGCTGCTGCAGTCGTCCACGCAAAGGAGGGTTGCTTCGTAGCGATAGACGTTTCACCAGTATTAGTCTTTTTCTTCTGATTCCGTTTGAGTAGTGGCCGGTGTCGCATACACAGTCTGGGAAAGAGCAACATCAGAGGCAGGTATGTCCAAACTGGCAGCAGTCAGCACGAGGTCGCCACTGGCTGACGGGAACGGAGGCGCAGCTCTCGGGGCAGCTTGGTCCATCTTGCCACGCGTCCGGTGTCTCGGGCACAGTGTTCTCGGCCGACGAAGAAACAGCAAAGTAAAGCGAGTCGTTGCAGTTGCACTGTGATTGGCTAATGTTACCTAGATGCGCTCTGTTGTAGCGAACAAGCTGGAGATGGAGATGCACCAACTCCCTGCACCAACTCCCTGCAGATATCCATCTCCAGCTGCGTAGCGAACACGCTCTAAGAGTTAGACACATACACGCCGCCCTCCAGGAAGTCCCTGGTATTGAGCATCGTGAACAAGTCGGAAAAACCGGTGGGCTTCAATGGAGCGATGGGGCAGAAGCAGCCATCCTGTTGCAGTCGGCGCACGTTCCGACAACAGGTAGGAGCAGTCGCTACCAGTGAGTCGACCAAGTGCAGTTTACAGTAGTTCTCTTCAACCTAAATTGATAGGTATCGTCTTCGAACCCGGAAAAGCTTCGAGCTGATATCAGTGGCACTAAAGTTGTTGTGGACAGCTTCAAGAGTACCTCTACGAAGCTCTGGTTCCCGAGAAGTGCGACGTCAAGCTTTCCTTGAACCTTCATCTGACATCCCCTTCTTTCTTCGTTGTACCGCTTCAGACCGTCTCGAAATGATCGATGACTTGGGCACGTCTGAATCAGACGTGCTCAAGTCATCGATGATTTCGTTATGGTCTACCGTAACATGTGTTGAGTCAACACGTGCGCGTTATACCGATGTAGTGTTGTGTGACTCACGAGAGTTTTGACCTTTGAAACATGGTCAATGGCCGACTCAACAGACAATGCCTTCAGCTGCATGAGGGACCCACAGCATCAAAGAGCACCTCCGGTGCCAGGAAGACCCAGGAAACCAGGACGCCAGCGATCCAGATACAGCGTCCGGCCGCCCAGCTTCTCCACAGTTGACTTCCACGTGGCTTTCCCACAGGCAGCGACGTCGATTTCGTCGATCTTGTCGCCTCCAGACATAATGTTGACCGTCACGTTCTTGGTGTCGGTGCTCTGGAAGTTGATGATCACCTGGCCGTCGCCCTTCTTGGTCAAGGACATGGTGCTGTTCTTGAACGCCTTCTGGGTCATGTTGAGCCCCAGCGTGTCCGGGTGCGTGCCGTCGTCGATCTCGCCCATGAACTGCGTCGGGCCGCAGATGGACTGGAAGTACTCGGAGATGAAACTCGAGACGCCGCTCATGTCGAAGCCCGTGACGACCCAGAAGTTGAGGCCCTGGTTCATCACCTTGTACGCGTACTCCATGGCCTTGTAGGACGTGCCGTTGTCGCTCTTGCCCGTTGTGATGAGGTTGTTGATGACGACACCGAAGGTCTTGCGCAGCTTGTCGCGCGTGGTGTAGGCCGTCTTCTCGTCGGACTGGGAGATCAGTAGCTCCATGCAGTTGCTGGTCACCGTGGCGATGTCCGTCTTGACGATGTCCGTGTCCTGGATCTTGACGCGCAGCTCGTCCTTGGTAACGCCGGGGTTCTGCTCCCTCAAGGCCTCGACGGTCGACCACGTGCGCTCCATGAGGCCTTGCAGGTCGTGGCCGCACGTCGAGTTGGACCTGAGAGCGTCCTTGAGGTATCCGATCTCGCCCTTGGTGATCTCCCAACTCGTAATGAGGCTGTCGTCGTGGGCCAGAACCTGGGACAGAATGAACTGCGAAGTGGCCATGATGCGGTCCGCCAGCCACCATTGGCGGGTTGTTTTTCCGCCCATACACAGCTTGATCGTAATAGGCAGTTCAACCACCACAGCGTTCGACTGATAGAGCAGCGCCATGATCTTGTCTTGAGACGCCTCGGGGTCCGCAGCTTCAATGGAGCGGATGTAGCGGTTAAGTGCCCGGAGCTCACCCACAATCATGCAGGAGCACATGACGGCGGTCCGCACGCCCTTGGCCATTTCCGAGAACTTGCCGAACCAGTTGTCCATGACGCCGTTGATGCCGACGTTGAACACGGAGCCGACCTTGTACAGCACCTCGCGTCCGCAGTCGTCGTACTGGCGGATGCACTCCATGCCGCACTCCACCGGGTACTCAATGGGGCATTCGGCCCAGCACGTGTTGGCCTTCTCGTTGCGGTCGTAGTTCGAGGGGCATTTCTTCATAACGTGCGCCTCACGCCAGCATGCGCTGTCGCCTTGGACGGAGCGAGGTCCCACCCAGTTGCGGTACACCGGCACGACGGAGCTCTTAGCAGTGAGGGGCGTTGCAAGCTCGTATGATGCGCCGGAGCCAACGGTGACGGTAGCCGAAGAATTCGAAGATGCACTCGACGACACTGAGATGGAGACGTCTGCCACCGAAGACTCACGGGACGACCGCAATGTCCTTGCAGAGCCGAAGGACGGCCGTGACGATCCAGGCGACAGCATCTTGAAGGCTTCAGCAAATGAGACGGAACCAGAACCCGATGCAGAGGCCGAGGCAGACAGCGCCTCGATGATCTCAGCAACAGACCCGGAGGGTCATTACTTTCTACGAGCCCTGGGGAGAGCCGGGCTCCTGGGCTCTTGGGTGAACCCAAAAAGTCGCGAGCTCGGGCTCCTGGGCTCTTGAGTTCAATAGGTTAAGTGAAAGGAGCCCTCCAGACTGTGAACCCTCATTAAGGGCTCCCCCCTCACCTGTGTTAACTATCTCGCTGATGATTGGCCGTCATTGAAGTATCGCCAGGTTCTAACCTGAAAAGGCATAGGAAAGAGGGCTCCTCCTTGAGGGGAAGGAAGGACGATCGGCGACGCTGGGGTGACCTCGGAGCGGCTGTACACATATGAGCGGCGCGAGATCTTCTAGTGTGGTGATCTTTGGGCTCGATCTTCTAGCGTGGCGAATCGATCACGCGAAGTTGCTCGCCTTAAGTCTAGGTAAAATTGACCAATCAGATATTACTATGAAGAGCCCGTCATAGATTTGAAGCTAAATCTGGGGACGAACCAGGGCTCCTTGATCTCGTACTTACCATGAGGGAGCCCATTTTGTGCGACTTTTGGCTCTCGTATTAGGGGGAGCCCACTTTTGAAGTTGACGGGCTCGGGCTCGTAGAAGGTGTGATGCAGTCATTACTTTACAGTTAGCCAGGTTTCGTTCATCCCAGGATACACGTCGTGCACTGTATCGCGCACTTTTGACTGGCTGGTACTGTACGAGCTTGTTGAGTGCCCCGCCGTCTTGCTCTCACTTCTCATTTTGCGAAGCTCCCAATAGCTGTACCAAGAATCTCCCAGGGCAGCAGCTATGTTTGCCCAACGCATTGTGTTGCTGGCTGTCATTTTCCTTCTCTGGGAGATCAATGCTGCCGTAGCCCGCCGACAAGCCGACCAAGTCACCGACGCGAACCCGAACCCCCGCGCAGCCGATCAGAACCAAGCTGCGTTGGAGCGGCTGCTGTGGTCCTACGACTCGAGAGACGAAGAGAGGAGATGGGGCTGGTCTGCAAAAGAGCTCGACGAACTTTTCCAGAAGCTAGACATTGCGGCTGGAAGGCTTGACGACAGCAGCTCCGCCGCCTCAAGTGGTTCACAGTCATTGCCAAGTACAGAAAAGCGAAGAAGGCAAACTTCTGGTATCCGGATGACTTCATTTACGCGAAGTTGCGGGAGACACACTCGGAAGCAGATATAGCGGTGCTTTGCCAAAAACTCATGAACACCTCGAAGGCGAAGAAGGTCGCGAAGACCCTGCAGCATCACCTGTTTCAGGCATGGAATAACCGAGGTATGAGGTTGGAAGACGTCGCAGACCTGTTGGGCGTTCTTGTTTCGACGACGAACTCCGTGCGATCTGGCATTCTGGTGGACTATCAGCTGAAACTTACCGGAGAGGCCGTCAACCGCGTTCGTCATGGATAAAAAGACAACAGTAGAACTGCTCCAACGTATTACAGTACTGCCCCATCAGCATTACGTGAACAAGCTAAGCCGCGCCATGATCATGGCCCATGAAGCAATGTTTACGAGTTTGTGATAATTTGCAATTATTCGTAATATAACTACATGTATTATTGTGCCTTGCATGCCTTCTGTCTAAACAACGACGTAATTCGTTGTTTTAGCAAATCACGGTGATTAACCCATCATTGAGTTAGGAGGCTAACTCGTCGATTTAAGATAGAATAGCTGCTAAGACAACGAGTTAACGTTGAGTTATGCTCACTTTCGTTGAATGGCTGGAGTAAATCCGACAATACTACGGCCCTGACATTCTAATTCTAACTCACTCGCTTTGTCTGATTGCTTTCTAGTCGATGATTGACATGCGTTGGCGATCTATCGTACTGAACTACATCTACAATATTGAAGAACATCCCTGTTTTTATATCGAGGAGCTGCAAGCAGCTTTAAAGTCAGCGTTTCTTGCACATCCAAACATTTCTAGTAGATATTTTCTACTGCTACTATATGCCGTGCTCTGAAATTCGAGCTTGGTTTAACGCGCAAGGCCACGACGAAGAGAGCGAAGAAGAAAACGTCCCCGCCGAAATCGGTGCTTACTATTATGCAAGGAGTTGGCGCCATTCTATTGGGACCTTATCAGTTTGTTTTCTTGCAGCGACAACCGATTTATTCTTGCAGTGGCAACCGCTCCGTTCTTGCTCTGCGTTGTGCTTGGTACTGGCGGTTGATTAGCTTAACTTTAACTTAGAGTTAGGCTGCGAGATATGAACACCGGGAAGGATTTGCTCGTTGGTTTAGAGCCCTTACTCGCATGCCAAAGTTCGTGCAAAGCACAATACGAAGTAGTACAGTGCTACATATATTACGCAGTACTTCGAACTAACCTCGGATCTTCTTTTGTGGGTCACGAGT